TTCTCACAGGTGATTTCTTGCCTTGAACCTTACCACTGGCTTTCTTGGGACCTATGGCGAGATATATAATAACAACTTTTATGCTCAAATAGCCAAAAATCCCCCCTAAAAATGTAAGTCCTTGCAAAGAATTCAGGCAGGATAGTCACTGGGCGCAAGGCACTGGTAAACTGAGGCGCGATCACTGTGCCACCATGCACTAGGTCGGCCATACACGTATCAACAAACTCGTATCCCGAGGTAAAGTTCGTAACCCGATTCAAATTTTCCGAACAAATCGAGCTCGTAACCCGAAAAGTTCGTAAACAGGGGCGTTCATAAACCAAGGTACCACTGTATTATTATTATTATTAATTATAACCCAAGCACCTAAGGAGAGAGCCATAGAACCAAACCCCCTAAAAAGTCTGAACAGGAAAAGACGACATAGATTCCACCTCAGGCAAAACAGAACACACACTGACCTTGGAAGTGGCAAAAGGACACCAAGCAGTGAGAGTAGGAAAGTGCCCTCAGTCATCCACAGCTCAGCAGAACTTTTATTCACAACACATCACTCATCTACACTCACCCCCATACAACACTGTGCTTATTTTTACAAAAAGGAACAACTGGTTAAAAAAAAAATGGTGTGCAAGCCCTACATACAAAACATAATTATAAATTAATTAAAGTGAATAAAGTGATAAGTTTGGTACAGATACATTCTCACATCATATACAAATATTGCAGTGCTGTACCACATACTGTATATATGAACAAAAATATAACTAATGTACAGTATATTCAAAAATAAATATTATTAGGTTTTGTTAAGTTAAATTATATTATCATAAATCAAGACAGGATAATGCTTCATCAATTTACCAAAATAGTTCAGCTGAAGCTTGTAGAATAGTGATTTCTTCACTAATCAATGATGGTATCAACCTTAAGTTTTCAGGCACAAGATTATGGAGTGTACATTGAAAATGAGATAATTCACACTATCAGGGACAGGAAGCCCTTACTTAGACTCATCAAGGTCCCCCCAAGGTCAACTACTGACCTTCCACAGGATGCAACCCACAACAGTTGCCTAGCTCCCGGGTGGGCACCTATTTACTGCTTGATTAAAGGTATTAGATAAAAGAAACCATAGCAAACCATTTCTGTCCCACTTGAGTATCATTGAGTATCATTGAGTATCATCATCGTTGAGTATCATTGAGTATTGAGGGCCGGGTTTAGGGAGTAGAAGAACTCCCAGATCCCCATCAAGCAGGTATCAAACCTGAGGTCCTCAATTATGAGCCAATGACATAGATCACTGTACTACAGAATCCATCAGGACTATCCTGCCATATAGCTACCAAATGAAAGTCTCTTGGCTGCATGCACTATTAGGTTCTGCTAGATTAGGTTATGTAAGTTAGGTTAGATTAGGTAAGTTTAGTTGGATTAGATTTGGCTAAGTATAGTGAAGCACTATCAACTGACTTGCCACCATAAATTTTACTCTCCATTACAAAAAAGAAAAGTTTTTGAATTTAAATAGCACCTTGGGGGCTGAAGCATTTAGTCCTATGACTGCAGCTTTGGAAGTGGTGGCATTAAACTTTTCAAATGTGTAGGACGATATTAGGGGCTTTATTTTAGCAATAAGCTAAACATGAACATAAAAAATACACAGCTCTGATTGTCAAAGCCCAAGTTGTATTTGAAGTGAACTGAACTTTTTCAGCATCTATGTTATTACAACACTTGGAATGAGACGTTAACATCCTGTGGCAGTAGTACATTTGTTAGGGAGATTATGTAAATGAAGACAAGCCCTATTCCCAGCAATTACAATATATCAATAGCCGATTCTCGTTTCAATTACTGTAAAAAAAAATTCTGGAGGGCGTCCATGGACTTGCCAGAGATGCAGTGCCGGGCAAGCCCCAGGATGTCCCCATTAGCCTAAGAGTCCTAGACAGTCAAAACAATAATATACTTTACTTACCAATTCATCCAATGAAGAGTAATAGGAGTTGAACACTTGACAACACTGATTATATATACCTATACAATATCTTTCTTACAAAGTCACACTTGCAACATAGAGCACATATTATTTTAAAAAAATCCGTAAACACTTATTTCCACAGGTAGTGTCTTACTACTAATCTGGCTATGAACTAGACTTTATTATGTATATTGAAGACTGGTAGAGGGATCACACGGGTTTAACAAGAGGAGAGCAGGCCACCTTCGGCCACCCAGCGCGGGATGGATGTCAAAAATCTGTTTTCATAGAAGCTTCCTTGTTTACATCTCAGGGGGCAGCACTCTCCTATACATATTATTAATAATCTTCATATTACTCTAAAAACTAATTATTAGTTCATTTACATGTAAATATAATTGTATTTTATGATATAATTGTAAATATAAAGTGTAATCATTCATAATGTATAATATTTATTTAGTGCTATTTTAGCCAATACACCAGTTTCTAACTACGGGCTCGCCATAGCCCGTGCTGCTTGGTGCTTTTTGTACCGGGGTAGCGAATCTTTAACAATAACAACCAGTTCCTATCAATCATAAAGTTGTTATTGTGCCTTATTAAGATGTACAGTGACCACAATACAGCAGTTGCAACATCAGGATCTGCGGGTTGGTACAAGACTTCAACCAAATACGAACCACCACTTAGTTTGATGAAAGGGAACAGTTGAACAACAGAAGTGCACTTACATCGCATCAGGCTTGGATACCCATGTGCATGGGAAATAGGCTTACAGGTTCCGTTAGATGAGAGGAAATGTCAGCACTGTGGAGAAATGCCAGACATTCCACTGGAACATTATCTAACACAGTGCACAGTTACAAACCCATTAAGATTTCAACTTAGATTCAACAGAGCAGAGGATAATAATATAATAATATTTTATTCAGGAAAAATACATACATAGACGCAGAGTTACAAATATAATGTTGGATTAATAGAGCTAGTACATACAATACCTAAAGCCACTAACTAATACGCATAGCGTTTCGGGCAAGGTATGGGAAAAAAACACTCAGACTAAAACTTAATAGTAATTGGGAGTAAAAAACTTGTGTTGAAAAAAGGAATAAAAACAAGAAAAAAAAGGGGGGGGGGGACATGGCAGAAATCAGCAATTGTACAAGTTGGTCAACAAGCAGCATTACTTTGAAGCAAGACACGGGTTGACATTTAGGGGTAAGGTAGGTTACATGTAGTTAATTAGGTAGTACTTAGTTCTACTCTTAAACTGGTTGAGAGGCACAGCCTTTGGCATGATTGTTGAGGTCATTCCACATTCTGGGTCCCTTGAATTATAGAGCATTTCTAGTTTGGTTAAGTCGCACTCTTGGAATATCAAATAGGTACAACCTTTGACATAATTGGGAAGGTCATTCAACATTCTTTCATCAAACTAAGTGGTTCGTAGTTGGTTGAATTCTTGTACCAACCCGCAGATCCTGATGTTGCAACTGCTGTGTGGTGGTCACTGTACATCTTAATAAGGCACAATAACAACTTTATGATTGTTAGGAACTGGTTGCAGTTGTTAAAGACTTGTTAGCCGGAACAAAAAGCACCAAACAGCACGGGCTATGGCGAGCCCGTAGTTAGGAACTTGTATTGGAGGATAAAATAGCACTAAACAAATATTATATATTATGAATTATTACACATTCTAGGTCACTTGATTTGTAGAGCATTTGAAGTTTGATTAAGTCGCACTCTTGGAATACCAAATAGGTATTTGTTTCTGGCGTGGTTTCAAAAGCCTCAGATACGGACGGAATTCATTCCAAAGTCGTAAAGGACTGGCAGATGAATTATTCCTACCATTGAAATCCCCTTTTCAGACAATCTCTGGACTAAGGGATAGTTTCCCTAGACAGGAAATATGCAAATGTCACTCCTATTTTCAAAAAAGACAGAAAGAATTCAACAGAAAACTACCGTCCGATTAGTTTGACGAACATCTTCAAACTTGTGGATAGAATCCTAAAGGAGGGAACCAGTCACCATCTCACTGACACTAACACTGACACCAACACACTGACACAAAAAAACTAATAAAATCAACGCAATATGGGTTTGTTAAAAATAGATCCTGCCTTACAAACCTGCTCACATTTAGCAAAGGGTCGTCCATAACGGAAATTAATTTGACTGGAGAAATGTGGTGAGTGGGGTATCACATGGGCACATTTTGGGGCGGAAGAGGAAGAAGAGGCATAGGTGAAGGGAAGTTTAGAAGTGGGAAATGCAGTGTGAGGTATGAAAGCAGGCAAGTGCTATATAGTCGTAATGGCTTAGCGCTTTCTCCTGATAATTTGCCTCCCTAAACGACAAGTCGTCATATATCATCATTCCCAGATCTTTTAAATATGGCGTTTTCACTATGGGAAGATTGGTGTTAGTAAGGATGAGCGCTGGCTGGTGTTGGGCAGAAGGAGCGCTGGGAAGTGGTCGCGGCCATAACAAGGGAACAACAGTTCAAACTGGCAGAGCGGGAGCCGCGGCCACACACACCTGACGGTACCCTCACAGGTGTGTAGGTGTGTGTGTACAGTACATGTACTATACTTACTCTGAGCACAGCTGTACCTGTAGCCGTGGGAAAGGTGTAAGCGACAGATGTGTTGCTGTAGCACTGAGGAACACACCAGGATAACTGCTGGGTTTTGGGGGATAATTTTGAATTTTTTTTTTTTTTTTTTTTTTGAGATATATACAAGAGTTGTTACATTCTTGTACAGCCACTAGTACGCGTAGCGTTTCGGGCAAGTCCTTAATCCTATGGTCCCTGGAATACGATCCCCTGCCGCGAAGAATCGTTTTTTCATCCAAGTACACATTTTACTGTTGCGTTAAACAGAGGCTACAGTTAAGGAATTGCGCCCAGTAAATCCTCCCCGGCCAGGATACGAACCCATGACATAGCGCTCGCGGAACGCCAGGCGAGTGTCTTACCACTACACCACGGAGACTGCTGTGTAATGTGTAAACATGTAAACATAAATGTGTAAACATACTCTTCTCACCCACCAGCATATAATTAATATGTAATATAACATATAATATGTACGTTAACAACACATTTATTTTTTATAAAGATATAATAACTGGTTCATCTCAAAGATTGTATGTGTGTTGAGCTGAGAGGTTATAAGGTGCTGCTCTACGACACTGCAGCAGTTTAACCATTAATTTGTGTATAAATGACCCAGTGTACATTCTTGTAAACAAATAATATAGCTTATCCAAAATTGTTTGCAGTGTTTTAGCAACAGTGCTAATAAATGCAAACATGACAGGACAGGGCTGATCTCCCTGAAACATTTAATATACCTTTTGACTTGGCTTGGGCTTTGACTTGGGACCCTTGATTTGCATTACATTTCTGCTTTGTTTCTCACTAGGAATATCAAAGCATTTGTCAATAGTAAAAAGAATTTGCAAGTCTTCTGACCACTTGTAGAGTTCATGTAGATCTCTTTGTAAGGCTTCAATATCATTATCATTTCCCAATTTACCATAAATGCTTGTGTCATCTGAAAATTTGATGATGTGGTTTATAATATTCTCATCTACGTCATTGATGGATATGACGAAAAGAGTTGGCCCCGAAATGGACCCCCTGTGGTACCCCACTCGCCAGATTTCTCCAGTAAGATTCATTCCCATTTAGCACTATTCTTAGTTTTCTTTGTTTTAACCATTGTTTTATTCATTCTAGTATTCTACCATTTATTCCATTTGCTTGTAATTTCCTTGCCAGTCTTTCATGTGGTACCTTATCAAAGGCTTTAACAAAATTCATATATTCTACATCCACCGGAAGTCCTTTGTAATACTGTACTCTAGCCTCTCCTCGTAGCACTTGTCTTTCGGTTCCAGGAGCCATTTACTGTCATGTCTTTGCACCTTTTCCAGTTTATTGGTGTTATTCTTAAGATATGAGCACTGTGTAAACATGATTGAAAGATTTATTTATTTATTTATTTATTTATGCTAGTACAAGTTTTCTTATATTCTTGGACAGCCACTAGCATGCATAGCATTTTGGGCAAGTCCTTAATCCTAATTTTCCTGGAATATGACTCCCCAAATCGTTTAACAACCAGGTACCCAATCACTGCTGAGTGAACAGAGGCTACAGTTAAGGACTGGCGCCCAGTAAATCCTCTCCGGCCAGGATACGAACCCAGGCCAAATTGCTTGCAAAGCGCTGATTGAATGTTTTACCATTGTGCCATGGGGATTTCTGAAAGATGTGTTCACTCGTTTTCAGAAAGAACAATAGTGATACACTAAATATACAGTATATTTGAAAAACTAAAAAATGCGTTTTATGGAAACCATTTACTGTTCAGTGGAAACTAAAACCATGTGACAATGTATATTGTGAGATATTCTGGCATAAGTAACTTAATGTATTTTATGAATGGTTACAATTAAAAATTTTGTTACTGCTATTTTTTGTTAAAAGGCTATTTTGATGTACAGTGCAGTACAGTTTGTTTTCTTTCAGGTTGTTAAGGTCATTAAGAATGTCGACAAGAATGGATAGCAGCATGCACACCTGGGCTGTCAGTTTGACACGTCATCATAGGGTGTTCAGTAACGACCAGCCTCTAACCCCTGAACATTTCTCTAAGTAATTATTATTAAACAAGTGTTGTATTTTCTGTTTGTGCAATTGTTGTGTGTACATATTGTACATAAAAATTAATTAAATCATAATAGGCTAAGCATTAAAATCATAGCCCTATAAACTTAAAGCCAGGCATTAAACTCATAGGCCTTGAGAGGTTGTATTGTTTGACTAGAATACATTAAAGAGATTGTCACATAGGATAGAAATTGCTAAGATATAATGATCTTTCTGTAGATGTGTCAGTACATGTGTAACTTTTTTGTTGTCCATATTATAACAATACTGTACAGTACGTGAAAATTTAACCACCTTGAGGTTACCTTGAGGAGCTTCCGGGGCTTAGCGTCCCCGCGGCCCGGTTGTCGACCAGGCTTCCTGGTTGCTGGATTGGTCAACCAGGGTGTTGGACGTGGCTGCTCGCAGGCTGACGTATGAATCGCAGCCTGGTTGATCAGGTATCCTTTGGAGGTGCTTATAGAGTTCTCTCCTGAACACTGTGAGGGGTCAGCCAGTTATGCCCCTTATGTGTATTGGAAGCGTGTTGAACAGTCTCGGGCCTTTGATGTTGATAGAGTACCAGTACAACGGCTGTCTAACACACCTAACCTAAGGGAAGGAATGGTGGGAAAGATATTGTTGTCGTGATAAGATTTTAACTTGTTATAACGTGGAAACAAATACACAAACAAACAAATACACAGTTGTATCATACACAAAATTAAGACTTCTTTAGAACAGTATTATTTACTTCCCATATCTCCCTATCTATATACTGTATACAGTATATTCTATAAGTGTGGGAACATTATACATCTCTGGCATACTCTTATATTTATATCAAACCAGTTGCTCATTATACAGTATCATTAAATTTGACACATTTTGAATAAAATTACTGTGTGTTCTTTAGACATATGTTATAGTACAGTGTGTGTTACTTTTCAGATTGACACGTGATAAGACCTTACAGCCAGTGTTTTCCTTCTTAATGCGTCATGTGCGCTCACCAGAAGAAAGAAGATTAATCAAGTTAAATTTAAAGCAAGCTCGTTTCAGAAAGGTAAATTTATCCTTTTGTTTTTTATTTGGATTGAGCAGTTTTACCATGAAATTTTGTTTTCATTACTTCATTATAATACCCAGTTTCCAACTTTCATTAGGTAAGGAGGCATCAGTTCCCTCCAAAAATGGGAAAAATATAGTCAAAGATTATAGATATTAAAAAAGAAAATGAGGATGATCCCTATGCCTTTAGTAAGTGCAGTACTCTTTAACCATTTATTGCACTGCATTACAGTATTTCTGGTTAGGTCCCTCAGCAGCCTCCCTCTCTCATTGTACTGGCACTCAAAGGCCATGTCTGATATACTTTTTTTTTATTTTTTTAATATAACACAGGTGGGTATAGGAGCAGATGATAGGTAACTCCTGTTATCAGGCTGAGAGCTTTCCAAACCCATAGCTCATGGAAAGCCTTACCCATTAGTTTCCCTGGAATATGACCTGCGAATCATTTAACAACCAGGTACACAATCGGTGCTGGGTGAACAGAGGCGTACAGTTAAGGATTAGCTCCTAGTCAATCCTCTCTGGCGAGGGTATGATCCTAGGCCAAATCTCTTGTAAAGTTCAGGGTAAGTGTGTTACTATTGCACCAAATCGCCAAATATTGTAATCACGTTTGGGGCTAATGCTTAAACTATTTCAAAAGAGTGTATGCTAGTTACTTTGAATAGCTCTTATTTGGCAGGAATAAATGCCTGGTGCAATTTTTTTTGGGGGATAACTCACACAGCATATTACACCTAATATGTGATAGAACATAAATAATAATGCAAATGCTTTGTTAAAGTGGTAGGGTTAGTTTCCTTGCAACTGTTGAAAGTTGAAGTTGAATGAGAGGCCAGGTATTCCTCTTATCTTTTACACTCTAACCCTATAATACTTTTCCGCCCTAACTAACCGAATAGATGCCAGGGGATAATTGATGATGATGGGTATTACATATGGTGTTCCCTAAAACTGTCAATTTTTAATTTAACTTGACCATACTTATAAGATATCTGATTTATAATACTGTACTGTATTTGTTTTTAACAGCAAATAAAAGCTGATCAGGAAATGTCAGCATCAGAGGAGCGATTCAGACTTGAAGCTGCTATTGTTGATGCAATTTCAGCTGTGGAAGCCGAAGCGACCGAAATTCAGCAACTAAGTATATTTCTACTTCCTTTGCTATTTACAGACTGTTAGACTCCATTTGGTGGTCACATGGACATTAGTTGTAAACCTTGAAAATCTACATAATTATATATAGCAAGAAAAACCTACATGTAGCTTATTTAAATTGACCACTATTTTCTGGAAAGTTTGAGATCACTCACACTACTATGGTACACAAAAATATATTACAATTTCTTCATTAATCTTAATTGTGATTTTATCCGTTTGTTGGTATCTGTTTGAAATTTTCTTCGTGCTTTTCTATAATTTGTTTGTTATTGATCACTGCTTAGAAGCCCTAATTGTTAACTTGTCCCTGACAAACTAATTTTTGTTCATTTGCTTATAATGTACTGGATTTGTGATTTGTTATATTACAGATACAGTACACACTCATTCCAACCTGTCATCCAATAGTGATGATAAGTTTAGCAAGCATTAGTCGACCGTAAAAAATTTACTATTGCCCTCTAAAAAAAAAATTAGGTTTTGTACTATTCCTTTTGTAGGCAACATGAGAAAGAAGGCGACAACCAAATAAAAATTTGTCTAGGCCTAGTATAGAACATGTGTACTAATTTAGGCCTAAAATGGTATATATTAGGACTAGGATTGCTTATTTAGTCCTTGGAGAAGTTAAATTGTATAGTTACTGTTCCACTTCTTAGCATGCTATTTTAAGTATACCAGTGCAGGCGATGAGTCACAATATCGTGGCTAAAGTGAGTTGACCAGACCACACACTAGAAGGTGAAGGGACGACGACGTTTCGGTCCGTCCTGGACCATTCTCAAGTCTCATCGACTTGAGAATGGTCCAGGACGGACCGAAACGTCGCCGTCCCTTCACCTTCTAGCGTGTGGTCTGGTCAACTAAGTATACCAATAGTGCAAAATATGAACTTCTTTGAGTCCAACAATCCATTTGTTGCATGTTTGGTCAACAGTTGCTGTAAATACTATAATGTTTTGGAGAATGGGTTGACTAATTCACACATATCGTTGTAAAATGTAACATTCTGTACGAGTTCAGCAATAACAGATTTAATTTCTTGCAGATCAATTTATGGCAAGAAAGATCTCTGATATTATTATTTGTTGTGCTGTCTGTGGGATTTGTAAACTTAACTCTTTTTGTATTTGTTTCTTTTATGGAGATGTACAGGTTTTTCATGTTGAACCTTTTTTCCTTTGTGGCACAGTACATATATTTGTTATTTCCATAAGCTAATTTTTTTGTTTAGCCTGCACATTGTATTTCAATGCATTTTTCCAAATAAGCAAGATGCAAAAACATCTAAAACCATATTTTAAACATATACCTGCGCACACTCTGAACATGGGTGCTTTTGTGACTTCCATTGCAGTGTGAGCTTGTTCCTAGGCATCCCCCTCTGTGTGTGTTTGTGTGCTGCCAGGTTTCCTGGATTTGTCCCCATTTCTGGGGTTCTTTCCTTCTGGATTTTGGGCCCCCTGTTGGGTTATGGGTTCCATTCCTTACCCCCTCCCATCCCCTCTGGCATGCTGACTTCCCATCTTTTGGCTAATATTATACTTTTAATTGTTATTTCATTTATATGAGCATGAATTTTTTTGTAATTGGCTACAGTGTATGCATTTGATTATTTGTTAAATATTTTATTGGGGAAAGACCAGAGAAAAGAAGAGCTTCACCAGAAAGAAGTTGAAATGAAACGCCGAATAATGCTGATGAAAGTGGTACAGGAAGAGCGAGATAAGGAGGTTGATCTCTGCCTGTCGTGGAGTCCTCGGCTTTGTAATTTAATAGAAAAGGATTATAAAAAGGACAATAAAGATGCAAGAGCAGACCTAGTAATGCAGGTACAGTGTAGCATTGCTCAAAATTGTTTATACATTACTGGTCAAAGGGGAAAGCATGCAGTTCAGGTTAATTTACTATTTCATTCTTTTATCAGTTTATTGGTAAGTATTTAATGTTATATAGTACAGTATATCAGAAATCTATTTTAATGTTCCATCTCAGAAATACATTAAGAAATACTTTTAAAAGTGATGAATGTTTTACAATAATGTTCTTCAAGTAGAAATTGAAATGATGAAACAATAATTAATATTTTTGTCATACTTACTGTTTTTCACTGTCATGAGATTTCCCACTCCATGAAAGTGGGAAACATAGTAATGATGATGTATAATTGCTTGAAAAGTTCCTTGTGGTGGCAATGCTGAGAATGTCTTCCTGCCTGATTATCATGATTTTTATATACAGTAATAAAAATAATACTGTAATTCATTGTGCCGGGGGACAGAAAGCCAGAGTGTATTCATACACGTTTGGCTTTTATTGAGGTCGCCCCCCTCCTAAGGCTGAAGTACTGACCCCGCCCAGGATGCAACCCCACCACAAGCTGACTAACTCCTGAGTACCTACTCATTGCTAGGTGAACAGAGGCATTTAGTGAAAGGAAATGTGCCCAATCATTTCTGTCCCGCCTGGGATTTGAACCCAGAATTCTCAATTGTGAGTCGAGAACGAACCCTACTGTACTACTGGGACCCTCTATTGAATGGACCCTCAACTGAATGGCATTGCTGAGAGATGTGCTTAACATTTTCAGATTTTCATACACTACATTGACTTAAATAACAGAGCTGAAGGCACATTGCTTAAATCAGCCATTTAGTTTAGTTATTAAATTAATTAATTTAATAAATTATAATAAAAAGTGTGTTACTATATATAATCTTTGCTTGTTGAAAACTATTTAGGGTTGGAGTTTAATTAAGCTGGGTAACCAGAAATGAATAAAAGTTAGTTTTTACTTGGTTCTATATTCTAACAAGGCATTTTTATCTTAACAGTTGCGAGGCAACTTTTTGGATCTAGAACGACTTCACCATTCAATAATCAGGGGCCGTTTATCCACCCCAGATTCCATTCACCAACAGAAGGTATTAAGTGTTTGCATTTTTTTTTTTATTCTTATCATTTATAAAATAATTATACTGTTATGAGTAATTTAAAACCCTTAAATATTTGTGTGTGTTATTTTGTTGTGGACTATTTTTCATACAAAGAACATTTCAAATGGTGGTGTAACATAATCGAAGTGGATTGGCGAGATGTTTGGCTTTGGTAGGTCAATGTGGTCTTTGGAGGCCTGATGCAATTCCTAATGCTTGGCCCACCATCAGCACGTAAGTACTGGGTGGCCACATCTGGGCCTGCTAGTAACGAGCATTTTGTTGCATTTGATGCTTTATTTTAATGACATAATTTTGACCATAGGTACGGTTATGTGAGCAAATTAAAGTGACCCTGGATGACTGGAATCCTAGAATGCTGATGGATGGCATTTTAAGTGAGGCTCGGGAGAATACTCGCAATCTTCACTCCAAAGTTCAATGTGTAGACTTGGCAAGAGATGCACATGAGCTCAGGTATGTTGGAATGCATTAGGAAGTGATTTTTTTTTTCTACCACAGACATGGCCACACATTTACAATGCTAACCAAAATATACTGTATACATTTTCTTCTGTCCTCCATGGACAGAGTTTTGTTAAACATATACTTCAGGGATTTATTGAACAGTCAACCATAGAAGGTGATTCGGTGCTTTTAAAATGCTAAGCTAACCTACATACGTAAATACATAGATAATCAGATTTAAGTATGCCCTACATAAAGTGTTCAAAGTGTCTTTTACATAGTATCATTAATGTGCATTCAAGTGATGTGGTGGAGGAATGTTAGAAGAATCTGATGGAGGTGTATAGATGTTGCAATGTTGAGTTTTTAGTTAACAGCCTAATTTATAAACTTTTTGTTTTCTAGGCTAAAGTGCGAGAGTGATGGATCATTTGTTGATGAGATGAACCCAGGAGGAGTAATAGAATCTGTTCGTGAGTTACTTGGGCACATGAGTGCAGCTCATGTTAAATTGTATTTGGAGGCCCACATAGCTCATCAGGCAGCCCAAACCTTCTTTTCTGGGGGGAGCCCCGTCGGCTCCCCGGAGCTTTACCGGCTGATATGCTAATGTCAGACTTTGGCATCAGTCATGTGTATGGAGTTCTAGGGCCTACCGGGGACCACGAGCCAGAACCTGGCCCCCTCAGAGAGGCAAGGGGAGCAATGGCCTATAGAAACCCCCGTGTGGTTGGAAGCATTCTATGTCTGCCATCGACCGGGTCAAGCATCCAGAAAGGTAAGCATTCCAAAACAAACCCCTATTCTGGTGAAAATTGCTACCTAAGCCGAACTAGTGAATAGAACTCTTCAACAGAAAACACGGAAACTAGTATGACGTCATACGTCACCGCGCCGCTGTCTGCGCAGCTCCCCCCTCCCCGGGAGGGGGAAGGGGGAGCCCCAGACCTCCCACGCCGGCTATCCACCCATCAGTTCTTCGGCTGATGCTATAGGCAATGGTTATGTGCTCCGGCTCCAGTGGTTGTTTCAGCACTGTACCTAGAGTGTGGTGTCTGTTTTCTAGGTGGTGCGTGAGCCGGGTGTGATTCTTCAGTACTCGGGCTGCATGCGCCTAGGGTTCCCTTCCCTAGGTGCCCTGTAAGTACTGCCCTTGGGGCTTGGGGCCACCTTCCACAAGTTCCTTGGGTCCTGCCCCTGCTTGGCCGTTTACCGCTTGGTTTTCGGCCGCTCTTTGTGTGCTCGGGTGTTCTGTCTCCCTTGTTCGCCTTAGAGTAAGGGGCAGTGTTTGCACTGGTGGGGCGCGGGGTACTGTGCAGCTTGTCTTTACCAATCATAGCGGCCGGCTCTGTTCCGCTTGGGTACGCTGTCCTCTTGCGGGGTTTTCTTTTTCTTTTGTTTATATACCTGGTGGGGGGGTCTGCCTTCGTTCTTGCCCCTTGTGTCCCTTGTGTTCTGAGTATTTCTGGTGGTACCCCCTGCTAGGTCCCCGTGAGTGTACACGTCCCGGGGGTTCAGCTCTTAGAAAGTTGTTTGGTAGCTTGGGTGCCGGTTAGCAGTACCCTGCCTGGGATTACCTGAGCGCGAGTCCTCTTAAAGTAAACGCTCGGGACCCTGGGAAACCCCTGGGGGCGCGCGGGTCCGATGGATGTGACCCCAGAGCCCCCCCCTCGCTTCCAGCGAGTTTGAGGGTTGCTCTCACCTTTTGTCTCTGGGTGACTCTCTGTTTTGCCTCCGTCTGCTGCCTGTGGGGTCGGTGACACCTTCGACCCGGTGTCCTGCGAGTTTGGTTGCTCGTTGTGGCTCGGTTACCCAGTTGTGCTAACAAAGCGGGTGCGGGCAGCAGGGGCGTTGCACTTGAGCCTTGGTGGTGGCAACGTTCTCGTGGTTTCCTCCCCGGGAGCCCCGGGGCTGCCCCGTTGTATTTCGTTTTTCCCCTGGTTCACCCTTCCTGCCTGCATCCGGTTCCTTACCGTCTGTAGGTTCAGGGCGGGGTGTTTGGTGGTGTTGAGACTCGGGCAGTCTCGGGGAATTCCCCTTCCGGGGTAGTGACGGGGGCATTTGGGCCTGTTCCTCCAGCCGTGTTGTATGAGTCTGCCAGTGGGCTCCCTTCCTTAGTGTTTTCACGGCTGCCCCGGTTTTCTGGTACGGCCGGGGCTTTGGGGGAACGGCTCGGCCCCGGGGCCTGTCGTGTAGGTTCCCGGGGCTGGGGAGGGGCTGACTTGGGGGGCCTTGGCCCCGTTAGACCCCGTGGGGGGTTTTATCCCCCTCTAGGCGGGGCTTGTGGTTACGCGGAGTGGGGTTTTTCCTCCCCACTCGCCGTACGTGCTGTTGGACGTCGGCCCCTCCCCGGGCTCGGTTCCTTGGCCTTTGAGTCGGTTGGTTCCGTCCTGTGGGTGGATGTTTCCTCCCCCGCTTTTTGGGACGGTGTTTTTGTCATGTTTCCCCGTTCGATGGGGTTCTGCGTGACTTTTGATCTCGGGTGCGCCTGCGCCTTCGTGTGCCTTCGGGACTAGTGTTGGCTTCTGTGTTCTCGAGGGTACGGGAAGGTTTTTCGCTACTTCCCGCATTATTGGAACGTCTGTCGGCTCCTAGTACTTGTCGCCCTGTTGGGCTACTTGTCGCCCTGTTGGGCTACTTGTCGCCCTGTTGGGCTACTTGTCGCCCTGTTGGGCTACTTGTCGCCCTGTTGGGCTACTTGTCGCCCTGTTGGGCTACTTGTCGCCCGGTTGGGCTACTTGTCGCCCGGTTGGGCTACTTGTCGGCCGTTTGGGCTACTTGTCGCCCGTTTGGGCTACTTGTCGCCCGTTTGGGTTCCCTTTTTTTGGGCTCTTTGCTTCTTTGGCCGGTTTTCTTGTTCCTGCTTCCTCTTTTGGCTCTTTTTCTCGTGCAATAGTCCTGGCTGGCGCCTTCCCGCAGGGAGGGTGTGCGGTTCGGCCAGCGTGTTATGCGCATGCGCCGTGGAGTTTGTTTTGGTCTGGGCGATGGTTCAGTGCTGGGGTTTTGCGCCCTTTTTTGCTACAGTGCTTCGCCTCTCGTTCTTCTCCCTGGCTGCGGTATGTGCCCCTTTGCGCCAGGGGTGTCCTGGTTCCCAGTTGTGGGGAGGACACCGCGGTTTTCTGTGTCATGGGTGTGGACCGCCTCCTTCGCCTCTCCCTGTTCTCCTGCGGGTCCGGCTCTGGCGTCTTCACCTGGCGGTGCTCCCAAGTTCTTCTGGGCACGGTTGAGTCGTGTCAAGTTCGAGCCACCATTCGCCAGGTGAGTTTCTGCGGTCTGGCGTCTTTTGGCCGGGCGCTGGATGCGGCGGTGTTCATATACCTGTCTTTATTTAGGTATAATTTTGTACGACTGAGACCGTTCGCACACCAGTGACTGTCCCTTTATCACCCCTTCCTGTCCCCCTCCTGTGCATGTCCAACCCATGCTACAGTCGTTCAGGGGACCCTCCTTTTTTAATGTTGTGAGGTGTGGGGGTTGTAGGGTTGGTTCTGTACTCACCTGGTGAGGCTCCTGGCTGTGCTTGCAGGATTTGAGCTCTGGCTCTTGGGTCCCGCCTATCTGGTAGAACTTGCGGGATAGTACCAGTGGAGTGCAGTGGTGCTATTGGCACTTTTGGGGAACACTGTATTACCATCAGTGGTCTGTGCTTGTTACACGACCTACTTGCGAGCATAAGCCTTCTTGCTGGTTCGTCCGTGGACTTCCAGGGCGCACTGGCCTGTTTTCGTATGGCAGTTCCGGCCCGTCCTGGTTGTGGGGGTATGTGGGCCGGTGGACTGCTCCTAGCAGCTGCCTGGTGGGCCATCCTCTGGCCGGTCTGGCCTGACCTTGGGCCGGGCTTGAGGTGTAAAAGAGCTCCCAGTACCTCATCCAGCAGGTATCGAGCGGGGTTTCTCCGCCGTCGGTCGCCTGGTGCAGGTTTCTGGGCCTGCAGGGTTTTGTCGTGTCTCCGTTGGCCCTGTCTGGGGTCTGCCTGCTCCGTTCTCTGCCTTTGCAGAGGGGAGTTGCTATTTACATGTTGCATGTTGCAGTGGTGCCTGTTGCTGCTGCTGCTGCACGTGAGCATTGGTACCGTGTTTCACGGTGGCGTGTCCTTGTTCCTGTGTCCGGTTGTGGAGTGGCGCTTTGCTGCCGTTTTGTGCCTGGGGATTGCGTGGGGTTTTTGTCCCTGCCTGATTGTCCACCCCTGGTTGTTCTCCTGGTTTTTTTTTTTTTTTTGTGCTTCTGCTCTTTCTTCCTGCCTCTTCTGCAGCAGGAATGTTCTGCGTGTGTTCTTAGGCGTTGGTCAGCCTGTGTCCTGTGATGTGCTTCTTTGTTTCGGTCTGTTGCAGTTGTTCGGGCCCCTTGGTTCGGGTCCTGTTCTGGCGGCGACCCTTCCGCCTTCTTTGGTTTTCCTAGCTTGCCCTGCCGGTTGTTGTTGTTGTTTTATTTTTTTGGGGGGGTTCTTGCGATGTCTCGCGTCGGACCCGTCGTTTCTGAACTCCTGGCGGGCTTGCATGCTTCGGAGTTTTTCTGTTCGGCAGACGTTCCATCTCCTTGTGCCGCCTGGGTTTCGGTGGTCGCGCCCGAGATCTTCTCGCGGCTCCGCCTTTTTCCTGGGCTCGGGGGGGCCTTGTCGGGGCTGCTTATGTTCTGCCTCGTGGTCTCGCCTCCGGTTGGTGGTCGGGTGGCTTCGTGGTAGGTGTCCCACCTGCGTGCTTCTTGGCGGCAGTATGGGGTATTTTGGCGGTCCTTCCTTTTCCTGTCCCTTCTTCGGTGGGTCCTTCTTGTTGGCTTGGTTTACTCTCGGCTTGGTTTTCTAGTGGGGGTTGGGGGCCGTCGTCTTGCCACATACTGTCGCCTCTTTTCGTGCGGCGCAGGCGGAGCCGCTTCAGCTTGCTTTCGGTCTTGGTGTTGCTTCTGCACCGTTAGTCAGCTGTCTTGTGCGTCATTTCACCTCCGGCCTGTTCGTGCGCCGCTTGCACCATCCTGGTCTCTGGTCAGCGTGCTCTGTCTTCTCCTCGGTTGGTAGTGCCCCTTCGGTTCCGGTGTGTTTTTTCGTCGGCTCTTTCCTTTGGGCCTTTGCCTCTGGGGGTCGGTTCGCTGTGTTTTCTTGCTCCTTCGGTTTTAGCGTTTTGGTTGTTTGATGGCAGCAGTCTCCATCTTTTCTGGCGCGGGGTGGGGCTGCTGCATTCTGGAGGGGTCCAGGGTTTGTTGGTGCTTTGTTGGTCGGGCCGGGGGTGTGTCGTTTTTGTGTTCAGTGGCGGCCCTCTGCTGTTGTTTGCGTGCCACGGCGTTTGGGTCCGGAGCGCGTTTTGCGTTGATCCGGTTCTGTTCTTCCCGGTTCGCGGGTGATGGTGTCCCGGGTGGTCAGCCGTGTTCTTGTGGCTAAGCTGCCTGTGTTCTTCCCTTATGCCTGTGGCGTTCGTGGCTTCGCTGCTCTCGCTGCCGTCTGGGCGACGTGGCCTTGCAGTCTTTCGGGCATGGATTTTTGGTGTTCGTGCAGGGGCCTTGCTGCTCGTGGTTCTCGTGTTGTTCCCGGGATTTTCGGGGCTGTGGCGCCTTGGGTTGGCGTTTGCTGCCGGTTGTCTCGCCTCCTTGGGGGGTGCGTGGTGTCCGCCTCCCGGTTTTGTCCCTTTGACCTTCCTCTGTGGGTAGTTAGCTCCGGGGAGCCGACGGGGCTCCCCCCAGAAAACCAGCGTTGAATGTAATGAAACGCCATTTTCTGGGTGAGACCCGGAGGCTCCCCGGCAACCCTCCCTCCCTCCGGTCGGCGTTTTTCGCGTGTTTTGACATCCAGCCTCAGAACTGATGGGTGGATAGCCGGCGTGGGAGGTCTGGGGCTCCCCCTTCCCCCTCCCGGGGAGGGGGGAGCTGCGCAGACAGCGGCGCGGTGACGTATGACGTCATACTAGTTTCCGTGTTTTCTGTTGAAGAGTTCTATTCACTAGTTCGGCTTAGGTAGCAATTTTCACCAGAATAGGGGTTTGTTTTGGAATGCTTACCTTTCTGGATGCTTGACCCGGTCGATGGCAGACATAGAATGCTTCCAACCACACGGGGGTTTCTATAGGCCATTGCTCCCCTTGCCTCTCTGAGGGGGCCAGGTTCTGGCTCGTGGTCCCCGGTAGGCCCTAGAACTCCATACACATGACTGATGCCAAAGTCTGACATTAGCATATCAGCCGGTAAAGCTCCGGGGAGCCTCCGGGTCTCACCCAGAAAATGGCGTTTCATTACATTCAACGCTGGTTTTTTTTTATATATACTGTATATTGAAGGGGGTACCTGCCTACACCTGGGTGTCTTACCCCCATATTTTCACCCTTTCCCCCCTCTTCATCCCATCTTCCCCCTCCCACCCTTGTCCCCTGCCCCTTGGTCCCTGTTCCTGCTCTCTCTCCTGCTTTTCATCCTCTTCTCCCCTGCTTCTGCCATCTCCCTCTTCTATCAGAAAATTTGTTAAACACCGAAACAACTGTTTGGTCCCCTTAAAATTTATTATTACCGGTACTTAGCACTGAAAACTCCAAGGAAAACACACCAAGTATTTCACAATGGACTCCATGAAAATCATGTGGGGTATGAATAATTTCTTATTTCTTAGTTTTTAACTTAGGCCATCCCTGATCAGCCTATGTCTGTCCTGTACCCCAGACCATTTTCCCTGCAACGTTGGGTGAGGTTAGCCCCAAGCGTCTGGTCTCCAACATTGGACAGACAGACACATTCATGTTCCCTTATAGATATTGACTAGACGGGTATTTGGTGGTGCTCAGGATAATTTCTCTCTCCACCCCCTCCCATTTCCCCCTCCTCCCTCACCCTCTCCACTTCACCTTACATTCCTCCTTTCCTAACCCTTTCTTCTCATCCCTTCTCATTCCTCCTCTCCTAACCCTTTCTTCTCCCCTTCTCATTCCTCCCCCTCTCTCTTCCACTATTTCCACTATATCTCCACTATTCTCCCCCTTCTTCCTCCTCACCCTATCTGCTGACCCTCTCATCTTCTCCCAACCTTCTTCCCTCTCCCCTTTCATCCCCTCTCCAAACATACTCTCCCTCTTCCCCCCTCTTCCAACCCTTCCCTTCACCCAACACTTCCCCTCCCCTTATGGGCTATTCATGCCCATGCCACCTCCTGGTTGGCTTAATCTTCACCAATCAATCAATCCCCCTCTCCCCTCTTCTCCTTCCCCTCCCACTCCTAACTTTCACCCTCCTCCCCATCTGGCCTCCTACCTGACAGACATTTCAATTTAATGCAGAATTCACCATCACTTTGAATTAAAAAATATAGGGACTCTCACAGTCACATTTCACATATTTATATGGGGGCGGGTCACTATATGGCTTTGTCCAATTTAATAGAACTTGGCACCAGCCAACTTATGTCCACCCCATTCCCCAGACAAATTTCCCTGCAAAGTGGAGTGAGGCTAGCCCCAAGTATCTGACCTTCAACGTTCGACAGACAATCTTTTTCCTTGTTCCATTCAGATATAGATAGGAATCGGACATGAATGACATCATTTGAGATTTTAATATATAAACACTGTTTTCAGCGCACTTATTCTGACGATGGTGTAGCTGCTGCAGTAATGAGTGTAGTGAAGGAGAATATATCACTGGTGGGGGAGCAGGCAGCCCTTAACACTGCACAGACCCTTACTGCATCTCTCCAAGAACGTGCTGATGTTGCAGCTGAAGCTCGAGATGCTCTACGAGCCAAGCATGCCAAGATAATGAGCTTCAACAAAGAAGTTGTATGTATTTTTGTGATATGTAAAGTAACAATTATTTATTAAGTTTATACACTAAAGCAATATTCTATTGCTGCAAAATTAATATTAACATCTTTCTCAGGTCTGTGCTTGTAGGGTGTAAATATTCATCATAAATATTGTAAATGTAAGTGTTGTTATTGTTGTAGTACAACTGGGTTTTTATATCACGCACTTGAAACATGGTCCATTGCACATATATTGCTTACCTCTCAATGCCGATGAGGGTGCGAGATCTAGCTCTTAATGTCCTGCCTCCTAGCCCTTCTTCTAATATAGTGGGACCTTGGTTTTCGAATGCCCCTGTTTTCAAGTTTTGTTGGTTCTCGAGCTCAAGTTCTTTGGAAAATTTGACTCGGTACTTGAGGTTTGGCTCGGTGCTCGAGTTTGTTGATACACTTATATACCGACTGAGCACGTGGCGTGCTTTAGTTTACCAGTGATGACCGCGCTGGAATTCTATGTGAAGAATTTCATTGTTTTTGTGCAGTTTTAGTTTCTGAACTTAAAAGTTTTTATTATATATCACGCCATGGGTTCCAAGAAAGTCGGTGGTAAAATTCAACCTAAGAAAATAGTTGTGAGGATGATGATAGAGGAAAAACAAGAGATTTATAGTGAGACAATATGATGTCCTTTAGACAAGTGTTAAAAACGTACGGAAAAACTTGTCTACAAACAGATTCTTAGTTAGACAAGCAAGCAGTGAACCACAACTAGGTCAAAGTGGTATGCCTGCAAAACATGAGAGAGAGAACGAGAACAAATGAACGAATGAGTACCCCAGAAATGTCATCACTGCTGTTATAATGGAAGGGAACTCCCCTTCCAAATACTAACACCTCTCCTCTCTCCTCCTTCCTCACTGCCTCCATATACCAACAAGAGTTCTCAATAAAGGTAAGATATACTTGTACATACTGTACAAATATATCTTACCTTTATTTGCCTTTCCATTGGAGACTGTGTCATGGAGAGGGGGGGGGGGCAACCTGCTGCTTGGGTAACAGCTTTGCCGTATCAATCTACCCTGACTTTGCGCCCTGGAGAGGCCACTCCAGACCGACAACCAGAGCACAGCCCCATCATCTCCTGAGACTGATGGGATGCCTACTACTACTGTAGTACAAAATATTAGTAGTAGTACGTGTCTGTATAAAATGTATTTTTAAGTTAATATTTTTGGGGGTGTGGAATGGATTAATTCAATTTACATTATTTCTTATGGAAAAATTTGTTTCGGTTTTCGAACGGATTCAATTCGAAAATGGAGGTACTGTACCACTGTAGTTGTTGGTAATTGAAGAAAGATGTATTCAAAATCATTATTAGCATTAGCAGCTGCAAGTTGAGTCATCAGCTATCTCTCACTCATCACTTACCAAATTTATCTATTATTTTATCTTTATTGAACTTGGTAGGGATTTTGTTCCTATGTGCCAGTGTGTGACCCACCTGATCCCTTGTTAGGGTACTGAATTGTCTGCTTTGATCATTCCTTTCTTCCATCTTATCCCAGATCGTTATCCTTGTCCCTTCCAAGTGCTATAGTCATAATGGCTTAGTGCTTTCTCCTGATAATTACCTTGGATCAATTTCTGTTCCCTCCAGTTTTATTTCACATCTTCCTAGGTATTGCCTGTCTGTTCCTCTATCATTTTACGGGACAACTTTGGGAATTATAAGTTATTAATATCTAGTTATTCACATGAAGTAAAATTAATAAGTAACAATAATAATGTACTTTTTTTTTGCTTATTTACATGTATTCAGTGTTTTGCTATTAGCAAAAGTAAATTAAGAGATTAAAATAAAAAGCATTTGAGAAGTAACAAGTTTAGAAATTTTGTTGATTTCCAAATTAATTTGCATTAATTCATATTCTCCTTAGAAGTTTTCATTGGCTTTTCTGCCATAGTACATGAGTGTTGTAAGAGTACTTACAGAATTGTTTAAGTAGGATTACAATATTTGCACTAAACGTTGTAACTTAACATTTTTTAATTTGTCTTTAAAAGATATGCAAATATACAAGGACTTTTATTTTGTGCTTATCTTTTACATATTACACATTCAGTACCAATGTTTGTGAATTTCAGCAAGATGAAATGGAGAGCATTCAGTGTCTTGCTGCAAACATACATGTTGGTTGGCAGAACATCAAGGATCGTGTGGTACAGCTTAAATCTTCCATTAGCGAGGCATTATCTTCCACAGTATACCCATCACCTGTTTCACCACACTCGCTGGCCAATGAATGTGAAGTATTTACATCAGTGCCACTGGCCTACCTTCTCACAACTAATGTTGAGTAAGTTGAAATTCTGTTTATTTCCTTGAATTTCTTAATAAACGTATAAATATATAGATAACGTATTGTAAGTAATCATCAAAAGAAGTTACCAAGACTGGGGAACTATCGAGCACCATATGTACAGCAAAAAGCACAACACTAGCGTTGTCAAAGGTATAAGATTCATCAAGAACTCTAACAATGGGCAAGTGACTCAAATAGACAGTGAAAAAAGAAAGAATTATGATTATCAAGAAAATTGGGACATTCTACAAGTAGGTGCATGTCTGTAAGTGGGACAATACAGTCTGAACAATAAGATGCAAGACTTTGTTCTATTAAGTGCCAATGAATTAAGCATGTTTGGTCAATTCATTGTCATGCCCAAGCTGTTTCTCGCCTTTTGTGGTGGTAGGAAGGCCATGAGGATATGCCAAATTTAATAGGGCACAGTTTATCCATTATATCTGACATTGGCATCTTTCTTGCCAATGATTATGGATTACATTATGAATAGGTAGAAATCCAAGTATGGAATCCTTTCTTGGGAGATACAGTAAGACCAGCATGAATAGTCTCCTTAGCAGCAGCGTCTGCAAGTTTGAGCCAACATCAATTTGCCCGGGTATCCAGCAAAATTTGACTTAAATTCTCCAAAGATGAGAGTCAGTATTAGATTTTGAGCACCATGAGGGCATTGTGAGAGTAAACCACAAGAACAAATGAATGTTGGCACATAAACAGCAGGCGGCATAGAGCATACAAAATTGCATAAAGTTCTGCAGGAAAATGATAGTCTCTGGAGGAAGAGACTATCAGGAAAGCAGCTTAGTAGCCAACAATGAGTCAAGTCTGCCACCATCTGTGAACAGAGCAGTAGAGTATAAATGGCAGGAAAATTGTTGAGGAAAAAATTTATTCATAACAGTAGGTGGGGGTTATAAGCTATAGGGGGTTAGTTCAGGATAATAGAAGGAAAGTCAGATAATGAGATGATGGAACTCATAACTCTGAAATGCATAGAAACAATGAAACACTTCATATATCTAATGAGCGAAGTGGATGAAAATGGCGCTGTAAGAAAGAAAAGGAAAAAACATAAGACATGGAAAATGTATTGGGGCATGGGTACAGAGGCAAATAGGGACTGAAGAGGGCCAGGAATGAGTCTACTGGAATCAGAATGGCAGCAGAGTAGCAGTTAAAAACAGCATTGCGATATAAGCAGAGCGCCAACCTAAGCTGTTGCATTACCATATACAGAGGAACGCTTCAGTACAAAACCATGTGATCAGACTGCAGGGATGACGAGGAATACTCCTGGAGGGTAACAAGAAAATGTGAATAACTCTACAAAAGCTTCCAGGTGGTCTACAAACCAAGATTTGTGACCAAGAAGAGGTGACATCAGACAGAATTTGTTACTATAGATGAGATAATAAGCCACATGGAGGCATTGTTTGCACCAAAATAAGTAGGGCTAGACCAGATATTATCATGGTTACTGATGCAAGCTGCTGGGATCTTGTTACCCATTAATTATAGTGTTAGACATTACACTAGAGATGGGAGAGCTACTGGAAATCTGGAGAAAGACAAGTGTAATTCCAGTAGTCAAGAAAAGAGGACAGACATGAAGCGTTAATGAGGAGAGTAAGATCTGAAGAACTGTAGGGTGCTGCAAGAAAACCTCTACAAGCTTCAAGAGTGTGTAGATAAATGGATGCTGGCAGAAAGAAATTAATTTGGGATTTGACTGCAGAGCCACATCCAACAATCAGGTTGACAAAATCAACCAGAGGGCCTGGTCAGAGACCGGGCCGTTGGGAGGTTGATTCTTGGATCCATTGCTAGGTAACTGTGAAGTAGAGGTTGATTTATTTTCTAAAGGTTTCACGGTATATAAAATGCTAAAAATTTTGTTGTTTTTATTCCAATTGAAAAAGTATGATAATATATAATAATGACATAATCTGTCTGCAGACAGTAATCAGGTAAATTATCAGCAATATTTTACTTTATCAATAAAGTAAAATACTTTACTGTTACATTGACAGATCTGAGTTGAAGCAGAAAGACAAAATGTCTACCACTGCACTTACATGGTATGACCAGGATACTGCTGAGGCTGGTTGGGCAGCTGTGTCTCAGCTGTGCAGTGGAATGCACTGTTGGGATGGTGTGTACAACACTGTCTTGGAGCGATTAAATATGATGACAAGCTTGCACAACCAGTTGGAGTACCTTGGAACAGTTAAGGAAGAAATGCACTCTTCACAAAAGAAAACACAGATTCTCTCTATTCAGGAAATGAAAGGTGAGTCATAAAAGTTAATAAATGATAAATAAACCTAAGCCTCAATTTAAAATAATAAGTAAATGTAATCAATAGGATATATTTGTCAACATTTATCATGTGAATAATTGTTGGTCAAAACAACGAGTTCTTTAAATTAGTCTTTGGTCTCACACGAGTTTTGAGTTATCTCGGTTACTCTAAAGCAAAAGCTTACTGATTCTTGGTTATGATCTAGCAATCAGGGCAGGTTGACATTCTATACTGGCGCCAGGTGGCCGCTATCCAGTGGACACCATTGGTTGAAAGCGACAACAGTTCAACCAACAGTGCCCACTGGAGAGAGATGGATTCATTGGAGAATACTCAATTCTGCCCAGAATGCAACCAGAAAGTGCATTTATATGAAGCTCGGCTTTTTCAGGTGTTACTTGGCATCACAAACCCCCCCCCCCCCCCAGACAGTACTTGTGGTACTGTCTGTGGTAATAATATATTTTAGTGGCCCTCTGTTAGGCCCCCCCCCCCCCTTGTAAGTACTTTTCCTCAGAACTGAATTGACTTTTAAATTGCAATGTTTCAGAGTTGATTAGGAAAGTTGAACAACATGACAAAAGTCTGCATGAAGAAGTAAATCTCCTGACAGAAACTTTTCAGCAGAAGCTTTCAGAAGGATCAAAATTACTCGCCACAATCACTAAGCTGTTCAATGATTGGTATGTTTTAAGTGACTTTACTTACCTATTGTATTATTCAGGTATCCAAAGCTTTCTATTGAACTTGCTAACCTAGTAGATAATGTGTAATATCCCATTACTCATTAGGATGGCATGTATGGTTTCTCCACGTGTAAAACCCTTGGTGCATCATTAAATAGTACTTTTTTCAAATTATATCGATCTCACTCTATTTTTTACCTTAATCAAGCTTACCTTTATTTTTTATTTTTTTATGTATCGGGTACACATTTTACGTCTTTCGTTTCCAGATAGACATTGTTTTGCTTCCTTACTATAGGAAGCTCACACCAAGCCATATCCTATAGGCTATTTCTGGAAGATTTTATAGTAAGAATGTGTGTGTAGATTACTACTTTAATTAAAAGGAATTTGCATTTTCCTCCCTGTGTGTGTCATATCAGTTATTTTAATTATGATTTAATTTTTGTGTGTACTTCTTACAGTATTGGAAAAGTTTAATTTTGAAAACACCAGGATAAAACATTTGTTTCTCTAAACTTGGCCACCTCCTCAGTTGCTCCTGAGCTGTCAGCTAGTATCCACCTTAAACTCTAGGTACCCTTTTTGACCCTGGCAAGTTGCTACATATTTTACCTAGACTGGATTTACAAGAGGAACCAGAGGAGAATAAAGTGGGTCTTTACTCTAACAGACTATATGGGGTAGTTACTTAATTGTTTTAAAGATGAAGTTATGTTGTTTTAGGTGTCATATCCCTCTTCCTTTCCATGTGTTCTCATTATTTAGTGCAGCGCTGAGTGTCAAACCACCAGTTAGTGTTTTGCCAAGTTTCTGGCTAAAGGCTAAACATTATTATTTAGAACTTATTCCTTAAACCATTTTTATTTAGTAACTACTGTACAGTGTTCAAACCGTCATAAAAACAACCATCCTTCCCCCTTTTCAAATATTGCAATTATGCTTAAATATAGAGCAAGTAAAATTACAGTAATTTTCACATGGATTTTTTCCTATTCAATTTATGACCAATAATAATTTGTTGGTGCTCTCTTTAGACTGCTAATTAAAAATACTGTACTCTTTTTACAGGTGGGAGCAGCCTGCAAAGTCCATCAAATTATTGGAGACTAAATAAGAGCAGGATCTTAATTTGCTGATGTAACGATAGCACGTTAACTCATTATTCCAATAATGCAAGCCTCAACCTACTTATACCCAGTTTGCCTTGGGTTTGGATTCTGACCAAATGATTTGGTAAGGCAAGAGGAATTGGAGATGGAGATAACTTTTTCATCATATTTTTTTTTTCTTCAAACGTTTTGGACAGAATTGACTTCAACTTCTTTCAATGCATTCCACTTGCTGGCCACCCATACAGGTAATAGGAACTTCTTAATATCTCTTTGAATCTGTTGCATATCCAGCTTCTTATAACCCTTTGTCCTACCTATATTTTTATTTAAATGAGATTCCTTTGTCTATATCCGTCAGAATCTCGTACTGTAAGTACTTATAATACCCACCCCCTGTTTCTTCTCTTGTGTAAGGTTGAGGTCTCTCAACCTGTCCTCCCTCATACCTGAGGCATCTCAATTCTGGTATTAATCTAGTTGCAAACCTTTAAATTTTTCCAGTTACTGTTTATTCTTTGCAAGGTGTGGGTTTCATGCTGGTGCTGCAAGCTCAAGTAATAGTGTCACATAGGCAGTGTGTATGAACTTGAAAGCCTGTTTAGATTCTTAGATGACATTCCTATTTTTGCTAACTTCATATATGCTGTTGAAGTTATCCTGTTCACACGAGCTTCTGGTGTTTGTGTTGAGATTACGTCTACTCCCAGGCCTTTTTATTTTATTGTTCTTGTAACTGCCTTCAGTTGGTGTAGTTAAATATAGGTCGCCTATCTTCCTTACCCATTTTCATAATTTGGATTGAATTCCAGCAGCCAATTCTGCCCCCTCACAACTTTGCATCATCTGTAAACATCGACATGTACAAGTCCATTCTCACTTTGAAGTCTTTTATATAAATTGAGAACAATGGCCCTGTGAAACACCACTTTCCATTCTTCTCCAGCCTGACTATGACTCTTGACTTATGACCTATCATAAAATTCAATAAAGTTTGTTAAGCACGATTTTTCCCTCTCTGAAGCAGTGAAGCGTGTTATAAAGTTTGCTCCCCAAATGCTGTGTAGTCCTTTTTCTGATACTTTTTCTAGCTTCTTGCAGGGAGAAAACATGTTAATGACAATGGTCTATAGTTTAGTGCTTCATGTCTGTCCATTTTCTTGACTATTGTAACTACATTCGCCTTTTTCCAGATTTACTGTAGTTTTTCAGTCTCTAGTGTAATGTCCACAACTTCAGTTGAGACTATAGTTAATGGCAACACAAGATCGCTGCAGTTTCCTTCAGTGACCATGGTGATATTTGGTCTGGTCTGGTCCTACTGCTTTTGCTACATGTGTTTGGTTAGGTTAGGATAGGTTTTGTTAGCAACATAAATACAAAACTATTTCTGGGTTGTCCAAATTCAGTGGCATGAAATTCTACTTCCCAATTGTCCATTTACAATAGTATATGTATGATGGTCCCCATGATTACTATAAGTACTATCTAAACAGGAGGATGGCCTGTGGTCTAGTCACACTCATTCCTCGCCAGTGTGATTTTAGGCCCACTTTCCTGATGCACCCGATTACCCTCCTGCCCTTTATCACTTGTTTCCCCCCCCCCCATGCTATTTCTTTTCTTCCTTTATTTATCTTGGCTTTTCTATCAGATATGTAAAGATCCTATATTGTGCAGAGCAGTTTTCTTGGGGGGAGGGGGGGCATTCTGATTTTCATAAGCATTATCTGAAGAGATATGAAGCTGTCTGTTCTTACCCTGATGCTTAGTGCTGATATGAATGCTGTAATTTAAGCATATTAGATTTTGTGGTTGCCATAGTCCTAGTCTGATCATTTTGTAAAGGTAGAGCTTAAAGTGGATTAATGCTTGCTCAAATCTATAATTTAGGTAGGTTGCTTTTAGCAATAGCTGTTCTCACACACATGTGGTGGAATTTAATAATCATTAGATTCAATATCCTAGGAGTGTTGATATTTTTTATATTATTGGCTTCTCTGATACTTATTCTGCTTTTATATTGGCTCTGCAGATGATGCTTAAACACCTGAATATTCTATATCGCAAACAGGTGCTATATAAACATCCTTGCTAAGCACTTTTTGATACTTCCATAATTATGATTAATTTAAACATTACTGCATAAATTTTTTTTAAAGTATTTGGAAGATCAACAGAACCTGACAATGCTTATCTAGTTTGTGTTAAAACATTCACAATAAAACAAATGTTCCAACTTCGTCAATAGGTTCAGAAAGAAAATGAGCAAACATTTTTACATATTACTGAGCAAACTACCAAAAGGGTTATGGGGGGATAACTTTAGACAAGAAAACAGGCATTACAAAAGTGTTAAATAGTTTATTTATATTTTAAGCTTATGTATATTTCAAAGGTCATTAGAAAAAAAATTGTAAAATAAATTTCAAAGGTTGTATATAGTTAACAAATGATGAACATGATGAAATATTTGCAGGTCCTTAATGATTTACATTAGATTATAATGTCTAACTTTCATCTGGATGATTATTGATTAAATTTACAGTTCTTGAAATACAACAAAAATTGGTCCTAACTGCACCGAAATAATGTCTTTTCGTTATTACATGAGATTTTTACTTAGCCTATAAATATTAATTTTTTTTCATTCCCAAGATGTGTATATAATCACTTGAAATGGAAAGGTTTGATAAATCAGTGTTCAAGAGCTTTACAATTAAAGGGGATGTAAAATAGTTGTATACTGAATATCCTTAACACACTATCTTTATTCTCAGCTTTCACTTAGTATTGTAATGATATTGCTCTGCTTAAAATCAGTGTTCAAGGAATAGGTACTACTTCAACAGCCATGGACTCTATGCCACATTCATCAACGCCTCGCAGTATCCTGAAGTATCCACCCTCGCCCCAATTTTCTCCCCAGGAATTCTTCACGATCCAGAACTTCTCTCCAGTTACTTCATCTGCTCCATATCCCACTACCAACACTGCATGGTTTGTCAGCTAGAAAATAATTATAAATTGGCAGTGAAATCATAAGAATTTGTAAAATATAAAAGAACCAGTATGTAAAGCTTAAGGTATACCATATTTTGGCATAGGATTTGTTAATGTGCCTCTAGATAATAACACTATTCATATTTAATACCTCAGCCAATTTAGACAGCATATCCAAGCCAGGTGTTTCTGGATAACTCTGCAGTTCTCTTTTGTAAATAATTTAGAAAACAAATACTGACTGAAGATGATACAGTGGCACCTCAATTTATTGCTGCCTACTTAAATTTTTTTTGAGTTACGACGTAATTTTGGTGGAAAATGCAACTCGACTTATGACCTTTGCCTCGATATTGTTGATACGTGTTTGGGTCGACCGAGCTCGTGGTTCCCGTCGCATGGGCCGACCCGGCTTCAGTTTATCAGAGCCGCCTGCTTAGTGATGATGGCGCTTGTAAAGAATCCCATTTTTTTAACACAATTATATATCATGTCATGGATCCCAAGAAAGTCAGTGGTAAGGTTCAACCTAAGCAAATGCATGTGAGGATGACCACAGAGGAACAACAAGAGATCATTCGTAAACATGAAGATGGTGTGCGGGTTGTTGCTTTAGCTAGGCAGTATAACAAATCTATGTCAATGAAATCCACCGTACTTGGTAAGAAAAAGGACACATTATGAGTGTTAAAATGGCAAAAGGCATATCAATAATCACAAAACATAGAACACAAACACTTAAAAAAAGTTATCATTAATTTGGATACACAAAAAGCCAGTGGGTGATTGCATGAAGATCTTATAAAGAAAACCCCTAGAACGAATGATGCAGATACGGAAGTGTTTAAGGTGAGCACGGGATGGTTTGAGAAATTTAGAAAAATTAGTGGCATTCATAAGTGTTGTGAGTTGGCGGAGGAACACAGCAAAGAACTGACCACCAAAGAACTCCAAGCCCTTCACAAGAAGCAGCAACAAGAGGCAGCTAAGGAAATTTCTTCAGGGGAAGAGGAGGCAATCTTACCCAAATGTGCCTTATATTATAAACTTACCTCCAATGGGTTAAACCTGTCGTAGAGTCCCGTGTAGTGGTAAATGCCGCCCTTATAATGAATAAAATCATCATATACTTCAAACCCAACTATAAGAGGACCTCCTTTCACCAGTGCTATCTTCATCTCCTCTTCGTTGCATGCGCCAAAGTATCCTGTTTGGTTATAGGCTCAGTAAGATAGCGTGCAGTAACATGACAAAGTCTAGAAAGAATGGCTTGGTCAACCATATTTGAACCTTCATTTATAATAAGCAAAAATAATAATCTTTATCATTCAAAAAAATAATCTTTATATTGCCACTCATTTTGTTTAATTTTTCCCAAAATTCTAAGATTTGTTAGAAATTTGTACACAGTAATTTGTTTACTTTCTCTTTGTGCTTGCTTGCTGAGAATATTTATTTTACATCAGAAAATAATTTATTTTAACAATACACAATGCCTTGGCAAAAAGAGGCAACATTTTTTTTTTATGAACAAAAGTTTGCCTCAATCTGACCTGCATCACATCTGACTGACTGTTTTGTTTAAGTTCTGGTGGCAATTCTATACAATACTTGCCACTCATTAAAAATGGGAAACTGAGTTTTATTTACTGAATATATAATTTGCTAATACTTTTTTGGGGAACAAGGCAACACAGTATTTCATAAAGCCTTACCTCCAACGTAGCGGTAATGGGCAGTGTAATGGCGGAGACAGCTTTTGTTGGTGTGACATACGTCGTCCTTTCCTTCATATGGGGAACATTCTTCCAAAACCACACCAACATCCTGAGCATACCTGAATACACAACAGAGAGGTATTAATTGTTTATCATAAGATTGTACATGTAGTTCATTGCTTTACTACTTTTCTATAATTATTATAAATTTGCATTATCCCACTCATTGTTTATACCATTTGGTATAAGCCAAATTCCAGTACTTTTGGGGATCTTTTAGCAAAACAAAACCTCTTAAGTTAAATGACAATGAATTACTGAATCTCTCACCACCAGATAATACTAAAAAAAGTTGAGAAACCTGTAGAAAATGCTAAACTGCTATAAATAAAATTACAAATATTTGTACTGTATTACATGCACATCCTTACCTGCCAGCAATGAGGAAGGGAAAGCCTCCCTCACATCCTTGGGCAAGAAGTGAGCAGCCTACCACATCCTGGGGGGAATAAACTGGCTGCTGGGTGTTGTTGGTGAGGATTCTAATACGTGATTCCAGTCCAGCCATGGAGGCAAAGGCATAGCATGACCCACAATTCCTTTGGTTTCTGCAATCAAAGATACCTGTTTAACATCTGTATATGTAAATATGTGCATTATCATTACTCCATTCTCATTTCATAAGGCAGGGAGACACATTGGAAGTATGCACATGTAAACATGACAATTTTAACCCAACTATTGCAAACAGTAACTGCTTAGTCATCATGACTATTATCCTTAATATAGAATTTTACTAAGTTCACACCATTTAACTCTCCAGATACCAACATGAGCTTGAGGCACTGATAGAAATCTGAAGTGATACAACTGCTATATACTCCTGTTCTTACGGAGACATTGATAGCTCACTACTGAACCTTACTCCCCCTATAAGGTTCAAATGCCCCAGTATTTATCTGAAATGAAAGACCTAAGTTTCCTCTTATTTCACTCCTTCTTCCCTTGATGGACGACAAAGTACAGATAATGGCAGCTACTAAGCAGCACCCATCCATGTGACCTTCCCTAGCTTAAAGTATTAGCAGGAAGTAAATAATGAGCCAGTCACTAAATGCCGACTCAAACCAGACCAACTGTCTCTGAGTGAAAATACCCACACTTACTGTCTTCCCAAAACTCATTCACTAACTCATCCCCTCCTCCCCGAATGTTGGTGTACGTTCACATGTGGAGTATGTACAGTATATACCTATACATACATGTACACATACACATAATTGCAGACAATACAAATATATAATATTTAATATTAAAAGTTATTTCAACCATTCCCTAATGTACAATGAACATAAATAGCATACCTAATAGGCGATACATAGTTGATGCCGGAGACATCACGCCAATCCCAAGCAGCTGGCATCCCAGCATCACGTAGCTTGGCGAAGAAATTGGATTTTTTTGCACCAACTCTGCTTACAACAGATGACCTGCATGATCATAGCAAATTATTAATTATTCACTTCATGTTCATTTTGTGTGCTATGAAGAGACTTCATGGAAAAAACTATGAGTACACAACTAAATCTGTAAAAAAACACCATGAAAATAAGGTAGTACTGTAGATTAGTTTCTTGTGCATATTGTACTGTTCTATCTACCCATATCTTAATTGTACTCACGCTCTGCCACCAGCCCTCCTGAGGTGATCTATCATAGTCATCTGCTCATATTCTGGATACACATTAGCATGCCAGCTATTCTGCTTGGCATTGATGTTCTGGATAAAGGCTGAATTGTAACTGTATAAAGCATCTTCCTGTTAAAAAATCAGTGGATACAAATTAAAATTATGAAAGTAATTTGATGTACATAAATCAACATTTAAAGTATTGTATCTTTCTCTTATTACATATATTATTATATATATATTACAAGTTTTAAAGTACTGTACTTTACAACGAATTAACCAAATTTTAACTTGAGCCTGAGGGTATGCCAATATCGGGCGATACGTACTGTGCTAACCTTGGTGCCACCATTGGGTAAAATAACTGGAACCAGGAAACCTAAGTGAGCCTAGACAACACAATAGAAATGAGAAACACAAATGAGCTACAGGCATGTAAGGCACACTCTCTCTCTCTCGGTGTGCAAGTAGTGAACATGCAGCATACTGTAAAGCAAGAGGTAACCAAGATAAATTCAATCCACACATTTAAAAGTACATAGGGTATGATAGAATCATATACTGAAAAGAAAAAAAGAGCAGCACCAACCTGAAGTATGTGGCTGAGAGTGTAGTTCTTGGGAGCAACTGGAGTCTTCTTCTGTGCTCGATAGCAGGCCCAGTTTCTGACCGTGACATCCCTGGACCAACCAGTCATTGTCTTGTCACAGAAAGATGTTACTTTTTCTCCACTCTGAAAAATGCAGTGTAAACAGCTATGTGCATTTAAGCATAAATATCAGCACTTGAAGGAAAGGAAAAAAAAGGGGGGGGGGGGAGGGAAAGGGAAGAAACAAGGAGGAATAGAGTAAACGAGGAGGAAGGAAGTGATGAGATGTGGATCAAGATTAAAAGTTACAAATAACTGAAACAGCAATAGCCCAGAAGATCCAAACCAGGCTGTCAGATCCAAAAGAGTTGTCACAGGCACTGTAGTAACCCTGCATAACTTAGGGCACTGGAAGCAATGGCAGATATGACAATGCATGATCATCAATTAGTCATTAAACTTGCACACACCACCAATACACAAGGTTATATGTATAAAGAAAATGACTGCTTATGAAGCCTTATAACATTTCTGAACACGAGTGATTTTGCACTGATGCTTATATTTATTTATGTGAATTGAATAATGAATGAAAGGGGTTTAGGGAAAGCCTCCTGCTTTCTTCCAATCAAGTTACACCTGTTTGCTTACATAATATTTAAGATAATTTCATTCAGAGTAGGAGAGAAACCTTGGATATTATATGTTAGTGGGATTGTAGTTACCAGATATTTGCCATTCTGGATAACTGCTTGCAGTTAGTGTAGTAGTGCTAGCGCACTACTACAGAGTGTCCACATCCTGTGTACTCATTATATTCTGTCATCAGGATGTGTCTATCAGCTGCCTGGGGAGTGCATAAGCAACATGTACACACAGCAAAGCTCACCCCGTGAGCATCATTGCTAACACATTTATTAACTACTGACTATCTGCAGGCCCTTTATCTTATGTCAGCTACTTATTACCGACACTATATGCACCCATTGTGCAACCAACCACTCATTCTTTACTGCCACCCATTTACAGAACACTAATCACTCAACAATTTGAACATTGGTAACTTGAATCTCCAGGTTGTTCAGCCAAAATAATGAGTTAAGACAGTCCCTTAAGTTGGATGGAATCCGAATAATGGGATTTTGTGGTCACGTTAGTTATTGGCATTCTGGATAACTGCTTGCAGTTTCTTTTTAGTTTTAGTTACTTCAGTCATTTAATTTACTTAGTGCTAGTGCAGTGGCATCTATTTAAAAATACTCAAATACATTAAAAAATGCATTAATAACAAAATTTATAAGCATTATATAAATACAGTGTGAATGTAATGAAATGCTCTTTCCTGGTGAAGCTCTCAGTAGCTCTGGAGCTAAGTGCTGGTCCAGCCATGCCTTAAGGAGATGCACCAGGCCCCAAGACCCACCTGTGCCTACTGGGAGCAGGAGCAGACTCTCTATGAGGTGGGGCAAACTTTCGTGTTAGAGAACAACCCAAAACAACAGGAAAAACTACCAGAAGGCCTAAGTGAAACAAAACAAGTAATTGCTTGATGAAAAATAGGAACCAGAATGGTGGTTCTATCCAGTTAGCCAACTACTTGCCCCAATGTGGGAATGTGTGGTGTACTGCTTTGTTGACGCTTTGGGCTTGGAATATCTGACAGTTTTTTTTAAGTCTTGTTTTTGTTGGTAGTTCTTCCGTGTTTGTGTTCACATTGGCATTTGGTACGTGACTGGTGTTCTTTGCCTCAACCTCTCTTCTGTTGCTGTTCTCCCCAGGGTCAGCTCAGTCTGCCCGTTTCAGTTTTTCAGCCTCCCAGCCTTTCAGAGAGGTCATAATGGGTAAGCTTGAGGAATCCACTGCAAGGTTCCTCCCATAAAATTAGGGAAGCCAGCTAGGCAAGACCTGTTGACCTGATCTGCCATCTGGTGGTGGTAAGATGCACCAGTCAAGAGTATTTATCCTGCAGCAATCAGTTTTCCTTGTTTGCATATTGATGCCTAATTTCCATCCAGTGATGGCCACTAATCCAGTGATGGCTCCATCCAGTGAGATGGAGCCAACCTATTGAAGCATAATGTGACCCGGGTCTGTGTACCAGCAACAGATAAATCCCAGAGGCCTGGTTTATTTATTTAAACCTGGTAAGGTTTAGTGGTGCTGTACTAGTTATATTTGAGTAGCTACTGGGATCCCTACCAGAAATAATCCTAAAAGTGAAATTTAAAAAATTGATTTTACAAAATAAATTGTTGCAATTTATCTTTAATCCCATTATCAGGCATTTCCTATCACTTCAACTACTTTCCTTCCTCCTCTTGTTCCCAATCTGACCCACACACTTGTACTCATTATTCACACACACACACTTGTTCCTTATTCCCCAACCCTCACACACACTCCCAATTTTCTACTAATAAACATCAACCCAAATCCACCTCATGTACATCATAATTTCCATCTCACCTTTTTATACAAGGAGAAAGCAAAATATGACCTTCCAGAAACTCTGATCTCAAAGCCCTGGTTATAGATCATGGTCCAGGTGCCTTCATTCCCAAACTCGTCCACAGCAACATTCGGGTACATGAGGTTGACGTTTTTCTTGTGCACAATGGGGCCTGTAAGATATGTATGTGATGAGTTGTAGTGCATCTTTTTAGGAGATACTGTAGATAAAATATTATGTTACATATTTATTAAATAGACGAGAGATGCTTGAAGGAGGCTCGCACACAACTAACCATAGACAATTCCTTGATTGATTCAATTTAACCACACTTAAAATGATAAGAGGGTTAAACATTTGTTAATTAACTGTTGTGCACAGTGCTATTGTCCCCATGAGCACATATCCCTTGTACAGTACCTTAAATGTTTTATGTGCACTTCATACACATAAAATAACTATCTGGGTAATTGTTGGGCTTTAATGTTTTCTATCTGTTTAATAACTTTGTTATGTGATGAGTGTGGTTAATAACTTTGTTATTAACCATTAAACAATTCAACATGTCCCCTTCACCATCTACTGCACATAGAAATCTTCAGTGTAGGCAAAGTATGAAGTTTTTCTTAGTAAAAACAAAGTATTTATTTAGAATGCCACCCACTTCTTTGTTATTATTATTTACTTTATCTAAATGTTAGTGGTCCTCAGGTAAATTCAAGTAAATAATTAGCCCAGTTGATAAGTACATGGGCCACCATCCTACCTACCAATCATTTTTGTTTGAAGTGCCTGTAACAAGATACACAATGAACAATATTTAGTAAAGAGTATTTTATGAAGCGAGTCCTCACAACCTTTATTATAGTATGTACAGTACTATAATAAAGTACAGTATTAGTAAACTTGTTCAAATCTGTTTAATATTACCGAACACATACCAAGATCTTATAAAGTACAGTATGTACCAACACTGAATGTAATTTATACAAAATAACACCACACAAGTGAATTTTACTTACCCATATTATTGCAGTCAATGTTAGCATCTCCAGAGCGTTCAGTCTCGTAAAGTATCCAGTCTCCTCGGACATCATCAAAAGTGCAGTTAGCTGGTGTATCGGCTCTGGTGCCATGCACCAGCATCACCAACACTACTGCACACTGCCACATGTACATTTTCTCAAACACTGCCGATAACAATACAAATCTGTTTAGTATTTACTTGATTATTTATGTGTATTTATACATGAGGAATTAATGCAGCACAGGTACACAAATTTAACTTCTAATGACAACAGCGTACATTGGTTTAATATGCATGTCTATTGTAAAATACATACAGTGTGGATACCTTCATGTCTATTGTCAAATTAAAGGCTCCATACTTTAAGTTTGCTTTGCAACCATACATAAAATCGCTAGCACATCCGTGGTCGATGAAGGGTGCGTCTTGGAGCAATTAGAAAGTTGTGAACTTTTGAACCAGTGACTTTGATGGAGGATGAAGAAGATTCCAGGCCTTTTCAGGTAGCAATGATCAGGAGAAACGGAAACAGCGTTAAGTGATACTGACAGTGATGAACGAGTGAAGAAGTGTTGTGATCGAAGGCAGACAGAAACTGGGTTACAAAGTTCTATACAAACTCAGCAGGAAGATCTCACTAGAAGAATACAACAGGACCACATACAGCAAGAGGCACGGATTAACGGAAGGAAGCGGCTGTTATGTCCCTCAACATGTCCACTAACTTTTCATCAGATGCTGGAGTGGACCATTCAATTAGTCAATGAATTTCGTGAATATGAACCACTATTTAAGGAGGGTGTTCACCGGCCCTACATAACAGTTGGGACAGAAGAGGCAGTGGAACATTTAACGACTAACGGATTTAGGAATATTGTTTTGGTTACTCCTGAAGTCGGAATAATTTACACAAAAGTTATTGTTTTCAAGTATCCGACATATTTGAGCCTGAATTTCTTCATCAACAATGAAAGTGTTGTATGGGCTAAGAGGAACATTATATGTGATGAAAAACAAATCCAAATTGTTGCCTATTTAAAGGGCGAGGCTCCAGAAAGAATTTTTGTGCAAGGACTTTGATACATCCAAGTCCATTTTGCACGAACTTGTCTAAGTGCCTCTTGAATACATCCACCTATGTTCTGGCAATATTTCTAATGCTTGCTGGGAGGGGTGTCGAACAGCTGTGGACCCCTGATATGTGGATCTGCGGGCCGCTCCAAGCAACTGCCTGTTGGACCAAGTTATCACAAGTCGAGCCTGGCCTTAAGCCGGGCTCGGTTGGAGTAGAAGAACCAAGTCTTCCTGTGCCACCACATCCCACTTTGTTGATTATTTATATAAAAGTACATATGGTTTTTATATAAAACATAATACAACATGTAAACATAATCTAAATGTTAACTATCTATTAATGGTAAGACCTATCTCAATTATGGTACACATACTGTATGTGCTTGGGGTTCTACTACACAAAATAATTTATTTCCTCTAATTTCTTGACACAAATCAGCTATTAGAACAAAAAGAAACTCTAGCCCCCATACAGTACTGCCCTCTTATTCAAATCTTTGAATATGGTAGACATTAAGTCACAGCACATACTCTCAGATGTACTCTATACATAAAGCTCTGAACTGTAATGCTAATCCCAACCCTTAACGCTTCCTACACAGTTGTACAGAAGCCATGGGCTCCACACTAGAAACAAATATCTATTGGATATTCCTAGAGTGCAACTTAACCAAACTAGAAATGCTATGCAAATCAAGGGTCCCAAAATGTGGAATGACCTTCCCAGTCACGTCAAATATTGCCCCTTTCTCAACCAGTTTAATAGAAAAAGTAAGTACTGCAGTACTACCTAATCCCCGGGACACAGTGGTAAAACACTGGCCCCGGACTTTGGCCTGGGTTCGTATCCAGGCCGGGGAGGATTGACTGGGCGCCAGTCCTTAACTGTAGCCTCTGTTCACCCAGCAGTAAACGGGTTCCTGGTGGTTAAACAATTTGGCGGGTCGTATACCGGTGAAAATTAGGATTAAAGACCTTCCCGAAACGCTTTGCATTTTAGTGGCTTTACGAGAATATAGGAACACTTGTATATATAAATAACAAAAAACAATATATGTGCGTCGCGTCATTCGGTCAGTCGGGTTAAACACTCATTGTTCACGCCAGCAACTGGATGAGTGACCACGTGCACGCGGGCTACACATGACTACGTTGCATGGAGACCATAAAATACCATGGTCCTTACCTCATACAAATTGTAAATTGTGAAATTATAAACGTATCGTAGAGTGCAGAAGAACAAACACACAAACCATATCCTCCACACGTCACTAGCACTGAAACACAACTTCCAGTTTCGTAAGATAATAAAATACTAGATCTTCTCCACGAGCTTGAATCTTAACAAATTTGCGTTGTATAAACTATCCTCATACAAAATATAACGGTATATATGCCAAAGAAAAGTGAAATACGTTACCAGTATGACGAGAGTTGGCAGGAGCGGGAAGACGCAGCCTCCTCCCAGCGTGTCTGGCAGATGACTGGCTGGTGGCTGACCCCGGGGGGTTATATACCTCCCTCCTGGACGCTTATCCCACGGAGCCACGCTCAGGTGGGATAAGACACCACACACCACCACCCACTGGTTTATTTAATATATACAAGACGGTACATTGGGTATTAAGAGAGTACATAGTAATAATAATGATTTTACATTCTTCTAAAATCACTAGCACGCATAGCGTTTAGGGCAATTGGTCCACTCATGACTAATAGTCAACTTACTGGCCACCTTATGTTGGCCTCCAAATACATGGTAAGAGCCGCAGAATCTGCCTTTAAAGGAGAAACTTAGTATAATCTTGGATTGCCAATATTGCCACTATTTCTGCCATGTTAGGCCCTTTTTTATTTTTTTATTTTCTCAACACATTTTATACTTTAATCTCAATTAGTATTAAGTTCTAGTCTTTAGTGTTTTTCCTGCCCGAAACGCTTTGCGTAATAGTGGCTTTAGGCATAGTATGTGCTACCTCTATCTATAAATTCATCAATATTTGTATCACACCTTGTATATATGTACTTTACCTGAATATACATTTCAATTTTGAATTTTAATCAGTCCGAGAGCAATAGTACACCAACAACTGCAACAAAATCTTGTAGCTGTGAGGCAAAGTGAAATCGACACCAGTAATTCCATCTATCATCATACTATCATGCAAGAGGAGCCACACATCTATAGATCCAATAAAATCAGCAGACTTCTAGATATTACTACTGCTTGGCTTAGACTCTGTTACAAGTATCTCTGGACATTCTCATTTATCTGCTGATAATGAAATAATTCAGATAATTCACTTGACCAAATGTAAACTGTGTCAACAAAATTATTCGCACACCCTTCGTCACTATGTAATGGAGTGCGAAAAGATACGGGAATTCAGAGACCAACCAATGTTTGGTTGGTCTATAACCAATGTTTCAACGATGTGTAAATATTTCATTCAAAATGACCTGCTACCAGAAATATTAGCCAAATATCCCCAGTTTGCTAACTGTAGGTAGTAACTAGTCCCTGAGCTTATTATGTGCCTCTATAACCCTGTCCACTACCGCTCACAAGATGGGTATGGGGTGCATAATAAATGAACTAAGTTAAAACTACAAGCCATAAATACAACGAAATTCAAAGCGCAAGAGATTGAGCATACCAAGTTGGCCTATTATAGATAGTGTACTGGATGGGGTCGCTCCACTGCGTAAGTACAACCCAATGGTATATCTTAGTGTGTACAGTACTTATCTTTCGGCGATTACTGGGGGAGTGAGGTCTAGCGCTTTATGCCCCACTAAGAAGCTCAGACCTCAATAAACATATTTCAATTTAAATTTCAAGGAGCTCAGCGTCAAACAACAAAAACTATACTAAGAAAACTTTAAAATAAATCACACGATGCCCACTTAAAGAAGATAAATTTATCCAGTCTTGTAAAGAGAAGAAAAAAAAGGTAATTTAATAATCATCTGTTTTTGTTGTGAAGTTTTGCGCACAAAGTTTTTGTGCGTTGGGTGAAACATAAGAACAAAGGCAACTGCAGAAGGCCCATTGTCCCATACGAGGCAGCTCCTATATCTATAACCACCCAATCCCACTCATAGACATGTCCAACCCGCGCTTGAAACAATCGAGGGACCCCACCTCTACCACGTTACGCGGTAATTGGTTCCACAAATCAACAACCCTGTTACCGAACCAGTATTTACCCAAGTCTTTCCTAAATCTAAATTTATCCAATTTATACCCATTGTTTCGTGTTCTGTCTTGTGTTGATACTTTTAATACCCTATTAATATCCCCTTTGTTGAGTCCATTCATCCACTTGTAAACCTCTATCATGTCACCCCTAACTCTTCGCCTTAACCATAACCTTATAAATTCTACCTGTACTGGTGGTAGAATTATCTGGCAATCTTATGTACAAATCTTTGTGTCATGCATGATGAATATTCCTGCCATTGCGATGGGAATTTAAACCGAGCGAAAATTTGAGCACATTTCCCTTACACCTGATGCTTCTGTTCAGGTAGCTGTAATTTGGTACCTGGGAGTTAATAAACTGTTGTGGTTGCATAATGGGGAAGGTTAGACGATGGATAAAGGAATTTAGATCAAGAAACCTAACAGGCAGTCTATCCCCCCGGGCCCCGACAGTTATGACACGTTTTGACTTCCGTGAACTTAATTAACGTGTTTATTGGTTCTGGGATTAATAATATTGTGTTCGAGAGTATGTTGGCAACGCTGACTGTATAGCAGAAGTGTGGAGGCACTTCTCAGGAACCCTGTCATTACAACACCACATGTATTACACCCTTTGTACACCATTACTTGACTCTTTGTCAACATTTATTGTATGTACTAGCTCTATCTATAAATTCAGCAATATTTGTATCACCCCTTGTATGTATGTACTTTACCTGAATAAACATTTGAATTTGAATTTAGTAATGACAAAAGATGTCTTAAAAAGTGGAAGGAATACATAAGACATACGGACAGTAGTAAGGCAGACACATGAGTGACTAACCTAAGAGGGTCCATACGGACGTGTTGTGGCGTCCTCAATATGCACCGAGTGCCTGATAGCTCGGGTGAGCACTCAATTGTAAACTATGTGAACAAGACCTGGGACACGCTCTTCAATGTTATGTTTGTGAATACCATGTTATCAACAAATTTGTTATGTTATAAAACACAACACTGCGCCACGGGGACTGCCAGCCCGTCCTCATAAACATAGGCCAAAGTCCATTCCATGCACCCACCAAACCGACTACAGTATTTATGAATGGAAAACGGTTTACACATGATTCAACCCGTCCTCAGACCAAGTCCATTCCATCCAGCGGTCGACCCCAAAGACGCATTCATCAATTTTGACATTCTGTTCATTCAAAACAGACTTTTCTCAAATATAAATTTACTGACTATGAGAGGATAAATACTATCTCAGTAATAGTATTTACTGCCCCAAGAGTGTAACACTTATATGCTGTGCTTACTACAGATTGAGCATAGCTCCTGTGCCACGTAAGTCCGCTACAGGCTCATCATAGCCCGTGCTACTTGCCCCGCTCCTGTGCCAGGTAAGTTACGGGCTCACCATAGCCTGTGCTACTTGGAACTTGTTCCGAGTAGCTAAATCTATAACAACAACTGTGCTTACTATATTAACCTGCAATGTTAACTGTGATTCTTGTACTGTGAGTGTACATTGTACATACTGTGATGCCTACTACTGTGATTGTTGATGGTAGTTGATGATAAACTAGCTAAGTTCAGTGTTGGAACAGAGGGAAAAATTACTGCATCTACTTTGTATTCCTCCCATGTTGGTGTTAATTGTTAATCATGCTTTGTAACATTAGAACATAAAGATCTTATTATGCTTTCACATGTATTATTCATTTCTTCCCATCTTTTGAAGTGAGGGAATTAATCCATTAGCTCTCGCCTCTCATTAACCTAATTGCAGAAGCTTCATTTATCTCTGAAATTCTATCCCCAATACTCTAAGTTCAATCATGCCATCATTATCTCGGTAATAGTATTTATTGGGCCAAGAGAATTATCTTGGGATTATTCTCATGGCTTCTTTTGTACCTTCTCCAACTTCTTTAGTCTGCCTTTACCAAAACAAGACATGACAGGGGCAGCATAATCAGAGAGAGATCTCACAGTATGCCATGTGATTACCAGTGGAATGCGAAATATAGAATATAATCAATAATTGTGTACTGTATGGGTTTGTGAGCCCCTTGAGGGACCTTATATAGACGAGGTTAGCAATAGCCTAAGCTACTCTATCCTTTTGAGATGTACTTCATTTTCTGAATAAACTTAAACTTGGGAATTCTCCGCCCCTGGGGAGGATGGAGTAACTTATGTAATACTTAATGAATTTACCATTATGAAAAAACCCCAGTTAGACCTCTTTAATATTAAGCCATAAAAAGGGCAGTATTCCTATTAGATGAAAAAAAAAACAGCTAGCTATGATCATCCCTATCCCTAAAGCCAATGGAGAGTACAGACCTGTGTCCTTAACCTCGTGTTTTTGTAAGATGAGGGAAAGGAAAATTTGAGAGACTTGTATATGGTATATAAAATCAGCTATATAATCAGCTGGCTAGTAATTTGTTCCGGTTCCTCAGAGGCAAAAGTACCTCTGACAGTATTATTAAATGTCTAGCTAATGATAATGATTATTGTAGAACTTTTATTGATTTAGAAGGAGCCTTTGATAAAGTTTAGTTAGTTTAGTTCATTTATTATGCACCCCATTCCACTACCGCCCACAGGATGGGTAAGGGCCTCAAATACAACAAAATTATTAAGGATGGTAACAGTCCATTTCATGTGGTCTCAATCTCATAGTACCACAGTTCTATGGGTGCAAGAGTATGCCTCCTCAAACAACACTCGGGCGTCAAAACAAGTAAGTAATTATCAAAAGAAGGCACCAAACCGGGAAGGCTGAGGCGTCAAAACAAAAGAAAAAAAAAAAAAAAAAAAGCCGAAAGAAGAAGAATCAAAACAGGCAAAAACTAGGCGGGAAATGACAATTAGAAAGGAGAAGGGGGGGGGGGGGGGGGAAGAGAAAAACAAAACAAGGAAAAGGACAAGTTGCCTGGCAGAATTTGAGAGGACAGCAGCAGGAGCATAAGGCCACAAAAGGACTGAGGACTGTCCTGTGGAGCATCACGCTCCGGCAGCTGCCCACCAAGCCCACCTCACGGCAGCAACGGGCCAGACAGGGAGGGAGGTAGTCTCAAGTCCTCAACCAGGACCTTCACTAAGGTTTCTATAACTGTAGTCCCTCTTATGTAGTTTGTGCAGTTATGGTAATGTAGTTATGTAGTTTGTATGTAGCTTATGTAGTTTGCCTGTTTCAGAGTCAAGGTTAACGATGTTGTCTTGACTGTGGGAGCAGTCTACAGGGTTCCTAACACTGATGTGACTGAATTTAACGCAAACCTTAGAAATCTTATACGAGAGAACCGACTGAACAAAAAACCACTTAATTATTTCTGGTGACTAACGTTGACCTTTGCAAGCCTGATACCCTTCCTGCTGCTAGTTTCCTCAACTGTATGAATTCCTGCTTCCTCATACCCTTAATCACTAGACCTACTAGAATCACTGACAGTACTGCCACGACTTTTGATCACATCTGGACCAACATAACCTCTCCGCTTACTTCAGGGATAATCATAGATAGCACTACAGACCATTACCCCACATTTCTCCTAACCAACATTAACAAACCACCTCTAGAGACAAGGGAGATAAGCTTTAGGCTGCACAATGAAACTGCTATAGGCAATTTTATAGCTGCTGCTGCTAATATCAACTGGGAATCCGAATTAGGGAACATAAGGGACATCAACCTAGCAGAGCAATCATTTCTTAAAAAAACTCTCAGCCTTTATAACACCCACTGTCCTATGCTAACAAAACAAGTCACAACTAAAAGGCATTATGTGCCTCTGTAACCCTTTCCACTACCGCCCACAAGATGGGTATGGGGTGCATAATAAATGAACTAAATAATAAACTAAAAGGCTTAACAATCCTTGGCTTACAAAGGGGATACTTAAATCCATTAATAAAAAACATGACCTTGAGAAGAAGGTAAGGTAATTATCAAAAGAAGGCACCAAACCGGGAAGGCTATGTAGCACCATCAAAGTGCAAAATAATCAGAGGGCGCTAAATATTACCAAGAATGCCAATATGAGAACAAAAAAGCATAAGGCAAACGATATCAAAAGTATCCGATTCACCTAGAATTATATCGAGGGACAAGTGACCGCGAGGGATGGTCGGAAAGCAAGACACACGCTCGTCCTGGAAGTCAGGACATTCAACAAGGATACCTTACCTTGAGGTTACCTTGAGGTGCTTCCGGGGCTTAGCGTCCCCGCAGCCCGATTGTCGACCAGGCCTCCTGGTTGCCGGACTGATCAACCAGGCTGTTGGACGTGGCTGCTCGCAGCCTGACGTATGAGTCACAGCCTGGTTGATCAGGTATCCTTTGGAGGTGCTTATCCAGTTCTCTCTTGAACACTGGGAGGGGTCGGCCAGGATATGCACAACTGTAAGAGGGACAACACAATTCGGACAATAAGGAGCAGGGCGGCGCTCCATTAAGTGACCGTGGGTTAAGCGAGTATGACCAACCCGCAGCCGTGCCAAAGCAGTTTCACCTCGAGAAGAAGTATAGGTTAGGAATCGTCTTCAAAGAATTTTCAAAGAATTACTCATCATTGCTATCTAAAATAATTAGAAGAGCCAAAATTAAATACTACGAAGATAAATTTACTCACACAAAGGGCAATATTAAGAAAACATGGAGCACAATTTCTCAAATATTGGGATCAAAGAAGATTTTAAATAACAAACCAATACTCCTATCAAATAATGATGGTCTGCTTTCAGCCTCTGACACTGCTCCTGAGTTCAATAGGTTCTTCTCTTCCATTGGGTCATCCCTTGCAAGTCCCTTATGTTCCCTAATTCCATCTTCTAGTACTAATATTCAGGACTATCTTACAGGTAACTATCTACAGTCTCTGTACCTAATGCTTACTAATTCCACTGATGTTACTGACATAATCCTTTCCCTTACCCTACCTTTACCAACGACCGCAGCATACACTAAACTTGCAAAAGTTAGATCACCATTCAGGACCCTAAATAGGCATTTTGATTGCTGTACACCAAAACTGGTCTTGCATAGGTGGAGTATGCCACCCCATCACGGAACCCCCTATCTAAAGAAATGCACAAGGAAACTCGAATAAGTTAAGTAGTTTTGCAACTTGGGTCGTCCTAGAATTGCAAGGGATGAGGATATGAAGGAAGACAGAATTAAACCTGATGAAGCTAGAAAAGAGAGGAGAGACTGGAAAGACATGATAGATGTAGCTTCTGGGGGGAAAAAAAAAAAAGGTATGAGAAGTGGCTAGAGGTTTTAAATATGCCAAAGCTAGAAGATAAAAGAAAAAGAGGCGATATGATCACTACGTACAAAATACTGTACTTTAGTAACGAGAATTGACAAATCCCAAAAATAAAAATTCTTGAAACCTAGAACTTTAAAAACAAGATTTCATCAATTAAAAAAAAAAAAAACACAAACACACACACTCCATTTAGAAAGTTCACCATTGCAAACAGTGGTGTAGATGGTTGGAACAGGCAAGAAGGCTGTGGGTGCCAAATCCATCCATAGTTTCAAAGCATCATATAAGTACCAATAAGACAGAACATCACAAGCAAAGCTTTCATCCTGTAGCTTAGGTAATTACTGTACAGGTTACTTGTCCCAACAAATTATTACAGTATCTCTTACTGTACTTGAAAATTACTTTTTAGAATTTAGAGTTTTACATTTCTTCACTCGAGTACAGCCAAACTAATAATTATATTTTTCCTGACAAATAAATATTTTATGACAAGAAATTAAAATTTTTCTCCGTTTTATATTTTATGCACACCTGGAAAGGGCCCTAAAAACCATTATGCAGTAAAATTCAATAATTCAGTTTAAAATGCACAAATATCTTTTGGACCATGGTGGGGACCGTTAACAAGCTGCCAGCTTTCTGTCCCTGTTGAGGCCACTATGGATGGTAATCCGCAGGTGAATTCAGATAAGTGAGAAACCCAAAACTCTTAAGATGGTAAATAAAAACTTTTTAATACAACTATTAATCCTTATCTTGAAATAAATTATTAAGCTACAACAAACTTAAGACATTTTAAATTGTAGGTAAATTACATGACTGAAGATAATAAAATGTTTAATAGCTGAGGAAATAATTTACAATTGCTAACAAAATCTGATTAATTCATATGAATGGTAGTTTCTAAAAGAAAAATCTCATTTTTATGGTATAACAATAATCAAGAGCTATGCAAGGAACGATTTCATAAACATGAGTTAACAATTTCTAGTTTGTTGACCGCACACAATTTACATGGAAAGACAAAGAAAACAAAAAGCGTTGAATGTAATGAATGCCTTTATCTGAATGAGCCCTGTTGGCTCTCTGAAGCTATCCAAACTGATATGTTCTACATTAGTTTGGGGGCCATCAGTCACAGGAGTTATGCCTACTGGGAACCACGAGCCAGAACCTGGTCCTCTCTCAGAGGTACAGGGAGGGAGGGAGGGAGAGGTGTTGGGGAGCCTCCGGAGCTCACCCAGAAAATGGTATTTCATTACATTCAATGCTGGTTTTCTGTGGGAAGCCACATCGTTTACCTGAAGTGCTACTCAAAAATCATGTAGAAGCATGGACTTATTCAGATGGCGGCAGCACTGAACGCATGGACACAGTTGGCAGCATGGACACGGTTGCCGGAACAACCATGGACATCTTCAAGAGGAAACTAGATTTATTCCTCCAAGGAGTGCCGGACCAACCGGGCTGTGGTGGGTATGTGGGCTTGTGGGCCGCTCCAAGCAACAGCCTAGTGGACCAAACTCTCACAAATCAAGCCTGGCCTCGGGCCGGGCTTGGGGGAGTAGAAGAACTCCCAGAACCCATCAACCAGGTATCAACCAGGTACCGCAGGTCTTGAGACAAAGAAGAGGAAGACTGCCACGACAGGCACCCGAAAGCCACACACGACAGGGAAGGAACCAGAATGTTCACTAGATTGCTGGTGGCCTGGACTCTGTTCAACCTCCAAAACCCTCACACCCGAATATCTACCCAAGATATGTTACCAAAAACTGGAAGAGGAGGAGGAGAAATCTGAAACTCCGCCCTCACTCCGAAACCCCTCACACATTCGGGAACCGGGAGCTGGAAGCAGGGATGGGGGGGGGGGGGGGGGAAAGGAGCAGGGTGAATCACGCCCACCAGGTAAGGAAGCAGGGGTGAGGAAGGAACCAAGGTCAAAGCAACCAACAGCCCCCTAAACCTGGGCCCTAAAACCCAAGCAGGGCAGCTCTGGGTCCTCCAACCAAGCAACCAACCTGGCCCATTGTAGTAAGGAGAATCGAACATGCAATGCAGCCGCTGCCTGATCCTTGATCAACAGACAAGGAATGAGTGAAGTGAAGTACAAGCGGGGAACAAGGCCTGCAAGACACTGGGTCAGTGGTGTCCCCGACCCATCAAGCAGCGTGACAGAGGCAGTACGGATGATCATTTCCCTTTGGCAGGGGCAACAAACAACCTTCGACTTCGCACAAGGCGAGAGCAGGTTCGGAAGAAGTAGCCATTGTACGATTGAGCCCATGGGTTTTCCAGGGCCCATAGGGTGAATGAGCTCTATGGGAAGCCCAGGCACTGGGGCTAGCCAAGCCGATTGAACCCTGTCAGGTAGCAGGCAAACAGACCAGTAGCAGCTATGAAACCTTGGGGGAAACACAGGAGGACTACAAACATAATTTAGGCTTGCCTATTAAGTTAAACAGACCACCACCACCTAAACAAGGCAAGAACGACCAAGTGAAAAGAAAATGAATACAATCAAAATGAATACAAGTGCTAGTAGCATGAGGGGTTGCTTGTTTGGTTTTCTTCTAGGAGAGTTATTTTTATCTTTATGAATGTAGATTGCACAGGTTAACCAGACAATGGTCCATTTTGATTCACCTACCTTTCTGGGCCCTTCCCTGGTTGATGGCAATTATGACATACTATACTTTAAATGTAAAGTGCTCATATACCATTGCTCCCTGTGGCTCTCTGACGGGGACCAGGTAGGCTTAAGAACTCCTGTGACTGATGACCCCTAACTAATACAGCACATCAATTTGGATAGCTTCAGGGAGCCAATGGGCTCCCCACAGAAAAGTTGGGCAACACTGAAATTTCTCTAGTGATGGCTACTTTGATAAAATACGTATATTTGGCACAATATTGGACTTCAGTTACTTCAATTACAACTTCAAAAAGTTACACACATGATTAATAATGTCTGATGCACGATATTCAAGATGGATACCATGAATGTACAGTATAAGCAATTTAAAATCTGAAGGACAAGAACATTAAAAAAATGAATGAAAAATTACTTTGTAGCACTGTCCATATGAACAATTATTAAAGATGCTGCTAAGCACAAGGAAATTAATGTTTGTTAGTATTCATACCTCAGACTTTAAATAATTTTGAATGTAAAAACTTATATTTTATCATCCCTTAATTCAATATTTACAATTAGCAGACTAGAAATGCATATGTAAAATATGTATTTAACATCGTTTATCATGTTATTATACAGTAGCTCATTATATAGCTGACCCTTAACCCCTGCACTGCTCACCTTTTAAATTGACATTCCCGTGCTGCACCAAAAATAAATTGTTCTATAAAGTTTTTTTTATTGTTAATTACCACCCAGGAAACACAAAAATTCAAGTAAAAGTCTCTACATCTTTTAGTTTAGCTGTGGTAACCTGGAGAATTTGCATATTTTTTTTTGTTTGTAAAAACGAGACTAGTTGACATTGAAATAACTATTTTCAGTTTCTCACTATTTATTTAGTTTTTTTGCTCTAACAAGTTGTATCAATGTGTCAAAGCTAAGTAATGGTAAATACTCGCTTGCTGTTAAAATTTTAGTGGCTCATAGTATGGCTGTCCTACACACTATAAATGCCATGGCCTGACGAACGCTTCATAGGCCTTAATAACCTAGCCCATGGAAGGAAAGTGAGGCACCCGGGATATTTTTTAAGATGGGCTTTTTTTTGGCATGGTTACTGGAGGCCTGAGGAAGCAAATGTGTGCTCCATTGTATACATGGGAGTTTCGTATCTTATGATATGCCAAGATAATCACATGTCGGCTGGTGCACCAGCACACCCCTTAATATGTCGGCTGGTGCAGAGCAGGGGTTAAGCTTGGTAAAGGTAAAAAGGAAAGGGGAAAGGAAAGCACAAACCTAAATCAGTCTGTAATCTGGTTACTATACAACTCATTTAAAAAATTTGTCACTTTGGAATTGACTAAAATTATTTGCAAATGAAGTTTATCAGCTATCAAATTATTCAAGGAATAAAAATATTTATATAATCAACACACTTTCACATTGCCTTTTAATCTATCTTTGTGCTAAGTTTTGAGGAAGAAACTGACAATACTTCACCTGTGACCATAAAACTTGCCATGACTAATGCCATTGAAAGTTGAAAAAAAAAAAAAAAATTACTTTAGAAATATGTTTGTTGTAAATCTTTAATAGCACTTTTACACATGCAAAAAGATTGGGTATAATATATTGATGGAGCAAATTGATATACTTGTGCTTTATGTATGGATATGGTAATGAGAGAACATTCCAGGAAATCCACACATTCCTACAGCATTGTTCAAATGCTACAGCATTATTGTAATCACCTAAGTGCTTTTATTTCTGCACAAACTATTCTCTGCTAACATGCACATGCTTCTTTTCCAATGCTCTCTCCCAACACGAAATTGCAAACAAGTTCGCAAAAGCATTTATACAGTAAATTTAGATTGATTTTAATTCATTGTAAGTATTTATAACTCAATTCTCCATTGTCTCCAGTTAATGGCATTTTTTTAATTAATGTTTTTTTTAATGTGTTGTTACTCGCTGCACACACATTCAATGTGTCATTCTGAAATTTATGTAAAAATAAATTTGGAAATCTATAAAAATTCATATGCAAGAATTTTTCTTTTGTCAGCTTTGCTAAGATTTTATAAAATTTATAAAAATATTGAAAGAACTGTACCTGAAACCTTAATTGCTGACAAAATTTCAGTAATATGGCTTATCACAATAACAGTGAATATTGTCACAATCAACATAACGCTAAAATTAATTTGTATAAAATACATGAATATGGCACAATTAGCTTTAATGTAACAAACTAAAACCACAAAATGTACCAAAGATATACTCAAATTTTATCCTCTATTCCAAATTTGTAACATTCTATAACACTATACAGTAATATTTATTATTTGTTAGTCTGGTAGAGAGAGAAATAGTGTCCCTTCTTCTCGATGAGCTGCTTGTGAGTACCAAATTCTACCACCCGGCCGCCTTGAACTACTGCAATAGTGTCGGCATTTTGGACAGTTGACAGACGGTGAGCGATGACAATACTAGTACGGCCCTTCTGGGCTTGTTCCAAGGCCTCTTGGACAACCTGTCAAGTACAATTTCATTACTGAGCTGAAAGTATCTCACTGATGCTTACAATAGATGCATTTAAAAGCAAGTACCAAAAACCACTAAACCCAGAAGGCTATACAGCAACATCTATGTTGCAAAATGGTTACGAGTTTCTAGGCATCCTTAAGAATACCATTACAAGAGCAGAAAGACAAGATGAGCAGTGTTAAAAGTCAGATTCGTCGAGAGAAAAACCTGCACAAGAAGTGCCAGCGAGCCTCTCTCAAGTCTGCTTGTCAGTATTTAACAGCAACATACTGTAGACAGAATGAAGAGTTCTAAAAATATGGCCATGAATGGGCATTAATAACAATGACTCCACAAGGTATGTTTATAGTTAAAAATCACAAACATAAGTGCAGGTAAAACCTCAAATATTTTTAAATCAACAGAAGTGATTAAAAGGCAGGGAACTAAAGAGTAGACAGTACAGTATATCATTTATTCATAAATTATATGAGCAACAGTGGAATGGATGTTCAAGGGAAAAATTAAAAGAAAGGGTTTATTATTTTGAATTAAAAGATCAGTGCCAAGATAACCATTAAAAGGACAAGACCATGTTAATTAAAATGGTATAATCATGGAAACTGCTAGGCTGAGATTTGTAGATTAAAACCAGTAGTCCAAAAACAAAGTTGATAAAAGCCAAACATTTAATTGAATACTAAGACGTGCATATTTTGAAAAAATGTAAAGAGATAAAAAAAAGGGGGGCAAATTGAGTAAACAAGACAGATTTAGACGAAGGAAAAAGCAAGAAGAGGAAGTAGAGAAGTCTAGTAAATGGGATTGCTAAGAAAATTACGCCATCAGGTGACTGAACAAGAGTAGCTGTAAAGGTACGGTAAGAAATAGAGGTGTGCTTTTCCCTAGTGTAACTCAGGGAACCTGCTCTTGTTTATTGACGTAGAGTGAAGATGATTTGTGGCCACAATATAGTTTGCAATATTGGCGACAGCTTCAGCTCTAGACTAATGTTGAGTGAAGAGGGGGCAGAAATTGGGGGGGTGGACATTAGCTGAGAGTACAATGGAGGCTCAAGAATCTCCTGTTCTCGGTTCTACATTGTGGCTTGTTGAGCTTGAAACCATTGCTCCTCGTTTGTGTTACCCCCTTTGAAGAAATCTTATCAACATCCTCAAAATTGTTCAGTATTTTATAAGTTTGAATGACATCACCCCTGTCATTCCTGGCTTGCAGTGTTGTTAGCCCTGTAGTCCTCAACCACTCCTGGTACAAGAGTGGACTTGGGTCTGGATTATTTGTTTTTTTCCCCTGGTGTTGCACTTTCTACAGATCAGCTATGTTCTCTTCAAGATGGTCTCCTTGCTTGAAAACAGTAATCCACACGGGGGCACACAAGATTTATACAATTAAATCTCCACTTTTTCTTTTCTTCAAAGTCAAAGGTACACTTAATTATGCCAAGGGTTTGGTCAGCTTTAGTGACTGCTGCTCCTACCTGTTGTGCAACTTTCAGTGAGTGGTGGATTTCGACTCCAAGGTCCTTTTTTTTTTTTCCATCAATCTGCTGCAATGTATTGTTATTAATTTGGTAGTTGTAATGTGGGTTGCTATGCCCCATGTGTAAGGTCTTGCATTTGTATATACTGTATTAAAAAGCATTTGCCAGTCTTCTGACCATTTGTAGAGTTCCTACAGATCCCTTTGTAAGGCTTCAATGTCATTTTCCACTTTACCATAAAACTTGGTCATCTGCAAATTTTTGTAGATGACCCTAGTCATCCTAGTGGATTTGTTCATTTAATGTATCACGCTATTGTGATTTCTGTGTATTGACCCTAATTATTTACCCTTCACTCAGTTACAAGTGTACATATTCTACTATTTAAAAGGTACAGTATAGAATTAGCAAACTTATCTCTTAGTGAGTTAATTATCATAATATTATTTATCCCATTTGCCCCTATTTACTTTGCATTGATCAAAGACCTGCAAACTGATTGGTCATTTACAATTTTAGGTATAAAACATATCATGGTTTGATATTAAATACAAAATACCTTTAAGCTAGCAGAAATGCAAAATCTCCCATTCCAGCATTGGTATTCTACAGTTAGTGTAATAAACCAAGTATACCTAGTGCACTAGTTATTTTATAGCAATACACATTGAACTAGATATACCATAATGTTCTATAAAACAAAAACTAAAATTCACACCCATTACAAACCATTACAAAATGTAAGTTCCTTACCTTTTCGCTTTCGGTGTCCAGAGCAGAGGTAGCTTCGTCAAGTAGCAACACACTTGGGTTTCTTATTAGTGCTCGTGCTATTGCTATACGTTGCTTTTGACCACCAGACAATTGTGTGCCCTTTGCACCGACTCTTGTATTATAGCCCTAAAATATTAAGTGTATTATAACCATCTACTCACTATAATTAACACTTTCTTGAATGGAATAATAAATAATTTTGTCAGGAAGAGGCAGCCTGTGTATTGTATTGTATTGTATATATAATATATAAAATCATATATATCAATAATATATAAAATATAATCAATCGATAATATATAAAATCTATAAATATATAAAAATATATAAAATATATAAACATATAATATATATAATCAATAATATATAAAATCATGAGCAATTATGAATATGGTGATGCTTCTTTCTGAGACTCCCTCATTGATAGTAAGAGGAAGATTATGCAGGTGCTTCCAAGCCTAAACAAGTAGCAGCAGCAGCTTTGTTAAGTGTCTGGCTGTGGTTCCTAGGAGAGAACTGGTCTGTTTGAGCAGATGTTTGAGAGAACTGGATTGGAGGTTGATAATTATGTACCTTGGTTAAATGTTTGGGGATTCAGCATCCTAGTCATCACCAACCTCTGCTCCTAATTGTGGGTTAGTTGTGGGAGGAGACTATCTTCTCCAGGGAAGGTTGGCAGCATTATTTCCATAGTAATTTTTTCCATAACTAGTTTATTCTTTGATGTTGCTCCAGTGTTAGGTCATCAATAGGTGCCTCTGTTATTCAGATAGTGGTGGAATTACCAACAAGGGTGTTTAAGAAGAAGGGTGATTAAGGACAAGTCCCTCTGGGTTCCCATATAACCCTAGTTGGTCAATAGTTTTTAAGCCGAGTAGCATGTACCAGTCTGCAGGATCCTCAACATGCTGTTCCAAGACTGGTATGATTCCTACACCTTTTTACTTATAGTTCAGTTCATTGTTCCCTCAATCAAGGACTAGGCAATAGCTCTCCAAAAGTTTTCAGTGTCATCTCACAGGCAATAAATGCGTAAGCTTTTATTCCTCAGAAATGGGGACCACGAATCCAATTTAAGCTTTAGATGAAGCATGGTTCTATTGCTACATCCTGACCATTATTGAGTTCTTGCTGCAACCTGGCTTACAATCCTGTCTCCAGTGAAAAACTGTCCATTGTACTGTGTCAGTCACTAAGTGAATGGCCACTTCCTGATTTTCATGTCACTACATTGAGAAGAATTTTTTTTTTTTTTTTTTTTTTGAAGCGACTTGCTGGCAAGTGTCCAGATTCCTCTCTCTAATGAAACTTGCCAATGGATCCAAGCCCTCACACCATGTGGTAGAAATACTGCAGTTTTGGCTTGTCAGTATCCTTTTTGGACAATGGCACGAGTTTGCCAAATTTCCAAGTACGCACAGCTTTAGCAGTTGCAGCATCTTTGGGTTTCACCAAAGATGGTTGTACTAGTTCTTCAGGTTGTGGTACTGGAAGTCAACATCTTCCCTACATTCCTTGCCTGCTGGCATGCAATTTTTAATCAGTTCATCGAGTCTGCTTGGACATTTTAATGGCTAAAGTCCACTCTCTTTCATGTACTACCTTTTAGAGATGAAGAATGGGCTGAAATAAGGTCACTACTTATTAGGTCATTAGTCAAAGCTAGAGATTTGTTAAAACTTACATTTGGTAGAGACTCTACAAATGAGTGAATGTTGGCTTGTTTGGCAGCATTAACAATTTCGTCATGCCCCACTTCCCGGCAATTTTCACCATATGCAATATTTTCGGCAATAGTGAGATCAAAGAGCACAGGTTCCTGAGACACAAGACCTAGCTGGTTTCTCACCCAGCCAACATTTAGGGCTTGTACATCTTTACCACTAATGCACTGTAATGAAGATAGATAAACATTTTCAGGCCAACAACATTGAAACCAATAAAGCAAGTTAGTAAAGAATGTATGTACAATATGTATTTTACATACTATCTTGGTAGCATACTCTAGGGAATGTCTTTTTATATGTACAAAACGTAAGATAAAATATGCATAATTATGATACATGGCTAAATAAGTTGCTTAACACCTTGAGTATCAGTATTGGTGTACAATTCCATGAAGTTCAAAACAATATCATGTTCTTTGATGAAATTATATATTGCCTTGGTTAAAAAAATAAAAATGCACATTAACTAATTTGTACTTGCCAAGAAAGTAGTGTTTATCATTTTGTAATCTCTTTAATGCCAAACCTAATTAAATTAAAAAGTTAATGAAATGACAAATCTAATAATCATTCACAGCTGGTACACAATGTCTAGTACATGAAAGATTGAAAGCACATGTTGCCCCCAAACTCCCACTATGTGAACCCGTCCATCTGCTCTCACTATAGTTTGGTTATGTTTACTAAATGTCTAAATTTAGGCTGTGTGCTTTTATATCGTTTAATATATTTTGTACAATGATTTAATGCATTTGAGCATTTTTAGGTTCTAAACTGTACAGCATTTGATATACTGAATATTGATGGTACATCACATGCCATATCCAAACAGACTGCCACAATGATAGCTTAGGTGAATAAATTTTGTTTTCACTATGGCAGATAATTCTGTCAACTGTACTTACAACTTTCCCTTTGCTTGCATCATAAAATCTCTCCAGTAGGCCAATGATGGTGGACTTGCCACACCCTGAGCTTCCAACCAGGGCTAGAGTTTGTCCTCTATCCACTTTAACATTCAGTCCTGATAATATGGGCACATCAGATCTTGTCGGGTAAGAAAAATGCACACCATTTAGCTCTATGCTGGTTACGGGAGTGTTCTGCAGAGATAAAGAGACACATTTGAAGATATTTAAACATGCTGACTGTAGAAAATATTGACATGGAGGAGAAATTGGGCATTGGGTAGTACAAGGCCATCAGTGGAAGGAGCAACTGAAGCCCAAAAGCCTACCTGGGACCACAAGCCAGAACCTGGAACCTCCTGTGGTTGGGAGTTTTCCTTAACTACCATCGACTGGGGTTAGGCACCCAGAAAGGTAGGCATGACAAAACAGTCCCCACATGGTAAGAAAATTGCAACTGAAAACCAAACGGAGGCAAACTCCCTCAATTCCTGAGAAAATGAACAAACGAGTAAACACCAGACCTTGCCGCCGCGCTGCTCATCCGCACAGCCTGTCCCTTCCCGGGAAGCAGAAGGGGAAGCCTCGGACCCCCCTATGCTGGCTGTCCAGCAACTCCAGTTTGGAGGCAAAGCATCAAAACAACGTGAAAAACCACCAACCGGCGTGGAGGAGTGCAAGGAAGCTTACGGGGCTCACCCAGAAAATGGTGTCTCATTACAGTCAACGCTGGTTTTCTATGGGGAGCCCCTTCGGCTTCCTGGAGCTACATAACCAAAGATAAGTAAAAAAGGGACTTACCCGGGAGGTGGCCGCCACGCACTCTTCAACTCAAAGTCGGAACAACTGGCTGTAACCTGCAACCCAAAGCCACACACAAACGCGCAGGATCAGGAATGTTTACCAAATAACAGACAGCCGGGACCCCTGTCCTAGCTTGGTATCTTGGTTAAGTATCCAAGTTTCCAATGTGGAGTTTCCCCAAATTCCCTGCAGGATATATGTCTCCAGCTGGGGGTTTCTTGATTTTCCCAGGTATTTTGCCCAACATTCCCTGGAGGTCTTTATGTGCCACCAAGTTGTGTTCTGACACATGAGGTTATATCCTGAACCCCTTCGGTTGCAGGATAGCACCTGGTTTCCCAGGATGTGTCAGTCCCATCTGGATCCTTTGTGGGGCTTATCAGTGCTGTATACATGAAGGAGCCAGGATGTACTTCTTAACAATCGAGTAACTATATATATTTATGAGGAGTTGGGAAAGTAGAAAAGGTAATTTTGGGTGTGGCATAATGGAGGAAAAATGAGCAAAAAGGATATTTAGAGATGTTTTAAAAATAAATGGAAAAGGCATTTCATGCACAAAAACAGCTCTGGTGCTGTAAGAACTCGCTCGCAACCAATTTACAACTAGAGTTCATGTGAATAACCTGAACACAGGCAAACCTCTATGCAAACAAATGTAACTAAACAGCTTCTGGAACTTAAAAACAAGAGCTATCAAGTTGGTAACTATACCAAAGCAACAAGACTGAAGAAAAAGAGGCGCTGTAATCACTATGAAAAAAATACTAACAGGACTAAAATTGGCAAAGAAGAATTCTTAAAACCTGAAACTTAATGAACAAGAGATCACAGAATCAAGCTAAAAAAAAAAAAAAATCATACATTTGCAAACTGTAGACTGTTGGAACAAGTGAGGTGGTGGATGCCAAAACCATCAGTAGTTTTAAAACTGTGATGACAAAGCAGTGGAAAAACAGGACACGAAGAGTGTAGCTCTTCCTGTAACTAAACTTGGGTAATTCCACTCAGAACGTCGCAATTATTTCCCTGCATGTTATCATCAAAGAAACCCATGTCATTAGCAAAATACAATGAACTACTTCATTCCATCAATTTTCCATCTTTCTTCTAGCTGACTACTGTATCCAAGCATGCAGACTATCTTCACAACAACAGATCTGCTCTGGAGAAAGTTTCACACACAGCAACAAAAATTATCCCAGAACTAAACCGACTCATAACAGGAATGGTTGAAGGCCAGAAACCAGAAATAACAGGTCTGATATTGAACCCTTTAAAATACTGAACAAGTTGGAAAATATTAATCTATACCTTTAAATATCTGTGTGAAAAATAAAAAACTTAATCTGTGTAAACACTCTATGCAAATTAAGGGACCTAGTCTATGGAACTCACTCCCTAGTGAATTGAAAAACTGTAAAACTTTTGCCTTATTTAAAAGCAAAACCAAAAAGTACCTAACCTCATCTATTTAGTTTCCTACACTGAGCTTTAAATTTGCTCTGTACCTAGTGTTACCCAATCTCCTAATTTTTATGTAATATCAAACAACCTTATCATTGTGTTCATTGCTGTCTTCTTTTATGTGCTAGCCATATGCTGTATTGTGACTACCAATTTTTGTCAACTACCATTCAAGCTGTCATTGCAATCAATCTTATATTGTTTCTGCTGTATTGTGCCTACCAATTTGTTGGCAACTACCATTTTAAGCTGTCATTGCAATCAATCATAGCTACCTATGTGCTTTAATATACTGTACCTATAATTTTCTCTCATCTTTTTTTTTCATTCCATGTAATCTGTTTTCATTTTTTTGTCTATAAACTTTGCAAGTATTTACCTCCTTAAAATTTTCTTAGATTAAGGACCTGCCCGAAACGCTGCGCGTGCTAGTGGCTTTACAAGACTGTAATTACCATATTTGTATCCTCACATTCCTTCCTTATATTAATTTAAATATTAATCTAATCTTTAAAAGATTAAATGCAACACATACAAGGGGCAACAGCTTCAAGCTCAACAAACCATAATGTAGGGCAGAAGGAAAAAAAATATGCTTTTTCACCCGTAGGGTTATAAACCTATGGAATTGTAAATGCAAATTCATTACTGCAGTTCAAAAATCCAGTTTGAACAAATTCTCAGGAAAAATGGGGAGGATCTTGGACAAGCTGACAGCTTCCCGTCACCAAGGTCACTAGACAGATGGCAGACTTTAGATAAATTCAGGTTAGTGGCCTCAATGGTGACACAAAACTAATAATTTGTTAAAAGGTCCCATAATTTTTTTCCACACAAATGTTTTCAAACTGGATTTTGAGCTGTGGTAATGTCTATATTTGCAGCTTCAGAAGGTCTGAGAGTTTATCACTTTATGGGTGAAAAAGCACGTTTTCTGCCTTACATATTCCAAATGATCGTAGATACTTACAAGTCGTAGACCCACACTAGGCGATGCTGTAATTGCAGGTTGGCGTTCAAGCATAGTAAATATGTGTGAAGCTGCAACTTTTGCTTTGCTAAAGTTTGGAGCAAAAGCAACTGCTTGTCCTACCATCATTGTTCCCAGGATGAGAGCCTCTGCTACCCTACAAATATTAAGGATGTTTTTTCAAGATTCATAAGAAATGTCAGGATTATACACACTTCTTACAAGCCAAAAATTTTAGTTTATGAACATTAACTTAATATGTATGGTACCTTATAATAATAATATGAACCAATTCTTGCCACAAACTGTATATTACAGACTTAGTGCACTATTCATCATAATTACACATGGTAATTTGTTAAGGGTAAACCTAAGGAAAAACTAAAACTAATGCATGAAAATCTCAACATTATTTATTAGGCAAATTTCTGCTATGGTTTATACACCAAATAAACAGATGAATTTTGTATGGAATTAAAAAGATTAAGGAATGTTGAAGTTTGAAATGAATTTGTGCTTGCAAATAAGAGCACAGAGTCAAGAAAATGAACGGGAGGCTTTCCACTACAAGACTGCTATGACATGCATAACCTGTAAAGTAATGAATAACATAGCATTAGATGAACAAAACATATCCCATCACAAAATGCCAACATGAAATTGGAGAAGGAAATATTCTCTCAAACCAGAATGTTTATGAAATGATTGACAATACAGGGAGTATTTCATATTGCTAGAGTGCCAGGAGTCTACCGACATGGTGGAAAAGGCTGGGTGTGTGGGCAAGGTAATACTTAACTGGATTAGTCAAGTTAAACAAGGGGTCAGTCTTAGGTTGAGAATGCTCGTTATCTGTGTACTGTATGTGACTGATCTAATTAAGGAGGAAGAGAGATGTCAGAAGACTGCTTTCAGATGCAAAACAGATGAGGATAGGCACAACTAAAACATTAGGATCTGAATATGCTGAAGAAATGGTCATTCAAGTGGCTACTCAAGCTGCATCCTGGCAATTGCAAGGTAAGAAGACTGGGAACAGTCAAAACGCACCAGAGACAACAAGATATTCTAATATCCATGACAAGTCCTCAATGCTGACCTTACAGGATATTCTAATACTTATGTCATACATGTCAAATCACCTCAAAATATCCTTGCTGTATGAGGACGCTGCACTTGCTAAAATCATTGCCTACAATAAAGCACTGATTTTAGACATTTGCCAGGGCCATTTTGGGGTTCACAATCCTTCCCTGAATGTCATGTCAATGTCATCAATGTCAAAAATTTTTTTAAGCAGGTTTCAAGAACTAATGTTGGAAAATACTTACTTGAAGACGTCCACAAATGAAATTTGGTCAATATTAACCAAGTAACCACCATAAAACATTGCTACAGCATAAGCAAAGAATGGTACAGCTTGTGCAAATCCAAAAGCAGCACCTAAAAAAAAAATTGTTATCTGCTACAATTTTAATTATTTTTTCATAAATTTAAATGTATTCCTGCTTTCCCTCCTGAGCATACATTCCAAAATTTGTTTGATCTTTAACTATTATAAGATTTATTTGTTTGCAATAAAATTTTCATATATGGAAGTCATTTAAATATTTTTCATCTTGTTAATGTCTATGATAAACTGGAATATATTCTATACCTCGGAGATGGGATTTTTTCAGAGCTTCTTTGTGAGGCTTATACAAGGCAGCTGAATATTCTTTAGCAAAATGCTGCTCTTTGTGAAGACTTGCAACTGTTCGAATGTTAGTAATTGATTCTATTGCAATCTGTAAAACATGGAGAACATTTTGTACACAACTAACATTACTCATTAAAATAAATTATTTTGTTTTAGATCCACATATCTACAGGAACCATTTCTTCCCTGTATATTATTATATCCATATTCTCTACTTTAGCCACTAAAAATCATAACTATCATTCATAGTTTACTTGTAATTTGCAATTATTTATTAACAGTTGCTAGAAAAACCAGAACAAGCACTCCATCTATGATACACAATCTAGACCTGGTTTCTCATGTCAACAAACATTACACAGCATTTTAAAGTTATCAAAGAATCCTTTCAAGCATCAGGTAAGCGAATTGTCAATGTTGATAACACTTGTGCATATGTCACATTCTAATTTATTGTGAATATTTGCTGTCCTTCCACCTGTCGCTCCTGTCTCTTGTTTATCTCTTCCTCCGTTTAGTTAAGTAAGTAAATTCTAGATTCTAAAGTAAAATTCTAAAGTATTATAAAGTAAAATTATAAAAATAAAAATTCTAAAGTAAATTCTAAAGTAAAATTTAGTAAAGTTAATTCTAACAAAATCAATATACATAAATTAGTACAGTAAAACACTCGTACCTTGCCTGCATCCTGTAGTATTTTAGACTCCGTGACACTCTGACCCATGAGGATTTTGCTCTGCAGGTAGACTGCAATCAACACAAAGGGGATAAAGGGAAGTGTAACCAGGCCAAGACGCCAGTCGTAATACAGAGCCATACAAATGCTTACACCCAGTGTTGAAATGGCTTGGACAATGGTTCCTACACGAGACCCAGTTGCCTGTTAAGAATGGTTCTATAAGTATATATAAAAAGACACAGTTGTACCTTGCACTAAAATTTAAAAGGAAGCAAAAAAATCAATAAAAAATAACATCTTTCTGTTTGCATAGAAATTAATCTACATTTCTTGTTCACAGGGAAGGTGACAGTCTTTATAGTTGCACATTGAGGGTTAAGGGATATAGGTTACACAAGGGAATGTGTAGTGCAGACTGGACTATGAAAATATGAAAATTATTACTTTACAAAAATCCTACTAAGTACTATACATGTATACACAAAAGATTGTGATGTATTAGAACTAGAAAGAATCTAAACTAACTAAATTACAACCTAAATTTTGTGGCATACCCCTTGTACAGCAGCAGCATCCCCAGACAAACGTGAACAGAGCGCACCAACAGAATTCTTCTCTTCATCAAACCAACCCATCTCCTGACGCAGCATAGCAGCAAAGGTAAGTTTTCGCAGTCTTGATGTGAGTATTTCTCCAGCCACCGAAAACAAGTATGCCTATTAAATAAAAAATAAACTTTTTATAATAGTATCAAGTTTGTTTATAATTCTTTAAAAAATTTAGATAAAATAAAAAATTCTGGATATTTTATCTTTAGGGCAGATAAATATTAAATGACTAGACAAAAAAAAAAGTCAAAAGATACCATTCTAGCTGACATGCCATCATTTATCCTCATATTCAGGCTATGGTTTGGTCAGTCCCATACTCTAGCATTAGTCCTTGGCTGGATATAGGGAAACAGTTGCTGGATTGGCTGCTTGGAGGCATACATGAGCTGGTACAATGGAGGTGGGGAGAATGGGGTGAAACCATTTTTTTTTTTTATATCGATTCTGCTCCAGTTCATCAACTCCCATTCATTTCTTTAATTTATTGCACAATCTCATCATTCTACAATGTTTTCTGAAAATACAGGAATAACTAATGGCCATCAAACCCACCCCAAGGCAAGAGCAGATTCAGAGGGGATATCCATAGGTCAAATACTCTCCATTAGGAGATTACTAGCTCCCAAACCACTAAACAGGACATCTAGGCTTGCCAGGAATTATACGAGAGTATTGACACAGCTTAGTTACTCAATGTTGTGTTCCACAGCCATGTTATCGTGTAAAACAAACATGTAAACCTCCGGTGCACCCCAAAAAACCTAAATGTGCCACCACATTTGAGGAGGCCAAGTTCTGGCTCTGGTCCCAGTAGGCCTAACAGAACTCTGGGCCTGATGTATTCTAGTAGTTGGGAGTCATCCGAGCCACAAGGGACTATCCTAGAAAACGTAAGTAAGGCATCGTACATAGAAAAGAATGTTATAATTGAAAAGGAAAGACCAACACTTACTGTGAAGTCAAGCAGTTAGAAAGCCAGAGCATTTTTTGAGTATAATACTGTGAATGGAAGAGTCAACAGCATAGTTGACTAGCCCAGGATCTCAAGTCAGGTAGTGATATTGGCATGGTGGTATTTTGGGATATAGGTATGTTTGTATCCACTCACTACCTATTGGGATGGTGGTGGGATGGGGGGGGGGAAGGATTCTGTTCCTGCCCCTAATAGGCCACAATGTTGTCACAAGAACCCAGTCATATGTCTGTGCAGTTTGTTATTGAAGTTAACAGTAGAGGCAGGCAAAGATTTTGGAGGCTTTAAAAACCAATAAATAGGATGATTAGAATCCCTAACATGACAGAAGAGAGCATTGTTGTGTCTGCAGAATTAATACTAGTTTCATTTTTTAAGTCTGTCATTAAGTCTATGGCCAGTTTCAGTAAAGTATTGGAGAGGACAAGACGAATAGAAATAGAAAAATAGAATGAGAGGATTAGAGAGGAACCTATACCAGTCAGCATTAGCTTCAGGAGGAGCAGTGTGAACTAGATTGCTAATGAAAGTGTCTGGAAAATGTAAATTTAAAGCATTAATCCTCAAATATCCTAAGCGATCAACTATAATTTTATTTAATACTGTGCTGTACCCTCTCCAGGTACAGAGCAACCTCCAAAATTTAGATTTCCAAATAGAACAACTAATTTTTAGCCCAATTTCAGTATTTTTACTATTTCATGCCTTTTGTAATAAATAGTATTGATTTTTTTTTTTTTTTTTTTTATCCAAGGCACCCTTCAGTTGCTCTTCAAACCATGACCCGAGCTTGCATCGAGCATCACTATATCGTCAGGTTGTCAAGCCGTGTCACACAGTGCAGAGAAAGACCCCATCCCGGAAATACAAGGGGGAAACCCAGTTAAATTTAAAATACGAAAGCTAGTTTACTCAAAGTTTTGTTCACCCTCAAAAATGAACCTACCCCTCTCTTCCCACCAACATTCTTCTTGGCTCTACTAAACTCTCAAAGTTGTCGTTTCTTGATATTTCGTCTACACATGGGGGTTTAGTGGTCGCCTTACAGCATGTAGCTAGAGTTTGCATGCCATTGCAAACATCTAGTTGGCAGCCGGACTCTTTAGTGTCTTCTTCCTAGCAAGATCCTTTCCTTCTCCTCACCCCTTTCCCGCCCACCTATTGAACTCTGCATGTCTCCCTCAAAACCTCGTACTATTTCAATGCTATCCCGATAATAGTCTGTTGGGAGTTTTTTGGACCGTCCTCCAGTCGTCGTTCCTTGCATGCACACCTTTAGTAAGGAACACCAGTGCATTTCAGCTTTGTCTCCCCCTTCCTCTTTTCCACTGTGGTGTCCACAGGGATGAGTAAGCACAGCCAATTTGACTTCTTACTTCTGGGCTGGTTACATAATTTACAAGCATTCTTTTTGTCAGTTTTCCTCTGAACTGTATCATACACTCACCGCATCAGTTATAGTGAGGGTATTATTTAAAATATTATATTTACAGAAAATTCTTGAACTAGGAGGATACCTTGCCAGGTCCAGTGTTGAAGCAACTCATCTCGTCATGGGCTCGTCTACAGCTCAACGCACCGTCAAGTTTATGTGTGCAATCTCTTCGTGCAATTATGTACTGTCTTTGCAGTGGATAATAGACTCCCATGCTGAAGCCAAATTTTTATGTAAGTATTTTCTATAGTTCAATGTGAGAATCCAGCTTACTTATTTTCACACAAAAGCATACATGCACACATGTATTCATGCACACACAATTTGCCAGAGGAGATTCAAAGTTATATGAATGTGTTTGAGGATGATGCTAAGTTACTGGGAGAATAAAAGACTTAGAGAAATGTCATGCCCTTCAAAATGGCCTAGACAAAATAAGTGAATTGAACAACACATGACATGAAATTAAATGTAAATCAATACCACATAATGGAATATGGAACAGGGGAACACAGACCACACTGAACCTATAAATTTATATAAAACAATGTTGAAGAACTCAGACATAGAATGAGATCTAAGGGTGGATCTGAATAGTAAACTGCCACCAGAGGATAATATCAATGGCATTATGAGAGGAACCTATACCATGCTAATAAATTTCAGAATCATGTTTAAAATATTAGGCTGGAGTAACACTAAAGAAACTCTTTGTGAGACTAAAATTTAGGATATGCAGTAGTTGTGTTGTCCATATCTCAAGAGGCACATCAGTAAATTAGAAAGGAAGTAAAGACATGCTACTAAATGATTTTTAGAATTAAAAAACAATAAAACCTTCCAGACTTGTGACAGTGTTAAGGAGGACCTATGACTAAAAGGCTTTGTACCCGATTGGATGCCCTATAGTTGGCCATGTCTTGTTTTTAGAGACCTAAAATTGATGACTTCCACTTTGAACAAATCCACAAGGGCCGTGACGAGGGTTTGAACCTACGTCCTAGAGGATCCCAGACACTGCCTTAACCCTTAGACTGTGCAATACATATATAGATGATTTGATCAACATTATCGATATCGCGCAGTACATTAATAGCAGTTTTAGTGTCTAACACTTTAATTTAAACGCCCCGCATGGGATAGAGGCAGCTATAGTGCAGCCATGACCGAACAAAACAAACATGTAAACCTCCGGTGCACCCCAAAAAACCTAAATGTGCCACCACATTTGAGGAGGCCAAGTTCTGGCTCTGGTCCCAGTAGGCCTAACAGAACTCTGGGCCTGATGTATTCTAGTAGTTGGGAGTCATCCGAGCCACAAGGGACTATCCTAGAAAACGTAACTTAAAATGTGCACCAAGTACACTCATTAAGAATGTTATAATTGCAAATCCAACACTAGACTGTGAAGCAAGCAGAAAAGCCAGTCATTTTTTTACCTAAAAAAACAGGTAAATGGTCACCAGATATTCAAGGGAATAGTTGACTAGCCCTACCATCTGGCATCAGGTAGTGATATTGGCATGGTGGTATTTTGGGATATAGGTATGTTTGTATCCACTCATACCAAACGTTTTCAACAGTTTTACAACCCTCTTTCAGTCTCTCTAGGGCATTTTCCTACAAGAAAATGTTGAAACATTTTGAAACACAGCTTCCCTACCTATTGGGATGGTGGTGGGATGGGGGGGGGGAAGGATTCTGTTCCTGCCCCTAATAGGCCACAATGTTGTCACAAGAGACCCAGTCATATGTGGCACTGGCCATGGGGTTGGAAACCTTAGGAAGCCACCCCAGAAAAAACTGTCAAAGTTTGTTATTGAAGTTAACAGCCTCAGAGATTGAGGCAAGTCATCAACCTAACAATTTAGGTACAGGCTTTAAAATATCAAACTTAAACTTGCAAGTTTAATTTACCCTTTTATTAAATACTTACGCAGACCATAGTAGGGAGCCGACAAATATAAATTACCACTAGTTTCATTTTGTAAGCTACAGTATTTAAAACAGCACTGACACTTGTACAGTACAACATTGCAGTTACCTGCATGAACATTGAGATAGCAGCAACAATTCCAATCATGAGGAAGAGCAGGGCATAAAAGTCTGCTTGCTTCCTTGCCTCGGCTGGATCAGCTAATGAAAGTGTCTGGAAAATGTAAATTTAAAGCATTAATCCTCAAATATCCTAAGCGATCAACTATAATTTTATTTAATACTGTGCTGTACCCTCTCCAGGTACAGAGCAACCTCCAAAATTTAGATTTCCAAATAGAACAACTAATTTTTAGCCCAATTTCAGTATTTTTACTATTTCATGCCTTTTGTAATAAATATTATTGATTTTTTTTTTTTTTTTTATCCAAGGCACCCTTCAGTTGCTCTTCAAACCATGACCCGAGCTTGCATCGAGCATCACTATATCGTCAGGTTGTCAAGCCGTGTCACACAGTGCAGAGAAAGACCCCATCCCGGAAATACAAGGGGGAAACCCAGTTAAATTTAAAATACCAAAAGCTAGTTTACTCAAAGTTTTGTTCACCCTCAAAAATGAACCTACCCCTCTCTTCCCACCAACATTCTTCTTGGCTCTACTAAACTGGCCTCAAAGTTGTCGTTTCTTGATATTTCGTCTACACATGGGGGTTTAGTGGTCGCCTTACAGCATGTAGCTAGATGTTTGCATGCCATTGCAAACATCTAGTTGTCTGCCAAACTCTTCATATGATCTGGTTCCTCTTGAGCAAGATCCTTTCCATGGTTGTGTCTTAAGGCTGTTTGGGCTTAGACTTTTGTGAACTCTGCATGTTTACACACAATTCAAAACCATTTATATTTACTATTTCATGAGTGCACATCTCTGGTATCAAAATATGGAATCTGTTGGGAGTTTTTTGTTTTGTTTAAGCCATGGGTGTGTCCTCCAGTCATTGGTGGGACGGGGTTCCTTGCATGCACACCTTTAGTAAGGAACACCAGTGCATTTCAGCTTTGTCTCCCCCTTCCTCTTTTCCACTGTGGTGTCCACAGGGATGAGTAAGCACAGCCAATTTGACTTCTTACTTCTGGGCTGGTTACATAATTTACAAGCATTCTTTTTGTCAGTTTTCCTCTGAACTGTATCATACACTCACCGCATCAGTTATAGTGAGGGTATGAACACACATCCTCCTGTCTGTAGTCTTGTCATCCTGTTCAGGATTCTGTAGTGAACAGGAGGAAAAGCAACCAAGTAGTATTTCCCAAGAGAATATTAGACAGCCAGTTGACAAACCCATATAGTCATTATGCTCCACATCCTGCAGTAGTGGACATCTGAGTTATTTCTTGTTTTCAGTCCTACATTGTGACTCGAGCTTGAAACCATTGTACCTTGTTTGTGTTACATCTGACCTTTTGAAGAAATTGTCTATCAACATCCTCCAATTTGTTTATTTGTTTAGCATTTTCATAATTTTGAGGAGCCAAACAAAAACGGTGAAAATAACTACGAATTGGTTAGTGTCTAGATACGCAATGACTGAATATACACTTGCATAAGTGTCCACTAACAGCACAAGCCTATTTCACAATGAATAGTTTAATGATGGAATACAAATATGCTGGCAGAAATCAACATATGTTAAGTGCATTTGGGAACAATGTGTAGGAATGCAGTCTGGATACAGGGGTATATGCAACTGTTGACATGCAAGTATCGTCACCTGGAGACTGTCGAGGGTAGCAGCCATGTAGGCCAGCTAGCAATCACAGTATAGCCAAGTAGTACCTGGAAGGACTGGAAATAGAGCCTTTTGGGTCACTGCAAGCCAGATTCTTCTCTTGGTGTCTCCCTTGCCCCAGTATGATTGGTTACGTGAATGAGTCCTTTGGTTGTGCCATTATAGAATGTTAATCAGCCTTTACTATGCAGTCCTGCCCATGACCATGGCAAGACATTACCCAAGGCAGCAATAGTAGAAAGTCTTAGATATAGAGCACACAACTATGAGTAAAAAGTGATTTAAGTTATGCAGAAACTTACCCCAAGTACTTCACCGAAGAGAACGGCATAAACTGGAATAATTACTCCTTGCATGGCTGATCCAAAAACTCCTCCTACAATATATGGCCACTCGGAAGCATTCATTTTCAGAATCTTTATGCTTGGAACTGGATCCAAAATTTCCTCTTCATCCTTAAACATGAATTGTTTTAATATAATGACTGAAGTAATCTTGAAATAAATAAATATTGCAGTACATGACTTGAAATAGACTAAATGAGATTAATATATCTACCTTGGCAATTATTTCCATTTTCTTTTCAGATTTGACAGAGGATTTTCGTCGGCGTAGAGAATATCTGGTAGACAGTGTGTGGACCAAGGCACCTGGGGACATGCTAGCCAAATCCTCTATGATATCTTGACTGAATTCAGCTATGCTGTCAGTGTCATGGGTATCCTTATCCTCAGATGATGATAGGTCCTTACTTTCTAATGAAGAGACCAATTATTTTATAAGCATCTAAATTACTCTAGTGCAGAATACATGGCAAATGGAGAAAATTTAGCAGTTTTTTAAGCTTTGTCTATACCAGGCATGTCAAACTGAGGGTCCCCACAAGGGCCATATGGGTTACATTTGTGTTATCGTTAAGGCCACACATGATTAAGTCGTTCAATAATAATTATTGCAGAATATTTTTATTACTTAGAAACTTTTCTTTAACCTGGAAACATTACTTAAACAAGTGTGCTTGCAAAAGGCCACATGTTCGACATGCCTGGTCTATACCACACGTATGTTCAACCTAATGCATCCCACACCCACACGAAAGTGAGAATTGAAGTAATAATCACACAGTAATGACATTACTTCAAATATTTGTAAATGCTAAATTGGTTTAATTATTGAATTACAGAACCTGAACCACATTCATTCTTATGAGTATCATTCATAAACCATCAGATTCTTGTGAAACTTATTTACAAAATCTAACCTGCAAGATAAAACTTACCAAATTTCATCATTGTAACAAAAGGAAACAAAAAATCCACCCAAGAAAAAAATTGATTATAGAATCTCCAATTTTAAAATATTACATTTAACCAGTAGAATAAAGTAAAGTAATATTCTGAAAGAGGAAAGTACATGAAAACATTTATTTGCTGGGGAGAGAAAAAAAAAATATGCCCATCAGTTTGCTTGAAATTTGCACCTTATTATTAATAATCAAACTCAGAATACAGTTAGAAAATAAAAATTTGCTAAACTGAGTAAACTCTCATACCAGGAACAACTGAGAACCTCAGAACTAAACACTACAAACCAGACATGACAGGTCCAATTTCAGCAAGACCTTTAAAATGCCAAAGTGGATAATATTAATCTAGACCACTTTTAAAGATTCTATTTCACACATACAAGGGGGCAACAGCCTCAAGGTCGTCAGGTCAAGAAGTCACTATGTAGGACAAAACAGGAGATGCCTTCTCACCCTTTGGTTAATACAGTACTCCCACAAAACTGCTTACTTGTACTTGCCAAAGTTGTTAATGACAAGACATCACTACCTATCTTGCCCGAAATGCTATGCGTGCTAGTGGCTTTACAAGAATGTAAAGTCAACTTCATTTCAATGTTCTCTGTTAACCCCAATGAACCTTCTTGTATATAAATAAATAAATTAAAATTCGGCTGGAAAAAATCCCCGCATAATAATGCAGATAGAAGAAGGGCGGGCCTTTGACAAGTCACCAGCTTCCTGTCCTCGAAGCCGCACTAGATGGAAGCTGTCAAATTCAGATAAAGCTATAATGACCTGTTGTAAAATTTATTACCATTCAGTTATAGTTAAAAGTTCCCAAAGATTAAAAATGATTATTACGAATACATCTAGTGTATAAAAACATACCGTTTCCTTTGTGTAATTCTGCTGGGACTATTTGTGCCGTCACCAAATTGTAGTAAGATGACTGCAACTTCATTAGCTCTTCATGAGTTCCAGCCTCAACAATTTTTCCTTCATTAAAAACAAGAATCTTATCTGCACTCTTAATGGTGGAAAGTCGATGAGCAACAATAACCGTTGTGCGACCCTGTCGGACCTGAAAGAAATGTATTAAAATAAATTTTGCAGCTTAGAATTGTGAAAATGAATGATAGCGTGGTTTACAAGCATATGAATTAAAAACCTCCTTGGCATTCTCATTGACAGCAAGCTGAATTTCCAGGGACACATTCTAAATATATAAAAAAAAAGTTTCAAAAACTGTTGGCATTCTTTTTAAGATCGAATATTATGCATCTCTTCCTGCCCTGGTGACGCTCTATTACTCCCTCATCTATCCTTAACTATTGTATTTGTGCTTGGGGTTCTACTACCCAAAATCATTTACGTCCTTTAATTACTCAACACAAAGCTGCTATTAGGACAATATCCAACTCTGACCCCAGACATCACCAGTACCCCTACTCAAATCTCTGAATATGTTAGATATCCAAGTCACTGCACATCCTCTCGTGTATTTTATATATATATATAAAATGCTGAACTGTAATGTCAATCCTGACCTTAAAAGCTTCCTAGAAGGTTAACAGAACCCATGAGCACCACACCAGAAACAAATACCTATTTGATATTCCAAGAGTACGACAAACTAGAAATGCTCTACAAATCAAGGGACCTAGAATGTGGAATGACCTTCCCAGTGATGTTAAAGACTGTACCTCTTCCAACCAGTTTAAGATAAAAAGTAAGCACTACTTAATTAACTCCATGTAACCTACCTTCCCCTAAATGTCAACCCATATCTTTTGTTTTAAACAATGCTGTTTGTCGACCAAATTTTATATTTGCTATTTTTCTGCCATGTTCCCCCCCTTTTTTAATTTTCTATTATCTCAACACAATTTATACTTCAACCCCAATTAGTATTAAGTTTTAGTCCTAGTGTTTTTCCTACCCGAAACGCTTTGCGTAATAGTGGCTTTAGGCATTGTATGTACTAGCTCTATCTATAAATCCATCAATGTTTGTATCACACATTGTATGTATATACTTTACCTGAATAAACATTTGAATTTGAATTTTGAATGACATTTTTGTTTTTATAAATGTTCAAGTTAATGTCAAAATATTTCCACACAACTATTTCATTTCAAAACACAGACTAATGAAAACATTAAAAAACGTTAAAATATAGCCCAATTAAAAAAAAAATTAGCACAATTCTCAGAGCGCCTAAAGGCGCTTTGCGCAACGCAGTGGTTAATGTTAAACGACCTACCTTGTCGAGAGCTTTCTGGACAACAGCTTCGCTCTGGTTATCTAAAGCTGATGTTGCTTCATCCAGGAGTAATATACGGGGTTGGCGAACCAATGCTCGGGCAATTGCAATACGCTGTTTCTGTCCTCCTGACATCTGACCACCACGTTCTCCAACATTTGTTTCGTATTGCTGCATTTTAAAGTACTCAAATTAAGGGCTACTGAAAGCTAAAAGCAAAGTAAATATTATATATGAAATATAAATAACTGTTGCAGATATTTACTTGCATGAAAATGAGGACAAATTTTAACATTTAATATACAAGTCCTCCATAAAATAATCTACATTGGAAATGCATATTTATCTATGATTAAATCAAACATGTCCTCAGTAGACTATAGTAACAAACCTGAGGAGCCTAAAGACAAGGAAATTTGACTGCCACAAATTAATATGGATAATAAGAACCGGAGTTGCACATTGCTTATCTACTGCACTCACATATTTCTTATATAAGAATGATACTGAAGATAACCAAACCATGTCAAAGTGAGGAAATGACATTTCAGTCTGCCCTGGACCATTATCAAGTCATGTGACAAGAGAGGAAGGTACTATACAGGCAAATATATAAGGTAAGAATGAGAGAGTGATCTGACTTAAGATTTACCCCTGTTCCTTATTCCTTCCTCTTCTTATTCTTACCTTCCCTCTCATCTTTCATTCCTCTTTTTTTTTAACATTCATCCTATCTTTACCTAATTCTTACCTACCCCCTTCACCTCTCTTCTCACTATCTCGCCTTGTATATATTTGCCTGTACAGTACCTTCCTCTCTTCTGTAACAACTTTATAATGGTCCAGTACAGACTGAAACATAGTAATTTGTTGACTTTTTGATGTGTGGTTTGGTCACGACATTGGTACTTATCTGCAAATGCTTAAATTTGATACAAGTGTTACACTACTTAAATATTTAGAATTCCTCATCCTTTAGAAATGGAGTGGGCCAAGCCCACTTAGCAAATTTGATCATCTTTACAGTACATCTTCACCCTACACAGTAGATCAGCAAGATTGTACATGGCAGAATTTACATTAATTACAAACACAGCCTATATACATGTATACATTTATTCTCTCCATTTCAACATCGTGAAGATGTGAAGGCATCAGTCCTGATAAAAGAATTGTAGTGTTAAATGAAACTCAATGAAAAGTGCTTTTATGAGCTGGTCCCTTGGTTGTTCCTTAGCTTGACTAAATGGTCCACTAGCCTGGTGAACTAGTTGCTCACAATCCTCAAGTCGTGTAGTTAACAAGTTGACTGAAGGCCTTTTCATAATGTTTCAAATGGGGAGAGGAGACTGAAGGTAAATCAATATACCATAGAGCTTGCTTGCTCTGTGTGTATGGAGGTTTTATCCTACTGCTACCATTTCTCTGTATGCAGGTATGATTGTGTAATTACCTAAGTGTAATTACCTACTTATTATAGTGTGCGTGCGCATTTGTGTTTATGTATGTGTACATTGTTTTCTGGCTGCCTGTTGACGTATTTTTTCTTCCACCGGCGTGTGTGGTGACTCAGGCTACCTCCCCCGTGTGCATTTCCGGGTTCCATTGGGTTCTTTGGATTCGTTTTCGGGAGTTCCCTCCAGATTTCCCTTGGGAGAGGCTCGAGGCCCTTTGTGGTTCTCTCCTGTGTGCACAGGCCTTTGCCTCTCCACTGGCCCTAGTCTCTTATGAATGTAGTACCTTGTCCCCATCCTTGTCCTTGTCATCCTGTAGTACATTGTCTGCTTGCTGCCTTCCTCATGCTGCTTTTTGCTGATCGGGGAGGGCATTTCTTGCGCTCCCAGACAGGTCGCGCAGGGGTTCAGTTTCTCGAGGTGGGCCTTGGTACAAGCTTGTGCTGGTGCCTCCTCCGGTTTCTTTTGGATTGGGCCGGCATTGTGCTTTCTCTGCTCTTAAGTCGGCTTCTGGGGGAAGGGGGGGAGGGGAAGTGTCGCTGGGGTGTTTGGCACTGTTTACCCTCACCTGGTCCTGTGTTTCGTGTTGTCTCCTCTGGACTGTGATGGTGTTGGGTGGCTCCTCCTCCTTCAGGTGGTTCAGTGCTTGTAGGGCTGGCCTGTTATTATTCTGGATTACCTTTAACATTACTTTCCTAAACTTGTGGCCCATTTCTTTCTGACCGAGGCCTTCACATCAAGACAATGAGAAACTTTTCATTTCAAAGTTATATGAAGTGCTTTATAAATTATAAATACAGCCACTCTTCATTGAAATTTGTTTAATTTTAATATACATCTTTTAAGAGCAAAAAATAATTAAATGAATTACCACAAGAATTAAAAACTACTAGGATAGTTGCACTGAAGACAAACCTTTGGTAATTTCATGATGAAATCGTGAGCAAATGCCTCTTTGCAAGCAAAATGTATATCTTCCATGGACACGCCTTCACGGCCATATCTGACGTTTTCCGCTATGGTGGTAGCAAAAAGAACCGGTTCTTGCCCAACTATTCCAATCTGATCTCTTAACCATCCCAAGTTAAGTTTCTGTATTGGCTTTCCATCCAGTAATATCTGAAGAAAAGTGTACACACAATATAATACTGTACATGAGAATGAAAGGTAACTATGTTGATAATCCTAGCTAAAATGTTTTGCATTTGTTTAGCACTAACACTGGAAATTTTGAACCCCTTAACAAATACCAACATTTCAAACTATATACACCAAAGATTATTGCAAGATAACACATTTTAAAAGTGACTAGAGATAGTAGACCAACATGCGACAGCTTGGAGGATAGCAGCAAGTTTTGACTGTAGCTGCCCTTTGTTGGCTGCACTACCAATTAATTTGCCTGCCACTTGTTTCCAAGTTGGATCCCAGTCTAATTTGCTGACACAGTGTTAGTTTTAATTTTCCTGTAAATTTTATTGCATCTTGAACCATAGCATTTTTAACATATGTGCCAAATCTCTTGCAAAGTTAGTGATACAGTACTTCAATGTGTTGTACCATTTTATGTAATAATAATAATAATAATAAATTATATAAATAATTTATTCACAAGAAGGTACAAGGGTTCGTGAGATTACATAAGATTGGTATTTGTGCAGTCATGCAAAGCCACGAACACGCATAGCATTTCAGGCAGGTCCTTAATGTAACATATCAGGCAAGATATGTATTGCCTGAAAAGGTACATTGTAGCAAGGTTTTATATCAACAAATAACTACATTTCAAGATAACAGAGGTAATTACACTAGTAATGATATACATCTTAAGTACTAATATTGGGGAAATGGGTAGTACAAGACTGAGTTTGTTGACCAGACCACACACTAGAAGGTGAAGGGACGACGACGTTTCAGTCCGTCCTGGACCATTCTCAAGTCGATTTGTGAATGGTCCAGGACGGACCGAAATGTCGTCGTCCCTTCACCTTCTAGTGTGTGGTCTGGTCAACTTTAGCCACGTTTTTGTGACTCATCGCCTGCATAGTGAGTTTGAAGCATAAGGTAGAAAACCGAGGCTGAAATTAGGTACTTTTTGGTTTTACTTGTGAACAGGGCATAGGTTGGACAATTTTATAATTCGTCAGGGATAGAGTTCTGAAGACTGGGTTCTTTTATTTGCATCAGGGATTGAGTTCTCAAGACTGGGTTATTTTATTTGCATGGGGTGTTTGCAGATTTAGTTCAACTTTGGGGATATAAAAGATATATTTATTTTTGGTGTGGTGCTCATGAGTTCTATTACACCAATCAAGAAAACATTTCAGATCAAGATTAGCATTTAGGAACAAGGTTTAGTACATGTAAATAGCACACGAGTGTAGATTTAGTATTTTTACCATGTTAAGGACCTTAAACAGAGGGGGCTATGTATTGTCTGAAGACAGTGTCATAGTTCTGATAGATCTTTGCCGAGTGATGATGGGCTTTAGGCAATTTGCAGTGGTTGAACCCCAGGCACAGATACCGTATGCAAGACAGGGATAGATTAGTGCATAGTATAATAGAGAATGTCAATTTCAAATTATTTTAATTTTACAGTAGTAAGTGTGATTTCTTTTACCTTGCCATTTTCACCTGTACACTTTTTGAAGGATGAAAAAGCCAGGGTTTTTGCTGCTGCTACTGCTTAATGTGAACCCTAAAACTGAAATTTTAGTTTAAAACTTTATATTTGTTCTGTTAGCCTCCTCTTCAAGGATGCCTGTTGATTCCTTCACCATCTCCTGGTCAAGGTAACAGTCCCAGGGTGCTTGACTCCTCTGGGTCTTTTCTCATTACAATGGTAAGGATGAAAAGGGGACAAGTGTTTAAAAAATTTTCCCCATTACATTTACCTTGGCCACCATCTTCACTTCTACCCGAGAGCCACCAACACTAGTGGCCTCAACGAGGACAGAAAGCTGGAGGCTTGTTGAAGGCCCACCCCCCTTCTGTAAGCTTTCCATCACTATTATGGCAAAGACTGCACCTAACCATAACATGTTAGAGATTAAACCCACTCTACAGTTACTTTTATGTGCCGCTACATTCACAATCTTAATTGTTTTCAATACAAATGAAATGTAACCCTTTAAAATAAACAAAGCCTTATTATTACAGAGTCAATGACTTACTTCTCCTGAGAGGGGGTCATAAAAGCGCTGTATTAACTGGATGCAAGTTGACTTGCCACATCCAGATGATCCCACCAGGGCAACGGTCTGTCCCGGTTCAATCTTGAGATTAATGCCTTGCAAAATCTTTATGTCTGGACGTGATGGATAGTTGAAATGAACATCTTTCATCTCTGCCAAAACCAAATTGTGTTAAGATTTCTTATTGATTAATTTACACAAGCACAGTTAAGGAGGGTATCCTCAAGTTCTACCTCCATAATGTGTATCTCAACATATACAATTACGAAAGAACTTTATACCTTTGTTTAAAAGCTATTATTCCAATCACATTTAGAATTATTAACTTTAATACAATTTTGTACAACCATGGGTATGAATTTTGTTTGGATCTTTAATAGGAAAAATGAATAAATTTAGACTGATGAGCACCTGTTTAGTTCAGTCCCTATTTTAATGATGTGAAAGTTATAAATATTGTTTCTAAATCTGAATTTGAGAACTGTAATGATTGTTAAAATCATTAAAATGTAGCTTCTAAATTTAAGAATATAGTACTGTATTATATACTGTATTCAATACTGTATTTAAGGCTAACCCTTAAATTTATTTTAATGTACCTTGCTTGTTAACAATTTGGACTTTACAATAAGATTTTGAACCCAAATTTGCCTCAATTAAATTTTAGATGATATACCAACAGGTACAGAAGTGATATACTACTGAATAAGGACTAAGTACATGAGTAACAGGAGCTGGCAAGGGGGTGGGGGGGACCTTGGACAACTTTAGCAAAGGTGTGAAGAATCATCCACTCCAAGAGCAAGATTGGCTCTTACCAAGGCTGGGTGAGAGATGCCAGAATTTATCCCAAGACCCAGCTCTATAAAGCCAAGAAATGACATGTCCACTGGCACAAATTGGAGAAACCATCAAACCACCACATGCTGCCGCTGATAAAACCAATGCAAACAACACCAAGAGTTGTCAATTGGCTCCTAGTAGAACAAAAAGAACAAAAACAAAAATAGAACAAAAATTCCAGACATGATCAGCAGAGACCATTCAGGCAAGTCCTGCTGTTTATTTAAGAGGTAGAGCCCCATAAATAGAAAGGGACAAACATGAAGGGAGCTGGGAACCAAGGCTGAGCCAGTTGCATAGAAGCCAGATGAACAAAGCACTCTTCAAAGGTACCTAAATCTGGCCAAACCCTGAGGACCAGCTAGACTGGAGGAAATGGGTAAAGGCCAACCAATTCCAGTCCAAGTTAACTGGAAATACCAAAATAACTTCACTATCATGACAAATTAGAGACAACTGAATACTTCCATGCATAAGAGATCAACAGAAGGAAGGCTGAACATCTTTTATACAAATGTTTATGGTTTGAATTGTAAAGGTAATTTAATCCTTAGTGGTAGGTTGTGGTCAAGTCATGGGGTCAAGAGTCCAACTTGGTGTTAGCAAGCCATGATTTTATACAAGAATTATATAGCCAAAATGATATGCTCATTTAAATAATAAACATGTGCAATAAAATGTTTACCAATGATTCCATTTATAGTAGATGGTCTATCTCCTTCTAAGCTTGTTGGATCAATAGCAGATTTCCTTTCAATTATGTCAAAGATAGTTGCAGCTGCACCTCTTGCAATATTAAAGGCTTCCAAGAAGGGTGCTGCCTGACCAATATTCATGGCTCCCATTAAGACGCTGAAGAACACCTGAAAGTAATGCATTAAATATACCCAACAACCATGTAATATCACATTTGTAGTACACTAAATATTGACTGAATTGCAAACAAGTACTTACACGGAAACATTTTACATTCAGCATTTGTGAATTACTGCATAACGTGGTGGAGGTGGGGCCCCTCAATTGTTTCAAGCGCGGGTTGGACAAGTATATGAGTGGGATTGGGTGGTTATAGATAGGAGCTGCCTCGTATGGGCCAATAGGCCTTCTGCAGTTACCTTTGTTCTTATGTTCTTATTTTCAGTACCACAGGTGTTTAGACACCGAGAACTACTACACTTGCAATTCATGATAATTTCAATGTTAACACTTTCGCGCTCTCCGCAAAGGTCACTCAGCCAACCGAATGTGCGCGCTGCGTTTTTATCGCTTAAGCGTAAAAACAAAAATGTGTATACTCTTTTTACTCTCCTGACCTTAGTTCTCATGCTACGTATTTCATTTTGGCACCAACGTGTTTGCAATAAAATTCTCTAGAAGAACATTAGTAAAATAAGTCACGAAACATATAGGGATACCAGCACCAAATAAATAACTACGTAGATGACTCGCCGTGAGCGCCCATCAGCAACAAAATGTTTTTACTCTTGGGATTATAATCACCTCCACACTTGTTCTACAGCGTTAATTTTGGTATCAATGGACTCGCAATGAAATTCCCAACACGGTGATATGAATATAAGCGTTGAATATTGATGCAGCCCGCCCGCAAGAGTGTGGGAAGTGGTGAAATTGTTACCCGGTATCGGTGACGGGACGACGCACAGCGCTTTGAAAGTTTATACTTATTTCACTCTCATGACATTAATTTTCTATGTACGTCATTCATTTTCATGTCAATGTATTCGCAATAGAATGTTCTATGTGCCCATAGGTAAAAAATATCAACAAAGCGTAAGTTAGAATAGCGACAAATATAAAACAACGCTGGAACATATCAGTGAGCGTCAAACACACACGAAATATTTTTACTTTTGTTATGTTTGTCAAGATTATACTTGTTGCACACAGTTATTTTTGGTTGTATATTGATCGGAATAAAATTCCCTAAACAGACATATGCATATAATACATGATATGGGGGAAGAATTACCAGTATAAACGGCTAAAGTCACCCACCTGCAACCCGTTTGGGACAAAATACCATTTGATCGACGTTATCCACACCTTTCATGAACTTATTGTACCATGCAGCCTAGTGGTGAGAAAGAGAGCCTCATAGCGCGCAGTTTGAAACAAACCCAAAGTAAATCGGATAAAAATTGAATTTTATACAAATATTTTAAAAGTTGACATAACTTTATGTCCACTATGCGTTTACGTTAGACGAAACCGAACGCGCCGGCGCGTCCAGATAGCGCGAAAGTGTTAACTCTACAAGGCTTAGTAGGCCTACAATCACTGAACAAAGTTTGCAGTAATTGTGGCTTCGAAATATTAATTGACCCTAAACATAAGCTACTTCTGAGACTAACATGAATATGTCCTAAAAGTTATAACAGTTGATCTTCATGAAATAAAAACAGGCAAATAATTGGTACAGACATTAAAAGAAATTGTCTAACAAATAATTGGTACAGACATTGGCAATAACAGACTATAATGTATAGAAACAGCTGATGGACTTTGAATGGTACCCTAAAAGAACAGACTAAGGTTTCTTGCTACAAAAATTTTGAAAAAACAGTTTGATACTCTGAGAGTTTATGAGAAACAGCACATAACATACATTAAACACTGAATCCCAAACACAGACCAATTATGATAAATGGAATAATAATAATTTGCATAAAACAATCAACAACAGCAAAGATACAGCAATATAGCACACTGATACTGTTGACACTTCATGGAAATTTCAGCCATTTGTTGGATGCTAAATGAGATCATACAGCATTCTGAATGTAAATATTGGGTATCAATATCAACGAGAAAAACAGACAACACTTACGATGATGAGTTTAGAAGGATCAAACGAGCCATTTCCTTCACGAGACTTAAGAATAAGGCCGGTGCCATAATAAAAGGCCAAGGAATAGGCTGCATAAATGATGAACCACATGAGCCCCATTCCAACCCCTGTCATCAGGCCTCGCTTAACTCCAGCCTTTTTGGCATGAACCAAATTTGCTTCATATCTGGTTTAGTACAAAAATTAATTTTATCAGTATATGAACACAATACCTTTACTGCTAGTTTTCTGTAAGAAAGCTATCAGTTCTCTTCCATGGGATTACCATATAGATTCCTCATCTGACAAATGCTTTCACTATCAAAAGTGAAATGGTAAAAATTGTTGTTACTTTTTACCACATATCTAGACAATGATAATGTTTATTCAAAAGAATGTGTATACAAAGAGCATAGGAGTAATATACAAATTGTAGGGACATGAGTTACACACTCTATGAAGCCACTATTACACAGCTTTTTGGGTAAAAACACAATAACTAGACCAAACATTTAATAAAGGTGTGAGGGGGTAAAACACTTAATACCAAAGAAAAGCTAACACAAGGAGAAAATACCTTTGGGCTCAATGGTGCAGATTAGCTACAATTGTCTAAAGATTTTTAAAGCTATACCCAACTTTATTGTCTGACAATAATATAGTACAAAATTTAGAAAATTCATTTTCCAAAATTAATTAGGTCTCAAATTGGAAGTAATTTAATGGTCAGGACTTACAGATTAGAAATGGCAAGTTCAGTTTGTAGTTACACACACGAATTTCCTTTCTCTCAAGTTCGGGTGGTGTTTATTATGAGTGAATATTTGACTGGTAGATGCGTTTCCAAGTATGTGGTATGTCTTAATGCCATAGGCAAGTGTTAGCTACTGTAAATACCTTTTTCCCATTGGCAAATAGTATTGTTAAGGTGTTGCATGGCATTTGGTAGGTCACCGATATATACTCGAGCGTGAGTGGGTTAGCAATACTAACCTGTTAAATGCCAGTATTAATAGAGTGTATGTAGTACAAGTGCCACTGTTCAACACACAGTATTTGTGCAACACAGATATAACGACTTTTCTAGAAATTAATTTTGACTAATCACATTTCAGAGGTTGGCAGGGGTAAACATTTAATTCTTCATTCCCTAGTCAGCTTGACATTTTCCTTGTTAAACTCGTTGGGTTTTATTTTGAGGGAGCCCTAGACTCCTGTCTGGCTTGATCTTTTACCTGAATATACTCAGAGAGCCACTAACATTAGTAGCCTCAACAAGGACAGGAAACTGGCAGCTTGTCAAAGTTACCTATTTAAACAAAAAAAATGTTCAAAATTACCTAATTAACACCAAACAAACGTGGGAGATAACTGATCATGCTATACTGAAATTAGATGATTAACATTTACCCCACACACAAGTAGAGGGCAATTAAAAAAAAAATTATATAGGGAAGAGCAGGAGAGGGGAATCAACAAGAATGGAGAAGTGAATCTAGAAATATAGAAACTGATAATTCTTTACCTGCAAACTTCCTTTGTTTCCCCACCAAACGCAACAACAGTTCGAATCGCAGATATTACCTCCTCTGCTACACTGCCAGCCCTAGCATATTCCTTCATTTCTACAGATGAGAGATTTGACTGAACCTGAAAGTAATTTATACAAAGAAAATTATGTAAAATTAATACAATATTGTAGTACATCTATGTACGATGGGCCAATAAGTCTCCTACAATTTACAAAGTTATAATATATTTAGATTACCTTGGTAAGTTGTAAGTAATGATTAGTTTACTTTTTAATTTTATTTAACACCACTGACAATTTGTGATGTGTATAAGAATAATTTTTTTTTTACCTACAATTGGTGGGAATTTAAGGCCAGATAGTCAATACATAGGTGTTCAGGGTGGGGTAAGTGAAATCCTGTAGTTTCGGTAATCACGTATGTAGTTACAGGACGAGAGCTACCCTTGTGTTTCATCATTCCAGGACTATTATATAACTAACTACTTACTGTTTTGGCTTCCACCACTATCTCGCTCAACTTGTTTCAACCATCTACCACTGTTTGCAAAAGAACTTTATAATGCTTCTCGGCCGCTTTGTTTAGTTAGCTTAAATCCTAGAACCTTGTTCTTAAAGTTCCAGGTCTCAAGAATACTTACCAATTTTGTCTATTCCCATTACCATTTTTGTATGTGGTGATCATATAAACTGCCATCCACACTTCCATGGAAATAAACATTCAATAGAGCTACGGCCTCACATGCGTGGGGTCCAAAGTTCGAGACCCATACAGTCCAGGTGAATATATTAGTGATCATATCAATAGTGGTCATACTGCCACCGTATTTTATCTTCTAGCTTTGGCATATTTAATGCTTCTAACTTCTCCTCATAGCACTTTTCTTTCAGTTCCAGAAGCCATTTACTGTAGTTGCGTGTCTTTGCAACTTTTCCCATTTGTTGAGGCACTTCTCAAGATGTACTGTACAACCATCTTCCATATTACCACAAGAGTCCTTAATGAAGATAAGATATACATACAGTACTGTATTGTAGCTAGTACAAAAAGAGTAGTATTCACTATAAAATGTATTTTAAAGTTAATATTTTTAGGGGTGTGGAACAGATTAATTCAATTTACATTATTTCTTATGGGAAAATTAGTTTCGAGTAATGACCCATCTCTGGAAACTAATTAAATTCATAAGTGGAGGTACCACTGTACCAGGTAGATTTGTTACATGGTCTTTTTCAAAAACCATATTGTTTGTTGTATCATTTCTCTCCAGGCATTCTATCCATTTGGTTTTAATTTTTTTCTAGTGTTTTGACTACCACACTTAATAACATGGATCTGTCATTTAGAGGGTCTTCTTTGCTGCAATTTTTTTTATTGGAACCATGTTTGCCTTTTTGCATATACTGTACTGTATCTGCTAAAATTCCTGTACATAAACATGCCTGAATATCAATAAGTTGAATGATCTTGACTCATGTGCACATTCTTTCAGAACCCCAAGATGAAACTCCATCTGGTGTAGTTTAATTGGCATTCCCTCTCATATTTGAAGTGTATCTTTGCAGGCTAAATATGTTGTGCATTTCTAATTTCAAGTAACTTAAATGAACCAAGAGGTAAATATTAAAAAAGTCCCTCCCCCCCTTTTACAAATCATGAGGTTCTCCAGTAACACTATGCATGCATGAGCCTGCAGTGTAAGGTACGAGATTGAAAGCTATACCCTTAAGTATCGCTAACACCCGCTCTTACTCTCTCTTACAGCAGGGACAACTGAACATTTTGTGGCAGTGTACTCTGTCACCCATGTTTAACTTTATACCATGTACAAGGACAGGACACATTGGGTTCTTAATAAGAGCCCCAGATAATATTATTGCTATTATATAGGAATGGAGCAATGATATATTTGCACAAAAATTAAATGACAATACTAACCTTAGCAATAATGCCAGTTGAAATTCCAAGTATTGGAAAAACTGACAGAATAATGAGAGTCAGTTCCCAGCCATGAACAAAGGCATTGATGAGGGAGGCAACAAATATTGTCATGAAGAACAAGAACATGCCAACCTTCTCTCCAATACCTTCTTGCAGTTTGTTCAAGTCTCTGGAAATACCACACAATTTTATGAAACTTTGTATTACGCAGATAGAAAAATATTTATAGAAGAATTCAACCCTAGTGAGGCAGCAAAAATTGGGTCGAGAGTATCCAAGATGGTCGATTGCTCTCGGAACCCAAAGATGGAGAGAAACAACGAAAGGTACAAAACAAAAGATGTTAAGAATCCACACTGAAATTAAAATGCACAAATAAATTATTTTAAAAAATATATGCTGCCAAGTGCCAAGAAAATATAATGAGAGGGGGCTTGTTGTAAGCAGTGCAAGTCTCATTTGCAGAGACTTGCATCACTAAAAAAATAAAAAAATAAAGATTTGTTTAGATATTTAATTCCTATTGTTTGGTACAGGAAGCCTGTACTTGGGCTCGTCAAGGTCTCTCCAGGGACTGCAACTCAACAGTTGCCAAACTCCCAGATACCTATTTACTACTAGGTGAACAAAGGTATCAGGCAAAAAGAAACATGTTTAATCATTTCTATCCTGCCCAGGAATCAATCCCAGGATCCTTGATTGTGAGAATAGGATGTAGACCACTGTACTATAGGATGCATGGTTGATAAACAATGACTAGGTAACAGGTGGTCCTACCTGTTAACTATGAAAAACAGGAAATAGCTCTTCTATCCATCTCTCTAATGCTGTATCTTTGTCAGGTTCTACTACCCAAAATTACCTTTGACCCCTAATTACTCAATTGAAATCAGCAATTAAAAACTCTAGCCCCGGACAGCACTTTGAACCTGAAACTGAAAATTTGTATATATTAAGTATCTAGTTGCAGCACATCCTTTATTGTGCTCTAAATCTATAAAACTTTGCACCGTAATGCTAAAATGCAATATTAAGCACTTCATAGAAGGCTGTAATAGAACCCATGGGCACCACACAAGAAACAAATATTTTTGATATTTCAAGAGTATGACTCGACAAAAGCAGAAATGCACTTCAAGTTAAGAGTCCCAAACTATGCAATGACCTCCCTATGACAAACACTCAACCCATTTGAAAGAAACTGACAAAACTCAGTGTCAAAAGCCTTACGCAGGTCCACAAATAACCCAATAGGAAACTCATTTTTATCAAGAGCTGCATGAATCAAGTTAATCATACTAATAAGTGCATCATTAGTGCTTTTTTTGTGCACTGTATATACATTATTAGTGTATAATGTATGTAGTGCTTTGTATATACATTATTATTCAGTGACAAGACTAGTCATATAACACAATATCAAGCAATGTATGTAAATGTTAGTACAAATTTTTGTTTATTTTATACTTACTCTGTCACCCTGCTGGCAAAATCATTTGTTTGGTGTGTGTCAAACCAGCCTATCTCTTGTTTGAGAATACTTTGCAGGAACATTCCTCGTAGTCTGTATACCTGCAAGGTGAATGAGGTGCTTTAAATGACAAAATTTACAACAAGACTGATTACAGGGTTAATTAATCTAGCTAGTACTGTACTGGGAAGGAGCAAAAACTTTATGATGGCACCGTAAATTTTATTAATAAACTGTGTAGAGAATGTTTAACCTTAAACAAATTCAAATTTTTTCCAGTATATTTTTTGGATGTGCACAATTTACAAGATGTACTGTATACATTTAAGGAGGGTAACCCATTAAAACATTAACAAATATTTTTGATAGTGTAGGTAACATTTATGTAGGAGAAACTAACATTTTCCAAGATAACTTTTTAATATGAAAAACTTCCAAGGTAACATTTAACTAAATTATTTAACAAAGTGACTATCATAAAGGAAAATTACAAGTTAACTGTACTAGCTCGGTAATCAATTACAAAAATATTGTCAGAAAGTGAATGTTTCCTGGGTAGATAACATGGGGAAATTGCAAATGTGAAAATGAATAAAGTAACTAACAGAAATACCAATGCATTCCTTGAACCTAATTTCTGCACTTTGCAAGAGGGTGTACAATAGGGGGTCTGGCAGAAGCCTCTCCTTTATGAGCCTATCAAAGATGAAATGCAATGGAGGAGGAGGAATACTATCAGACTTGTGCAAGGTGCAGAGGTCCATATTCAAGAGGGTAACACTGCCAGTTGCAAACCCCCGATGAGTGAGGTGACTAGGTTCCACCCATTTTGCTATGCAAACATATGAGGGAGGTTTTGTGCTGCTCTTCAGAAAATTTGCAATTGCAACACTGTATATTTCAGAATGACTTGTCAAGGGAAAGTGCCAAGCCATTATGACTATAGCACTGGGAAGGGGTAAGGACAAGGATTTGGGATGGGACGGTGTATTTGAGCTTTATCACTTTTTACTCCTATATTCCAATTTTCCAATATTCTGCTCTCAGTAGCCCCGTGTGATGACCCAAGAACACCTTGGCCAGGCTGACAATATTCTTCCACACCCATTTCCCCAAACAGTAAGAAAAATCTTTCAACTGTATAAGTCATTAATGAAAATGATTCTGTAGATTTCTAAATCCAATTTCCAATTAAAATTAAGAAAAATTTAACGGAGAATTATATTTTTTAACGAGAAAAGAAAACTTCTTGGCTCTAAGGAAGCAATGATAAATCAGAGGGTTTAGCCCATTTTGTACAACTCAAATTCAGAGGATTTCGTTATAAAGATCAACAATTATTTATGATCGACGATTATGATTAACGATTAATTATGAATAATTTAAAGTAATGATTAATCCATTCAGTCCTTGAAGGTGTATCAGTGACATACCTGTCCCTCTGCAGCGTAGTTCATAGTGGTAACAAATACATATCCCATGATCATCTGGACTGTACCCACGATGATTGTCCCCACTCCAAATCTTACTACCTCGTGGAAGAAGTCTTTAACTCCGTACTTTTCCACATACATATCTATAATTCTGAAATACATTAATTGCCACAATTTACTACATGAAATACATTAAGAGTAAAAGCTGTATGCAATATACACATCCAATTGGTGCTTTTTGATAATTACTTATCCATATCTACACAATTACTGGCTCAACCCACTGGTGCTTAACTTGACTGACCAAATGACAAACCTATCGGAGACAACACAGTTTAAGGATAAAATTAATTTATACATTTTGGCCACAGCAATGTTACATACAGCATAGTATGATTTCAAAAAGTATGACAGGGTGGTAGGAAATGCTGTATTTTCACCTTAGAACATCTCGCATGCAATCCAAACATCAACAGGAGAAGGTGTTTGAATCCAAACAATTACTATTTTCCACTGTGTATGTGTAACAAGTTAATTGATAATGTTATTTTCATTACCACAGAAGTTTTAGTCCAATCATAAGAGGGCTTTCAATTATTTCATCTCTAATACTAGGTATAACTAATTTTCTTTTTTTTTCCCATATTAAAAAGTGAATTAATATGGCAATATGGGAATTCCATTCCATTTAATTATAAATAAAAGTTACTGAACAGGCCAGGCCACCTCAAGTGGTCTTATTGGGACCACAAGTCCTTGGGTTGTTAAGGGCTGCACTTTGTCTAGATTCATTAAATGTGCATTATAAAAAATCTTGACGTTTACCAGACCACACACTAGAAGTTGAAGGGATGACGACGTTTCGGTCTGTCCTGGACCATTCTCAAGTCGATTTCAATCAACTTCAATTTCATTCAATTGACTTGAGAATGGTCCAGGACGGACCGAAACGTCGTCGTCCCTTCAACTTCTAGTGTGTGGTCTGGTCAACATTCTTCAGCCACGTTATTGTGACTCATCGCCCGCAAAAAATTTTGATGTCCTTACATTGCTTCACTAGATAGGTTTATTACTCCAGGAGAAAATATTCCACATTTTACACTGATCTGGCCACCATGTAGCAATTGGAAGGAAGTAAGATGTCTAATGTAGATTCTTTCTTTACCAGGTTATCAAAAAATACATTAGTGCACAAATTAAAAGAATGCGCTATAATTAGAAAAACTTAATACATAGATGACCAATGTATATGCACGCTGCCTTTGAAAATGGTGTGGGGTGCATATATGGACATCATTAAACATGATTACAACCAATAGGAATAAAACAAAAACAAAACTTACTCTTGCGCAGTAAAATTCTGTAATTCTGGATGGTCACTGATGAATGATGTGAAGTTTGTTGTATTATCAATACTACTTAGTAAGTCGTTGTAAACAAAAGCATTTGTGATATCCCCAAAGAGAATAAACATCGCTGGCATGCAGATTCCAGCCAAAAATGATGCCAGAATACCAGCAATCATCAGCCATTTCTCAATTAAGCTTGAGTATCTGAACTGAAAGACAGAAAACCATATATTTTATATATTACAAAACTATCTTATATATAATGATACAAGAAAGCAGGAAACTGAATTGCAGAAGATGGAAGACAATTAAAATTAAATAAATTGTTAAAAATGCAACAAGTAGCAAGATCATACCCTGAGCAAAAGTCTCCTATATAATTGTACCTTGAGCATTAAAGAATTTTATTTGTCATTTGCTCTAAGTGGGGATATTAAGCTGACAAACAACTAGTGTGCTGGCACTATCTCCGTGGTCCACTTGCTAAACACCCCACTCTCCAAACATTTTCAAAAATTTTCTACACATTTGCATATCCAGCTTTCAACCTTGCCATCTTTGCATATTCTTCATCAATTTGAAAGGTTGCAACTGTCCACCTCATTTTTTATGTAAGAATAATCATCTTCCCTCTGCTCTTTTTGTCTGAAAAGTTGACTGTTCCCTTAATCTGTCCTTATAGCTTAGAATTCATAGTTTGGGCACTATAGCCATGTTGCAAACCCAAAAACTTCAAGGACTGGCCTTACATATATGCTGTGCAGTCTGCTAAAAGTTCTTAATTAGGTCTTTTCATAATATCTTCAAGTTTGCCAGCTTTCTGCTGGTGTTAATGCTTGTGTTATATCCACCTGTACCCCCAAGCAACAAAAAGTTGGTAACAGATCATTTAACCAGCTCTCCAAGACTGGCAAATTTGACTATTTATGAGGGTAGCACATCTTTAATACTTCCATACAATAATTATCCAGTAGCCGTGAGTAGCCTAGAAGAGTAAAAACAGGTTCTTCTCAAAAGCTGTTTACCAGTTTAAGGCAACACATGAATCAGTCTCTGGATAAGAACTATTTTGTTATCAAGGCAAGTCCAGCTGGGAAAAAATCAGGACAAATGGGAGGACCTTTGACAAGTCACTTGCTTCCTGTCCATTTCAAGGCCACTAAGAGTGTTATTGGCCCACAGGTAAATATTTAAGGTCCCAAATGTACAGTCGGGTTTGTTCTCTACAAAAATCTAAAATTCAGGGTTCAGATCCGAAGGACAAGTGGTTAGGCGCATTTCCTATCAACTAATGCCTCTATTCACCTAGCAGTAAATAGGTACCCAGGAGTAAGCTTCTTGTGGGGTTGCAACCTAGGAAAAGGGTCAGTAATTCTGTCTCGAGGGAGACCTCAATGTAATCCTAACGTATATAACTAGCTGCCTGTCCCCTTGACTCAATGAATTATTGAATAAAAGATTTGACAACAACAAACTTACTTACCAACTGGAGCATAGGAACTGGGGGCAACTGGTTTTTGTCTTTTTCTTCTTCCTCGTCATCCTTATTTTTACTTTTCTTCTTTTTGTTATTCTTTTTCAGATCATCTCTGCAGGAACACAAAATATAAAAACATATATAAATATTGTTAATAGTAAAACTAAGTACTGTACCTTATGTAAATTAGGCACTTTTATAACCGAGGTCAAAATTCAGTTTGTGAAGTTCTAATCATCACAGCAAGGAATAAACTATTACTGTACTGTATTGTATGAAAAAAAAAAAATACCAGCACTGAATGTAGTGAAATGCCATTTTTCTGGCATTTCCTTGATCTTGATTGATTTTCAAGATCACTAGCGAGATAGTGGACCTTGGGTAAATTCAGATAAAAGTGTTAAGGTAGGTGTCGGGAGTTTAAATACAGTATTATACATATATTATGATGAATGCCAGAAATCATTGAGATAATCTTTACATGTCAAGTAAGATTCCATGGACGAGGGCGAGGGAAATGGGTTCTAGACATAAATTGGCCTACACTATTTCAGTCTACCAGCAATGGGATTAGATCAATCTAGTTTCTGATTAATAACCAATTAGCACTTAAATAGCATTTAAATTGAAATACTGCCAATTTGCCATTTAATTAAAAACTAACTACTATTAATGATGGCCCGATATTTTAGTGGCTTTGCAAGAAATTACTACTTTATCACCAACTTCTGTACTTTCAAGACCCATTACATCTTTTATGTATATATATACAGTACTGTATACAGGCATACCTCAGTTTAAGAGTTTAATTGGTTCCTGGAGACGCCTCGTATTCCGAAAACTCGCATTCCGAAGCTAATTTCCCCATAAGAAATAAAGGGAAATGAATTAATCCGTTCCTGACTACCCCAAAAACCCCACATCAAACTAAATTTTTATACCTAATTCATCTAAATAAACCTACAAAACTATGTTCAAGTTATTACTTACCTTGCTGTTGAATGCTGTAGGCGTATGGAAGATGGTGAGGAGGTGGGAGGAAGAGAGGAGTTACTGTTTGGAAGGGGAGTCCCTTTCCATTATCACATCAGGCAGTGAGGACTTCACTGGTATGCACACTGGCACATTTTGCCTGCATACCACTAGGACTTGCTTGTTTTACTAAGAATTTATCTAATGACACTTGTTTTTCCCTACATTTTAACACTTGTCTGTAGTAAGACATCACATTATCATTTAAAAGGTCAATGCAACGGCCTGCTACAGCTTTATCTGGCTGAGTTTTTTCAACAAAACTTTGCAGTTCTTCCCATACTTCACACATATTCTTAATCAAGAAGGGACATCCTCTACTGCCTCTACTCACAGCTATTTTCTTAGGTTGAACCTTACCAATGGCTTTCTTGAGACCCATGGCAAGATATATAATGACAACTTTTATGCTCAAATGGCCAAAAAAACGATAAAAAACTGTAAATCCTTGTGAAGAACTCAGGTGGTATAGTCACTGGACACGAGACACTGGTAAACTGAGGCGCGATCGCCATGCCACCACGCGCCAGTCGGCCTGTACACGTATCAACAAACTCGTGTCCCGAGGTAACCCTCGCCTTCCGAGACATATTTTTGAAGTAAATCCTGCTCGTCTTCCGAAAAACTCGCATACAGGGACACTCGCATTCCGAGGTACCACTGTATATAAATAAATGATGTGGTTGCACAAGCTTACCCATCAATTTTTTTTATTTTTTTTTTAAATGAACACAAGGCAGTACCATCATTAAAATGCCCAGTTCATCAAAAGTGCTTATATTAACAAATTCAAGAGTAATAATGCAAGTTACACTGCTGTTAATTTTTAAGTTATTCTTTACCAATAATTAACTACTAACAATTTGTACTACAAAATTCAGCATCTCACTCTCTCCGCTACTTCAAGACTGGCGAGTGTTTCAAGACATATGACAGTGCTGGGAAGATGGGACACCATAAGTGTAGCTTTTATCCTGTAACTATACTTAGCTAATTACAAGCAAACAATCTATTGCAAACTAATTTTTACCATTGGATACACAAATATTAAACTTATTTTTTAATAAAAATGCAAACCTTTATTTTGGCTATCAGTTGACTTGACTTACCCATCAATGTACGGCATGGCAATTTGACTTTCCTTCTTTCCAGTTTTCAATTCCAGTTCTGGACTTTTCTCGTGTTTACCATTCATGTTGGCAGGTGAAGATGTTCTTCAGAGTTAGTATATCACCTGCACACCTGTAATGAAGCATTTCTTTATTCAGATTTATTTACAAAATAAAATGCTGAACATATTTGACATGGCACATCACTTACCAATTATCTTCAGTCGATTATTCTACTTTTAGGATAAGCAGGATAATTCATAACTACTTTTTATAAGTAGTTATGAATTTGTAACAATTCTATAACTTAGAAAAAATTACAGAACTGTATACCACAATTATTTTACTAATAAGGTATGTTTTCTATATAATCTAAAGACGCTTCCTTCCTGAACCAATTATTTGTGCTGACTTTTTTATTACCACTAACAGAAAGGGCACAGAGTGCATAATGAACTAAAGGATTAGCCTTCACCGGGCAACAACAAAAATTATTATACAGTATAACCAAGTCAACTCGCATACCAAGAATGGTAGAGGCCACAGGGCTAACACTGTAAACCAGATTTAACAGGCCTGATCATCAAAACTTAAAATACTGAACAATTTGGAGGATATTGATCCAGACCACTTCTTCAAAAGGTCAGATGTAACACTAACAAGAAGCAATGGTTTCCAGATCAAGCCACAAGGTAAGACAGAAAACATGTTTTTTCCACCAAAGAGTAATTAAGGGGGAGGGGTTCCAAAAGTTGCTCAAGGTCTGTCTCTTTTCCCATCTAGCCACCCATTCCCCACCCCTGCTTCCCCTTCTCTCAAAATATATTACTAGAAGCATTGATATTGGTCTAAGAAATTACTGTATATGACATTAAATCTTTGCACTCCACATTAATTAATCACATAAAGCGCACCATATTTCACACTACCCAAATTCAAATTTCAAAATGTACACAATTACCTTATGAACCATAGCCAAATATACACAATTACCTTATGAACCCCTTACCATAGTTCGCAGTAAACCTTATCCACTAGTTTCCCTGGAACAAGACCCCTAAATCTTTTAACCAGGTATGCAATTACTGCTGAGTGAACAGAGGCAAACAGTTAAGAATTTATACCCAGACAATCCTCCCTGGTCAGTTCTCAAACCTTGATAGATCACTTGCAAAGCACGAGGTGAGTGTTACCACTGCACCACCGAAGACTTGTAGTTCATAAAAAAAAAAATTGTCTATGATCTCATTGGGCAAATCTCATTGAAACTTAAAATACTGAACAAGTTGGAGGATATTGATCCAGACAATTTCTTCAAAAGGTCAGATGTAACAAACAAGGAGCAACAGTTTCAAGCCAAAATGTATATGGGTGGGGTTATATACATGGCCCAACCATGTATATACATGGGGTATATATATATAATGGGACCTGGTGGCTGAGTGGACAGCACTTGGGACTCAATCGTATGGCCTGGGGATCGATCCCCGGCGATGGGGGAAACAAATGGGCAGTTTCTTTCATGCTGATGCATCTGTTCACCTAGCAACAAATAGGAACCTGGGAGTTAGACAGCTGTTATGGGCTGCATCCTGGGGGGGGGGAGGTGACTGATTGACAGTCGAGAGGCGGGCCAAAAGAGCCAGCACTCAACCCTCACAAGTACAACTAGGTAATTACAATGTAGGACTGAACATATGTTTTTCACCCACAGGGTTATAAACCCATGGATCAAGTAAAATGGGGGGGGCTGTGACAAGCCGCCGGCCTCCTGTCCTCGTCGAGGTCACTAGTGCTGGTGGCAGGTAAATTTAGGTATGAAACCCCAAACCCACGATAAAAAAAAAATCTGCACCTATGCAGCTTTAATTGTGTACGGAACATGTTCAGGACAAAGTAACTATTCTTGTTTAAATTAAAGTGGTGGCCTTAACCCTCAATGCAGTTTGAAGGCCTCAAGCCCAACACCAAACTGAGGAGACATTTGCCCAATAAACTCGCCCCTCGGGGCAAAATTTAAAAAAAAAAATTACATTTGGAAACCTGGGTTAGTCCCAGGGCAGGCACCCCCTGATCCCCCCCCCCCCATCACCTGTGAGTGGCGCACACCCATATAACCCCCTTATGTAAGCAGCGAATGGTTTCAAAGAAATAATTAACTAATAGCAAATTTCGATTAACCAAGTTGCAACATTGAAAGCTTGTATCAGTTTCAATAAAACCAAATTTTATTTTTGGTTTTGATGAAAAATCATAAAACTGACGTTTCACACAGTGGACTTCTCGCTTTATAGTGACTTGTGAATGGGGGACTGTGCAGTTGCACCACGTTGTGAGGAGTGCATTGTCTTGTTGCATCACGTTATGATGAGTATGTTGTCCTGTTTCATCAGACTGTGAGGAATTGCACCATGTTGCGAGGCATAGTCCCGTTAACTTGGAAGGTTCCCATATTCTCCTTTGCCCAAAACCCCCCACCCCGCCCAATTCCCCCAAATACACACCCCCTTCCCCACTATACCCCCCTCTCGATACCTCCAAAAACTAGATACTCCCCCTCCCCCACTCGAAACCCCTTTAAAAAAATACTCCTCCCCCACTCGAAACCCCTTTAAAAAAATACTCCTCCCCCACTCGAAACCCCTTTAAAAAATACTCCTCCCCCACTCGAAACCCCTTTAAAAAAATACTCCTCCCCCACTCGAAACCCCTTTAAAAAATACTCCTCCCCCACTCGAAACCCCTTTAAAAAATACTCCTCCCCTACTCGATACCCCCCCCCCAAATCCATTCATCTCCCCAAATTGATACCCCTCTCCTCTGTTCATCTCCCCCAACCCCCCTCCCCTGTTCAATACTCCATCTCTTCCCCCCCCTCCCTTCATAAACTACTCGCCTAGTACCCACAACCTAACTTCCCAAGGGAGCTAGAGCGACCCGAGGCAGGCCACTATCTCACTAATCTGATCCCAGGTGACCAGTAAAGAATTTGGGGGAAAGTCAATCACCTGTGTGCACGTTATACATGTTGTTAAACTGCTTGACACGAGGTACAGTCAGACGGTGTCCCCGAACTAACTGCTGAAGGTTCTTTATGAGCCCCCAATACCACGCTGCAGACAGGGGCTATACCTGTTGACTACCTACCTCTTGATTCCCAATATTAACGTCCTTTCGGCCCGGTCTCTGACCAGGCCTCCTGGTTGCTGGTCTGATCAACCAGCAGCCTGACTCACGAGTCACAGCCTGGTTGATCAGGTACTTTGTTGGAGGTGTTTATAGAGCTTTCTTTTGAACACTGAGGAGTCAGCCAGTTAGGCTCGCTATGTGTTGTGGAAGCGTTCAAAAGTTATGGGACTTTGATGTTAGAGTTAAATATCGGCGAACCTATTGCACTAACTTTTCAACGGGGTTATAGTTTGCACATCCTGCCATGTCTTCTGGTCTCGTGTGGCGTTTTTTTTTATTGTGCAGATTTAGAAACAGTGCTAATATGATCCAAGTGTATAAATTATTATTTATCCCTCCCGCCTGCGCTTTAGGGAATAAAGATTAGATTTTATAGGCAGTCCCAATATTTTTGACAGGTCAGCAATTTCTCTAACTTTGAATGGGAGTGTTAGTAGGCTACATACAATAAATGCTTAACCTAAGCGCTATATACTAAAGGAAAGCAGTACATAGTACTGTAGGTAGTGACGACGCCTCGTTGAGTTAAGCAGCACTTGCATAGTTATACCATGGGAACAGCCCTGTGCAGCGCCCCGCGTTCTGTTAAGGTGGTGATGTGACACGTAATGACCGGGGCTTACATCTCTACTACTGACAACACTGTCACGGCACAAGGTCAAGCACGGAACACACACACACTTGGATCAAACTCAGACAATCTTAACAGCCGGAATCTGCTATAGGCTCCTAATTACACACCTTTCTCAAACGATGACAAAATTTTCCTTTTTAATCAGGCATGTGTAATTTATGCACATACTAAGAATTACAAAGCACCAATCACATGTACCTCTACTCAGTAACCACACGCACACTAGGTTGATGAGCACGTGGAGAAGATAACACAAGAGAAGTGATGGCGGGAGCTGCGTCACCCACCTCTGCCCGCTGCCTGGACCACACTGACCCTCACTGACTGAAGCTGTCGCCTGTCGCTCGCCCTTACAGTTGCCAACTCAATTTTCAGTTTTAGATAAAACAAATCGTAAAACATCTAAAAGATCTAGATTTTGCAGCTATACATATAAAAAATATTAAGCATATAGAGTTACATCCTTCATCGTAGAAGGAATCCATCAGTCTCAGGAGCGAGACTGCATATACGGTATATATATTACGCATACATTACGCAATATTGCACAATACTAATCCTCCAGTACAGTTTATGAAAATATAATTTTTTTTTTAACAAACTTAGGTATACGCAGCAATGTGCTGCTATCCTATGCTATATGAAAGATTACAGTGTAGATATAAAACTAGCTGCAAGTCCATCTAATATTCCCATCTCCTAGGATAGTTAGTCATACATGGAATACATAACACTGAAATTTAATGAAATAATAAAGACTAATAATGCTACTTACCTTGATATTTCTACATTAAGCAATACAAAAATTTATCCTCCTCAACTTTATCTTAACCACTGGTTGAGAAGAAACTTTTAAGATAATTTTTTGTATGCAATGATTATTCATATGCCATTCAAGGCCTTGGATGACCATTCAAGATCTTGGATGACCATTCAAGATCTTGGATGACCATTCAAGACCATAAATATCACCATAAAACAAGTGGCGAAGCAACAACCATTTTTTCCAATATAAAAATTCGTCGCCAAGCTGCCATCCTTCTACAACCGTTCGTAAGTTCATTTTATTTTTGAATTTGAATTATATGTAGTTCATCAAGATGAATACTTTATTTCAGCATGAATGCGTTAGTATTAAACGCACAGATGGCACATTTGCTAAATTCTTAAAATGGATTTGAACCATAGGCATCCTTAAATTGAAGAGCTACTTTCCATAATTAGTGTAAATATATTGTTCAGTTATTCGACAGTTGGTTGAACAGACAGCCGCCTTGTTTTACATTCAGCAGGTGTTTGTAGAGGACTTGTGTCATCAATGACAGATTCATATAACGTTTTATAATCAACTTGTCTAACAGAGGCGTGGGAAAAACATGTATTGGTTTCTGCAGTGAGAAACTTCAAACTTCTAGGCAGACAGATGTGCGAGAAGCTGCCAACTGTATGGAGTGGCATACATACATATATACATACACACACACACATACATACATACATACATACATCACTCATTAAGATGAGTCATGGAACTTCCTCTTTTAATCTAGCTAATCTTGCGCAAATTCCATTATTAATTCCAATCATAACACTTGTTTTATTTGTTCATATTCCAACAAGGTTCTTCAAGTCTAACTTTCTATTCGATAATGATACTAAAATTCCATCTCAGCATCACATTTTTATAGCAGAACCAATCCAAGATAAGTTGACAACTTTATAATGATTTTTACAGAGTGTGTTCTTGTGTTATAGCTGTGGTACGGTTGAGCTGCCTGGTTCAAATCAAATCAAATGTTTATTCCGGTAAAAGTACATACATACAAGATGAGCTACAAACATAATGTTGAATTTCTAGATACTAGATACTAGATTTTCTAGTTATATACTTGTCTCAAGGATAAACTCATGCATGTGTATGATATTACTGCACTTTGTGCGAAGCATCTTCGAATCTGATAGTTTTACTGTCACCAATATTGCTCTTGCACAGATCAAGCAGATGGTCGCAGTTCCTTAGAGCAAAGTGACAACACATACATATCATAATATTAATTTATATTTGAGAAAATTCCTGTTTTAAATGAACACCATGTAAAAATTTACGAATGCGTCTGTGGGGTTGACCGCTGGATGTAATGGACTTGAGTCGCGGACGGGTTGCCTACCAATAGGTACCCGAGTCAGTCGACTATTATGGACTGTATCCCAGAGGAAGGTCGGCCTTGATGCAGCCCGTCCTCTTACAAATTACGTCGCTTTTCGCTCGAATGCAATACGGCCAAAAGTCGCCGTATTGCAATTTAAATAAAAATAGGAATTAATTTTCCAAATGAAATGGAGCCAAAGCAGCAAGTTTTGAGTCGTCTGGTGGGTTGGGGGCCCTGTGATGCTTCCTGGGTCCCCAGCCACTACACAGGAGTCCGCAGAGTGTGCTACACACTTTGTTATCAACTCCTAGTATCCGGTGTTGGGGATAGGAAACTTCTTAGGGCTAAACAACCAATCCTCTTACTAATTACGTCGCCTTTCGCTCATATGCGCACTAAGGTTAACAATCGCCGTACTAGAAAATGAAAGTTGCTTGCGAAAGTGACGTACTGTTTCGTTTTCTGTTTTGGGTCCTCTGGTAGGTTAGGAGAGGACACTTTAAATTAACAGTTTTCATGACGTTTTGAAACCTTAGGAGAACGTCTTGCCCTCCTAACCTACCACAGGACCCAAAACTTGCTGCTTTGGGTTCATTTGGGTACATATATGTACGTACTTTTCCTAAATAAAATGAAGTGAAGGTCCCAGGATCGTCGCCCCGTACTTCACAACAACAGGAGTGAAGGCGGGCCGAAAGAGCAGAGCTCAACCCCCGCAAGCACAACTAGGTGAATACATCTCACAGGAGCCAAATATATTCCTCACCATCATAAAACTATGCATCAAATGAGATGCTATCGTCTAGTTAAGACTTCATTTGGGAATGCGATGTCAAATGGAAAAGATAAGTCAAAAGCTGATTACGTGACGGGAGGGACGGGAGGAAGGACTGGGAGGAGTGACTGGGAGGAGTGACTGAGAGGAGTGACTGAGAGGAGTGACTGGCAGGAGGGACTGGGAGGAAGGAGTGAAGAAGGGGAGGGACCGGAGTGTGCATGTCTCATCAATCATATGGTAAATGGAATGTTGTTGTTGTTGTTACAGATTTAGCTACTCAGAACGAAGTGTCCATGTAGCACGGGCTATGGTGAGCCCGTAACCCCGGTAAATGGAAGGACACATTTTAATACATAGTTCCATTTGGTGCCCTTGTCAGGTGCAAGGGAGTGTGTTAGGCCTCGCCCGGCCCCCGTAGGATACCCCCACAGTACTCCCTCTACCTCTCCATCCCGCCCTCTCATCCAGTACCTCTCATTGTGTACGCTATGGTCCCCAACGTGCAAATTACAACGTACTATGAAAAGTAGCGGTTCTAAAACATCCACGTTTTCTATATATCGGTAAGTTAGGTTAGGGTCGGTTGAGCCCATCTTCCTGTTCATATAGTTCTTATAGCACCGATGTGGACCATTGTACGCATATTGACGTATTGAACAGTTAGACAGTAGAATTTGGTACTATTGAATTCGGACAAACCAGAAAAGGTTTTGTATCTATATTGCTAATGAAACCTAACCTAACCATCCTGGGCCTAACACACGCTGAAGCCTAATATATTACACATTGTGGCTGGACTCGCAGGTACCCACTTACAGCAAGGTGAATAGAGACATCAGGTGTACAAACACGAGCGTCTCGCCCTTCCAGATAATCGAACCCAGGGCTCATGGTTGTGGCAGAGGGTGAGGGCTCTGGTATCATTTACCTGAATTTACCTGACGGCCACTAACACTAATAGCCTCCACGAGGACAGGAAGCCGGCGGCATGTCAAAGGTCCTCCCATTTGCCCTGATGATCTTTTCCAGTTGGATTTTAAAATGCAACAATTATAAACACAGCATTACAACCCATGCCATGGTGAGTAAAATACCCAGAGTTTTTGCCGGAAGGTGGATTTCCTTGCTGGATAAGGTTGTTACTTATCCAACAGGAAGAAGTGTGTGGTGTTCCATGAACACAGGAGTGCAACTAGACTTTAGGCTAGGAACCACAAGAAAGAAAACAAGGCGTCCTTAACTCTGCACTTGGCTAGGTTGTTAAACTCTGTGCCGAGCAAACACAACCCTTGCATTATAAGGTATGTTAATCATCTTATAATTCATCCCTAACATATGTGTATACAAACACCTATGGTCTTATACACGATACATGGGCTTAACCATGTATCAGAACCCAGGCTTATTCATCATGGGCTTAACCATGTATCATAACCCAGGCTTATTCATCAGACACACCAGAACCTAGGCTTCGTCTTCACAAAAACGCACACAATGGGCGGGCACCCCAGACGAGGCGAGGCTGCCCGCAAGTCGCAACTATATGATGGCTCTCAGCTTGACTGTGTTAACCAGATTCAAATACCTTGACCTTGGGATGCCACCGTTGTAAGCAATGTTATCAACATAGAGAGAGAGACCCGGGCTCTCAAGGTTGTGGCGGGTATGGTTGCATCAGTCTGCTTCACCACCAACCAGGAGGCCTCGCCGGACGGGGCCGCGGGGACGTTCATCCTCAGAACCATCGCAACGTAATTACTGGGACCAGGATTCGTGGAGCACTTAAGAATCCACTGACGAAGCCTATACATCTTTCTTCAATCACAGCGGCTTAGTTTGCGTTTATCAAACAGTGTATGAGGCTGTCTATAACAATAACCTTGAGTTGCTAATTTTCGAAGCTCATAGATTAAGCCGCCACGATGTCTGTATCGAAGGACAACATCTCTCATCTTTTTCACGACTTGATAAACTGCAGATGCAGTTTAATGCTGACAAATGTAATGTTTTGAGGATAAGTAATGTTGATACAAGATAGATGGTGTTGAGATTGCGAAGTCGGATTTCGAAAGAGATCTGGGGGTTATGACTACTAAGAATTTAAAATAAAAAAATAATTGCAAAAGTGCTCGTAATAAGGCAAATAGGTCACGGGATTTACTTATCGAAGTGCTAGTAATAAGATACTTGGTGTTGTTCTTCAGCTACATCTTCCTCTGGTTAGGTCCCATTTAGATTATGCAGTTTAGTTTTGGTCACCGTACTATAGAATAGATATAAATTCACTAGAATGCTTCCAGCGTAGGATGACAAAGTTGATCCCCCAAATTAGAAACCTGTTATATGGAGAAAGATTGACAAAGCTTAAACAGGGAGTGAGCTAGGTATTAAAATTAAAACAAAAGGGTATTAAGAGTATCAACACAAAACAGAACACGAAACAATGGGTATAAATTGGATAAGTTTAGATTTAGGAAAGACCTGGGTAAATAATGGTTCGGTA